CCACCACCAGCGCATCGACAACCAGTACGCCGGTGTCACACTATTGTGGTTTCGGTACTGCCTTGGATGGAAAATGCAATTCAGCCACTACCACTACCAGCGCATCGACAACAAGCACACCGGTCTCGCATTACTGTGGGTTTGGTACTGCTTTGGATGGAAAATGCAACTCCGCGACTACTACCACTACCAGCGCAACAGCTAGCACCAAGCCTACCAGCGCATCGACTACTAAAGCTTCCACTTCGACTACTACTAAAGCTTCCACGTCGACTACTACTAAAGCTACAACCTCCCCAGTTAGTCACTGGTGCGGCTACGGCACCGCCTTGAACGGAGAGTGCAACGCACCACCAACCTCAACATCCACGGGTTGTGCCCCTCCAGCAACCATCACTGTAACAGTGACTGCCCTCCCACCTTGGTCAAACGGCCATTACTTGGACATGCCAACATATCAATTTGTTGTCCCAACTGCCACCGTTACAGTCAATCATTGGTAAAGGGCATTCTTAAAGCAATAGAATACTTTGCGGCGATGCTGCTGGGCAGCAACCGATCATACAGCAAGACAGCATAGCGAAAGGATTACGGGTTGAAAAAGCATAAGCGTGGCGTTTTGATAGATTTGAACATATTTACTATATACAACTAATAGTCTCTACAACAACTAATATACCACACTCCTTTAGCCCAAAAAACTCGATATTTCCTCCTGCATACAATGCAACCCCCAAAAGACCAAACATTCTCTTGAACGGATTTCTGCGAACAGAGCAATTTGATTATGTCATCAGCAGCAACCTACTGGGTGGGTAGGAATTATGCCATCAATTGCAGAAACCCTAGGTGTCTTCCCCAGGCGGCTTACCGAATCGTGATCGCCGTTGTTGCGTGGAGCCTCGAGGGGCCGAGGTGGACGAAACTCCATCCGGTCTCTGAGACCTCAAGCGAACCCTGTGACTGCCCGCAACTCCTGTTTTGCTTAGCTCGTAGGTAGACTATCTACCTACGACGCTACCTTCGCACCCCACAGCAACATATCATTCACGAAACTGCACTGGATCATCTTTAGCAACGAGACCATCAGAGCCTCCACCCCTGTACATTTGAATTCAAACGTTGCAGGATATTATGTCTACGAGACACAGGATATGCACAAGGCGAAAGCCGTAACGAGTCGCCTGGAACAGAGCGCCGGAGTCGCTGCGACACGCGCGACTCCCAAGACCTTTCAATTCGTCGATGCGAATCCTACCACCGATGCAGAGCGATCTCAGAATAAAATCCTCGTCCGTTCTAATGCCTCGAACTTCCATTGGCGGCGTGTCAAGAAATCCAGTAATGGTTCAACGAGCAGGAGTTCTACACGGAAGCGCACCCCAAATCATGAACCCAAAAAGCCATTAGGCAGAGCTATTGCGCCGATAAGTCAAACAAACGATGATATATCATCGTCCACAGAGAGTGATCAGTCTCCACCAAAGAATGAGGAGGACCGGGTTTCCCAAGAAGACACAGAATCACCCATTGAGAGTGATGTCCCTGCAGAGACTACCAGAGACCTGTTGAGCTTGATCGTTTCAGGGCATTATGACCCCTTCGAGATGTACCCGTCCGATCTACCCAAGGAGTTTATTAGTCCTATTCTTTATCAGAGTGAGTTTCTGCGTTTAAGCAATGCTAGGATAGTTGAGGCTTACGAAATGTAGTCAATGGATTTTTAGCATCGGTATTCCCACCAGAGCGAGGAAAACCTATAAGTGCATTATCTGAACGATGGCTCAATACCACGTTTAGCGACCGCGCTCTCTTTCATGCCTCGATATTTTGTCAACTCACAAGGAACAGCGCATTCATATCAGCGAGGTCGGAGTCTCGAGAACACGTACAATGCTACACTGAGACAATCCGCGGTGTGCACCAGAAATTCCTAGACAACAACACAAGTTGCACGGACGAAAACATATTATCAGTATATGCCCTAGCGTATCATGGAGCGACTCGACCACAGACATCAACAGAAGTACCAAATCAAGGGCCCTTAAAAACCCTCCAGCTACTACATGTATATGGAGGGCGGCTAGAAACAGTCGATGTACATCTGAGAGGCCTAGCTAAGATGCTTACATTGCGTGGCGGTGTCAGAAAGATCGGGTTGCCTGGATTGGCCCAGGCCATTTCATGGTGAGCATGAATGAGATCGTTCAAAAGGAATAACACTTACATTATTATTAGTGGCGACATTATTCTGGCCACCCAGAGACTCGAGAAACCACTACTACCCTTTGTTGCAATGCATGACGATGTGATCGGACGACTTACAGCGGCTTCTCGACAAGATCACCCTCTCGTTGGTCTAGGCAGGGGTTTTCGGGTCTTACCAGAAATGCTAGGTCGAGCAGAAGTATCGAAGCTTCTGATAGTCCTGCGCTGGATCATTCAATACACTTTCGCCATCGATGATTATGAGCAGAAAAGACCCGAGGCACAGGCGACTCTCCGACTCGGAGACGAGCGAAACTTCGTTCAACATAGTCTAATGCTGTTATCACCAACAATTCTCGAAATGGAAGAGGAGCATCCCATGCATCGGCTATGTCGATTAGGTACACTCATATATAGTGTACTGGTTGTGTTCCCCATTCCTTCTGAAGCTGCACCATTTCATCGGCTCGCCAAGGAAGTCCAGGCGCAATTATCACAGGCTTCCGTCCAATCCCGTTGGATCGAAGCACCAGAGCTCATCCTCTGGGTAACCGTGTTGGGCGCCATAGCTTCCACAGGCTCCCAGTACCGCGAATGGTATTTAACGACACTTGATCGCCTGACAAAGAGGCTCAACCTCGTTACATGGTCTGCTATGAAGGAGCGATTAGGAATGTTCCTTTGGTTTGAGAGCACCAACGATGAGGATGGCTTCAAGTTATGGAAGGAGATGGAGGACTCAAGTCCGTTCCGGTTACCAAATTCCGCGCATTGAGCATGACCCGTGGCATTTTGGCAGAAACACCATGAGAGAATTGTCAATCATCAAGATTGTTGAGTCCTCGGAATTTTCTGTCGAGTTTCTATGCGAGCAATGCCTTCAAAATGAGGGGAATTTTAGATCGCACACAACCGACGTGAGAAACTACTCGAAGCAATGTTCATACGAGCATACTACGCCATTTAACAACATTCTCGGAGCACACGGTTGCCCCAATATGCCAGGCGAGATTCCACCTGGTTGATTCTGCAACCACACGTACGACGAAACATAGGACATCTGGCAAATTTGACGAAGAGCCATCCACTAACAGATTCGTGTCTTCTCCCACATCATAAATATTGGGAATAAGCACTTGGTTTTCTGCCATCTATGGGAATTGGTTGCACTCCTAACTATTCAACAACCTCGCATGCGTCGATTCCATCGACACGTGCCGCCCATCCCTCAATGCTTAGCAGGAAATCGCCTGGCCAACCACTCCCCAACGGCTTCCGCCACGACAGTAGGCTTCTCATAAAGGCACCAATGGCCCGCATCGATAACCTTCTCCTCGAGATCTTTCACTAAACTCTGCTCCTTGGCATCCACCATCAAGTCTGTTCGGCACACCCAGTCCCCCGTCTGCCCGATGTATAAGAATGGCACATCAATGACTGACCCTCTTGTCCCTACCGTTTTCATCTTTCTCACATAACAACTTCTCATCCTCAATCATCGTATTATTCGCCAAGCTGAGATAATAGCACACCGGCCCCTCGAACCCGTCGCGCGACATTCTCTTTATGAAATCCTGCTTCAATTTCTCGCCGTCGGGATAATTCTTCAGTGGCACCGTGTACCCGCCGGCATACTTTCCAGTTCTAGTGATATACTCACGCATAGCGTCTTTAGTACAGAACATTTCGCGCATCCAGATATCACGGCCCTTTTCCTCCGGCAACGGCGAGGAATACAGCCCGTTGTTGACCTCCCAGAAGCGTTCGAGGTTGAGGCGCATCACTTCTGGCGCGTCCGGCGCCGTGAAGAACTCCCAGTACTCCCACTGTGGATAGCCGAAGCGCTTAGTGGTCTCTTCGTTTGCGGTAGACAGGGAAAAACGCGACGAAGTGGGGATTTGATATGCCAGGCTCAGGAGGCACAACCCCATGCAGCGGTCCCGGTGGTAGAGATAGAAGCGTTGTGAGGTCGCGCTGCCCCAGTCGTGGCCGATCGGGATGACGCGTTTTCCTGTCACGCCTTCTTGGTCGAGGATCTGGGAGAGTGAGTCAGCTTGTTGGCGGTAGTTGTAGAGTGATGGCTTAGTGGGTTTGGATGAGCCCCCGAACCCCAGGAGGTCCGGGAGGATCATCGGGTAACCGAGACTGGAGAGATGAGGGACGGCGCCTGCCCACATGTATGCGTGGTCGGGAAATCCGTGGACCAGCATGAGAATGGGGAGGTCAGGATCACTGTTGATCTTGGTGTTGAAGTCGGGCGAGACATAGTAGCTGTAAGTGAGGTTGTATGGTGATGTTATCAGCGTGTTATGCACAAAGTCGTCCATTCTGGCTTTCTTTTGAGAATGTGCTGTGTCAACAGGGAGAGGGCTCGGAGAAAGACCTTCAACACGAAGAGTGGTGGTCGATTAAGACTATATATATGCAAAGCCACCCCATCGAAATAGGTCGAGTGACATAAAGGATTCCCTGACGACATTGCATACCAGCCTTGTTGAAGGTTAAATCCCACAAGGTTTGATCTGCGGAGAAAACGGTCGAAAGGGACCAGAGAGAGACAAAAAACTTCCCCAACAAGCATTTGGAGTTTACGACTTCTTCTTCAGGTGATTCTTAGCGCGCTGCCATGTGAGTAACGGAGGTTTTGAGAAGGGAGGAGTGATGGAGATATCAGTCCTCTCAAACATAACGTACTCTCGGACGATTGGAATTCTCCCATAAGAGATCAGGGAGGATCGCAATTTGTTATCAAATGCCATTCCTTACATTGAGAGTCTAGAAGGCTCTTCACAAGCACGGTACTATTTTACTTAGGTAGCACGGGCATCCATCCCATGCCATACCAATGCTCAGCCTCGTCCCCCATACTCCACAATCGGCTGAAGCCTCGGGGCTCAAGCGACGGAAACATCGACCTTGGTTTTATCTATCGAAACGATAAGCCTCAACAACTTTTGTTACATAGCGAACATTACCGCAATACTTACAAAAAGCAACATAGTCCTTGATATGCGATGCCTTCTCGAAGGGTTTAGGGTAATACCACGCGACGTCCTTGACTTCATTTCCGCCCACGGTGATGTTATAGTAGCTGGCATCACCTTTCCACGGGCAGTGTGTATGTGTCTTGGAATCGGAAAAATCGTCCTTCTTCACCGAATCAGGTGGGAAGTAGACGTTTCCTTCGACGGTTTCATACGTGGATGTCGAGGCGATGACTTGTCCATTGATCTTGGCGGTTGCGGTCGGCATGTTGAATGGTTGTTGTGGTTATCAAGGTAAGTAGTAAATGGATTTATTTAATCGGCACTATTTGAAGGGCGGTTGGGTTGTTCTAGTGAATTGGGCTTCCGTAGATTAATAGTCGGTCGAAGAAACTCTCGAGATGGTTGTTAATTGCGATGATGTCGATATGTACGCTGATGATCGCGACCGAATGCCCAGAGGGTCAGCCGTGATGACAAATCTCGCTGAGGTCTATATTTCGTTGGATACATCCCCTGGCGGGGGGCTCGGGATGCGGAGTTAGCTTAGGTCTAGCCATGCTTGATCGGTCAACATCAAGCACAATGAGCGATATGATTAGATATGCGTCTTCTCCATGGAAACTTATGTGTAGGGTTTGTAGGCCTCTACGTTATGAAGAGGTTGTAGAATGCCGCCATCCGAGAAACTTGCTTTCTGGGAGAGCACATGCTGAGGTGTAAGTAGCTCGTTAATTAGTTACATCAACGACTGTGACCACAGTGAAAGGATCGGCAGTAAGCATTGGTGGGGTAAGGGGGTCGAGGGCTGAAAAGGGGGAAGGGCATAGGCAACCCGGAATTTGGCTGCATTTGTTGACATTGGGCGCATTTAAAGTAACCCATCCTTTATCTTACTGTCACACACATTTAGCACCGCGTGTGACCATCATTTCTTTTTTCCTCGAGTGTTACAGCTTCAGGTGTTGCCTGGCATATCCCATTCGTGTTTGCCACTTGCATTGAGGCTCTGCTGTCAACCCACCAGGCTCCAACGCCTTGCCATGGAGGCCGGAACATTGCCTTGGCCGCCTAATTTCGATGGATGACAGGGCTGAGGCTGCTGGCCCCCGGTATGGATTCCACCGTGGTATTAATGGCTTATGCAGGCAATCAGTCCACTTCCTACTTTCCTAAGAAAATGTAAAATATTTATTCTCAGCGGGTGCCCGTAATAGCCAGTATCCCACCCCATCATGCCTCACAAGAGAATCATCGTTTGTTGTGATGGGACCTGGAACAATGCCGATGGAACCGGTCAGATACCTACGAATGTCGCGAAACTTGCACGATGCATCGACAATGAGGCTGCAGTACAACAAAATGGCAAGGATGTCTTGATCAAGCAAATTGTTTACTATCAACGTGGAATTGGCTCTGTTGGAGGATGGCTTTTTGGCAAGTTAGAGAATGCAATTGAAGGTGCGACGGGTAGAGGTAGGAGAATTTTCCCACTGTCCTCATCAATGAAGTGACTAAGACTTCTGTCAGGTGTGCGGGAGAATATCATGCAAGCGTATCAGTTCATATGTCTGAACTACCAGCATGGAGACGAAATATTCCTTTTTGGATTTTCAAGAGGTGCTTTCACTGCCCGAAGTATCGCACATCTTATCTTCACTATGGGACTGCTGACCCATCGTGGGCTAATGCAACTCGGTGCCATTTTCGAGCAGTGGGAGAGACAGAATGAAACAGAAAAGATCAAGGGCTCACTCGATGATGATCAGGAGGTCAAGTCGTACCTCCGGAATCTACTGGCCAAAGAGATGACACGCCCGAACATTCCCATCAAAGTATGTGGTGTCTGGGATACCGTTGGGTCCTTGGGCCTTCCAAGGCCGTTCTTCCTTCCTCAGCCGGTCGGGAGGAAACTGGCTTTCGTCAACACGAAAGTCCTCCCGAATGTAGAGTATGCTTTTCAGGCACTCGCATTGGACGAACGACGTAGGCAGTTCAAACCTACACTTTGGGAGAAGCCGGATGGTCAAGAGTTTCCTCGTGTGCTACGACAGTGCTGGTTTCCCGGGTCGCATTCAGACGTCGGTGGGGGCTTGAAGGACGATGCTGCCGCTCGGCTACCTCTTGCTTGGATGTTGAGCCAATTGGATGATCTTTTGGAGTTCGATCCATTGGCGGTCGGCCAATTCATGAGAGTATCAGGGACTTCACCTGGCATTTTAGGTAAGTCATGCCAGGTACTTGTCCCTTGCCAAAAGCCTACTAATTGAGTAACAGGGAGGATTCATAATTCCATGAGCCTTTTGTTCTTATTTGGAGGTTCATATTTTCGGGTCCCTGGTACCTTTACATCAGTCAATCCTAGAACTCGTGAGTTCACGGACCATCGACTGCGGAACACCTACGAGTCTATTCACTGGTCAGCTCGGGAACGAATGTCAGAGCAAGTCGATGATTACGACAAGGCAGGCTTGGTCGACTTCACCATGATAGGCGTTGCCACAGAACCGGACAGCCCAGTCGTGCACCAGGTCGCAGATCAAGAGTTCCTGCCATTACCTGGACCTCCAGGTAGACCAACAGCCGTTCAATGGGTGAATCGAAAGTTGAATGTGTCTCTCATGGAAGACGATATGAGGGAGTACGAGCGAAACATTCTGAAGCTCTGGGGTATGCAGCAACTTTACACCTTGGCGACCGACAAGGTAGCAAATGAGAGTTTCACGACAGAGAACAGTCTCGAGGATAAGCCTAGGAGTGCCGCGGAACGGTTGCAACAGCTTATTGTTCTCGGAAAGAGGCCGACCGCCGACTTGGCCATAGATAGGTCGTCGGAGCTGATCGCACACCTATCACCAAGATCAGAGACGTTCTGAGAGTGTATCAGAAATTTTGATTCGTATGGCTCGAAACTGCGGCACTTATAACCCTTCAACAGCGAGCGAAGGGCATGGCCTTTGATTCTCCCTGCTATGTCCTTCCTACATCGCATTTTTGACTTGATGCATGGTGTGGGCGTAAAAGCCAAAAAGTAACATCATGATTATTAGTATGCCTAAAACTCCGGGCAGATATCAGAATATTTCAGGAGTAACCACGAATGAAGACTACTGTTGTCTCTTCACTAAAATTTGGATTTTCATCACCTTTCAACATTGTCATCGGATACAACCTGCGAAATCAACATCAAGAAAAACTATCGCTCCTACCTGCCCTCTCCAGTGCCTTAGAAAGGATCAGTCCTTGACGAATTTGGCGGGCATAGTAGGAAGGAGTGATAGAAAATCCTCTTGCGAGCATTTTTTCACCCACCAGCCGAATTGAATGCCCGACCTTGGAGAAGATCGGGATACCAAACTCGGCCAGCATGCCTTTCCAGTCTGGAGAATTCTTTGATTTCCAGACTTTAGGGCGTTTGGCAATAGAAAGTTTGTTATGTTAATATATATAGGTGACTTTCAGTGAGTGAAGATAGTAACTAGTTAGTGAAGTAGGTAGCTCGCGAAGGCTAAGGAATTGCCGAGGTTAAACATGTAAATAGACGTTTAACTACCTAGGTAGCTCCCGAACAGGCCGAGCACTAGTTAGTTAAATCACTACCTAAACTAACTAACTAGGTACCGGGTAAACTAATCTTAGTTAACTGATGTAGGGGCCACCAGGCTTGCACAGCGACATTCCTCTTTACTTTGTCTCTTATCTCTACTCTTCTTTTATTGTACTATGTTGATCGCAACATTATTCTTGGCTAGTGCAAGTTGATTATGAATGCACACAACAGACAAATCTCAACCGTCTGAGTGTCCCAATCTTTAGGACGGTGGACAATTCGATAGACCTTATCCGCCCTTGCCAGTGCGTACAACCGCATGGGGCGATTTAGTAGGTGGTTCCAAACACTGCACGAGCTCTGATGGCTCAGCCCCCTCAGCCCCAACGAGGCTCGGCTACTTACTCCTTAGTCTCTGAGGTATTCACTGCTCCTTCCTTGTTACCTTCGACGTCGAGGATACTTCCATGAGCACAAATCCACTCGCTCTTGATCACTCGTGGAATCTCATGCACTCTGTTTGTACGCATTTGACTATCGCAGGCTCCGGATCTGGGACTCTGTTGGTAATGAAATCAGAGTCGTCACTGATGTTCTAATCTGCAAGCTTCAGCAAGACATGTCAGGTATCGAGATCCTGGGCATAGCCGCCGCGGTTCTCCAAATCGCAGATCTCGGCGGCAAACTGTCTGTCAAACTGTTTACTTTCTCCAGAAAGATCAAAAGTGCAGATAAAAGCATCAAAAGCGTTTCACAGGACATTGCAGCAACTGGTGCCGTGCTCCAGCAGCTGGCCAGCGTGCTCAAGAAAGACGAGAAGTTGCGGCTTTGCTCTGATCAAGCGATAGAAACAGCCAAAGGGTTAGTAGCTGATTGCAAAGCTATTTTCTCGGAATTGGACGAAGCGCTCGACAATCCTGGAACATCAGGCAACAAGTATATCTCGGCATGGAAAGAACGGCTAAAGTTTCCGTTCATCGAGCCCCAGATCGAACTTCTCCAGTCGAATCTCGAGCGACTCAAGGGCTCCCTTGTCCTCATGTTGAATGTACTGATCTATGCTGAACAACTCCGAAAGTGAGGGCTCTTCCCGTAAATACAACCGCAGCGCAACTAACCAAAACGTAACAGCCATGATGCGTTGCCGATTCTTCAAGAGCAACGAACTCTAATACAGATACTGGTGGACGATCGCAACGCCAGTTGTAAGAAATTCGACCAGATGCAGAAAGCGATCCAAGGTCGAAGCTTTCCGGCCACTCGCACCAGAGGGAAATCCCCGTCTATAGCTTCAATCAGCTCTGAGAAAGCGACCGCCACTGCGCATGAGCGAGAGCTCCAGCACCACGGCACACTCGTGGAGAACCTTATGAGCGAAATAAATGCCAATCGATATCAAATCAATCATGGTATTCGCTACAGAATGCATCAAGGAGTTTTGAGAGCACATTGGGACGAGTGGTCATCAATTAGAAAGCGCTTGGGGCATGGAAAGCTTATGAAAGTGATATCGCTCCATTCTGAAGTGGTAGGTCTGAGAAGATTTCTGAACACAAGTCCTCTCCTTGAAAATCAGGCGATTAACACTTCGTCAGAGCCAATACTGGCTTTCGAAATTGGAGCGCGATGATACTCCAATCCGAGACAAGCCTTCGAATCAGCCTCTTTTTGATACCTCTCAAAAAGCTTCAAATGGTACCAGATTCTTCTCTTTCCAATCGTTCACAATTTGACGATGTGACAGCAGATCTTCCAACATACGAAAAGGCTATTATCTCGACAAATCTTGACTCACAAGTTCCTCAATATGCAAGAACTGGTCGTTCCAGAAATTCCCACTCCAGCTCAGCTAAGTCGAGTTTTACTTCTGGTAAGGACATGAATGACAATCTCTCCAAAATGTCAACAAAACAATGGATTTCGCCGCCACCCCCGCCGCCACCGCCCATGTCAAAAGAGCCTGATTCGAAGATTGCGCAGTCGCAATTCTTACCTTGCCCACCGCCACGAACTGGAGTTTCAACTTCCATTCCCTCCCTAAATTCTGTTCGTCTACCGGCCGATGGTGTTTCACCAGCGCAGGATCCTTCGATTATATCTCCCAGGCCGAGCAGTGGGTCAGAAACGCCATCTCTCGAGAGAAAACTGCATGGATCATCAGAAGTCTTCAAGTCTGTTGAGAATAGTGAACATGACTCTGGAAGAAGATATTCTGGGCACTTTGCAGATTCTAATCCTGCATCACAGTGGTCAATGATACAAGTCGCCGCCTGGCTTAGGTTGAACTCCTTTTCCGAAGAATGGGTGATAACATTCGAGAATCTCAGAATGGAAGGATCGAAGTTCTGGGACCTTGCCGTTGGACCCACTGGACGTGGCAACATGGTAGCGATCATAAAGCGTGTCTACCCAGAGCTAGCCAGGGTATGCACCAGCAGAGGAGTCGTATGGAACCAGGCAGTAGCGCGTGAAGAAGGCAGACGTCTTCGCAATCTGCTGGTCCGCGATGCGGAAGCAGCCGTTCGTCGTTGGCATGAAGAGGCCATTGTTGAGGACCGTATAGCTGACACTACTCAAGGCGAGGCTTTTGGTGATGACTCGAACTCGTCGATAGTATTTGAGGGAAGGACGTCAACCTCGCGCCCTGGAACGTTTACCCCCACAAGCCACGAATCAATGCCGCCAGTCAAGTTCGTGGGTTCGAGACGTTCTCCCAAAAAGCACGGCGCCCGGAACCACGCACGCTCCGCTGATGCAGAGTCGGGTTCTGGTACAGAATCTGACGATGGTCTGTTTACGATTGCCCCTACCGCAAAGCGAGGGAATACTGCCGCGCGAGGCCCTGCCGGCCAATCTGCAAGCAAGCCTTCGCTCTCTCTGGGCTCACAAATGCCAAATGTGACTACATTTAGCGCTGGGAAGATTGAAAGTCAGCCAGAACACGGAACTTTATTTGGTGGCTCGTTGTGGGCTGTTCGTGCAACACCGGACCAGATACTCAAAAACTTGAGCACGCTCTTTCCTGACTTGGATGCACAAAGAAATCCCAAGCACCAGGCAGAAACACCAATCAGAGGTCAGATCATTGGTGCTGGCGTAAATAGCAGTGTTCACGTTGGTCTGAGAGTTGAGCCATTACGAGTCATCGTAATAAAGCAGATTCGGACCGAACAAGATGAGAACACTAATTCCAGTCCACAGGGGTCTCGGAAGGCCGAGTTAATGAGCTCCCTGATCGACAAATTCGCTTCAGCCATGCGGTTTAGGCATCGAAACCTCGTTGAGATTCTAGGATATCACCGGGACAAAGGCAATTCTTATCTCAGTCTCCACCTGGAATACGTCTCTGGAGGAACCATAGAGACCTGTCTGAGAACCTATGGTAGACTTGAAGAATCCGTCATCAGATCTGTAACGCGACAACTCTTGGCTGCTCTTTGCTACCTCCATCAGTCAGATCACTCCTACGGTGAAATTAAGGCTGGCAATATTCTCCTGGACTTGAAAGGGGTGTGCAAGCTTACTATCCCTGGAACCGTACTGACTGGCGAGTTTCTCGCTGGCGCCGTGGGAGGACACGGTGCAGCAGACGACATCTGGCATCTCGGCTGCATAGTTTTGGAAATGTATTCAGGTCGTCGAGCAATAACTCTGGATCCCAATACCGGAATTGATTCGAAAAGGACGCCATGTATCCCAGAGGACATCGTTTCGAGGGCATCGGTGGAAGGCCTTGATTTCATGGCGGATTGTTTCACAGTGTAAGAATCTAATTTCTACTCTTCCTTTACCATTCGCAATGAATGGTATCACTGACGAAATCCAGGAACCGAAAACACCGTCCAAGTGGTATTAATCTTAGTCGAGCTTCACGATTCAGTGCACCAGACCCATCCTACAATTTCCTAAAAACAGCCTTGTTTGCAAGCCTTGGAGGTCCTCCAACGGTGGCTGAGGCGTCGAACACTCAACACGACTATACACGACTCTTGCCAGACATAGAAACTGCCGCTGCATCATCAGCTCCCATTGATCTGGAGGAGCTCAGAATCTTTCCTGTCGACAAACAGTATAGCCTGGGATTGGATTCCATGGATCGACAAGAACCCCCTGATCACAAGCCACATGATGTATTCTTCTCCGCAGCTAATCCAGCAGGTAGCAGATCGGAGTCACCCCTAACTGATACGAGTGAAGTGATCCAAGGGCCAATTGGTCCTGCTGCAGCCTCGGCTTCAATGTATGCCGCCGTCTCATCGCCACGCATCATGACAGCTGCAGACATCATGCGTAAGCGGCGTGAGAGAGATTCAAGGAGAGGAGATGCCTCATACACCCATACAGGATCAGCATCACAGCCAACGCCGTGGTCAACGATCGGTGCTTCCAATCAAGATTCACAGTCATGGCACCAGCAGGGAGGTAAGACCATAAGCGATCTTAAAGGACATTTATCCGAAAGATTTCGAGACAAGTCTCCTCCTCCGACGCGTGATACTCGGAGTAGGCAACGCCCGTCATATATCAAAATCCCTCCACCTCCTCCGACACAAGGTTGGAAGATGCAAGGACCGTCACACTTCAATATCCCCCCACCCCCACTCCCTCCGCCTTCTCAGAACGAAAGGCCAGTCATCTCCGCGACCTACATCCCCAACAGCGACTCCTTTGGTCCCGGCGTTGGGATTCCGCCACTTCACGGCCATCCAAGCATAAATGACTCAAGCGTTTCGTACGAAGCTTACTATTATCCTTCGGCACCCGGCACTAACAAACAAAGGTACTCACCTCCGGAGTCTCCGGTATCTAGGATTTCATTCTTCGAAGATCGGTCGCGGTCACCATCTGGAATGCGGGATGAGGGATACCAAGCTGGAGGAAGAGGAGGAGAATCGGACGAAGAGAATCTCCCTGATGTGGATGATGCCGATTCTGTCGGTAGCGCTGATGATGCTGACGATGATGAACATCATGACGACGTCGCAGACATCGACGCACTGCTGTTGGACTGGACGACCCTTTCGACAGACGAGGTCAAGGCTGTAAAACCATGAGCGGGGCAGGCATTGCCTCCTTATCGAACTCGGAGGCAATGAACGATGATGCGTGCTTGCTTTGAACATACAGCACTCGATCCAGATCCGGCTGAGCCAATTACTCCTCAACGAATGTGACCAGAGTATGCTTGGTTGTTCCTTGTAAGTGATCAAATAACGAAGTGTAGGAAAGGGCAGATGGAGGACAATCTCAACTGTTGGGCGGCCAATGCGTGTGAACAAAAGTGGGATTGTTTTCAATCGCAAGGCTGTGGCCGGAAGGGATTTGAGTGCTATCACATGGTCAGTTTCTGAGTGTCAATTCATCGAATATCAGGAGCTAGCAGGCATTAACCTTCTGGTGTGATTTGAAGAATATCTATGATTGACTTCAATATTTTATTCTATCAATCTTCGTTCAAGTTCCGCATCCCCAGTCTCCTAGATGAAAGACCACCTGTTGTTGAAATCATGTTGGTGGTTTGTTGCCTTTTTTAATTATCGCACAAATAAATGACCCCATCGCCAGATAATTTTATCCCCCTCTTTTCCGGCATTTTTGGTTGAGTGCATAAATGCAATCTCTCTCTCTCTCTGGCGAGCAAATATCAAACATGAATGACCATATCATAGAATAACGCTACTAACATTCACCACACCCTTCTCAGCAATCAGCTCCTTCTTCACATCGTCCCCAATCTCACCATCCACACCAAGGATCATCAGTGCCTCATTCGACGGTTTCGTTGGCGTTTCCTTGGATCCATCGAAGCCCAATTTCTTCGCGCTCGCCGAGACGGTGGAGAAGGTGGCTGGGGCGACGCTCATGAAATTGATGTTGACGCCCTCGCGGCCGAGAATACTGCCGACGACGCCAATCTTGCCCGGTGAGTCGTAGTTGTGGCAGATGAGCAGCGAGCCCTCTGGCACGAAGGAAGTTGCGAATTGGCCGACGCGTGAGATGAAGGGGGAGTTGTCGCTGCAGTAGCCCGAGATGATGTGTTGTTTGGTGCTGAGTTCTCTGTTGTCGGCGCCATCGGCCGAGGTGGACACGACGGCTTCGGAGGAGTGTCTGCTCAGAGAGGGGGCGCGGCTCGGTGGGCGTGCGATCAGCGTCACCATGCTGTTGTATGCTTGAGTCATGGGATCGCGCGATTTCTGCTCGTTGATGAACAGGCCGCGTTCTCGCGCGACCATTTCGGCGTTCACGATGTTGACGTTGAAGCCCTCCGTGTCGGAGATGGGCGAGGTGAGGCCTTTGATTAGTGCGGCGAAGAGGGGTTTGGTGCTCGTCATCTGCGCGATCTCTCCCTCGTATATCAGGTCGAAGGTATTCAGGTTTCGCTGCGTGGGTTGTGAGGGAGAGGCGAAATGCTGAATATATAATGAGCCCATCTTCTCGACCAATTTGACGAATGGTTGGAGTGTCTTGTACTCCGCTGGGAGTATGATTGGCGCATTGACCGCGCTGCGAGGAAGATCGCCGGCCAAGATCTGAAGGACCTGTTCGCATACGTCGATGGACACATTTTCTTGTGCTTCGACCGTTGAAGCTCCCAAGTGAGGAGTCGCGATACATCTTGGATGCGCAACCAGCTTAGCAGCAGTTGAGTCGGCGACCTTGTTTGGAGGTTCGCTTGTGAATACATCGATAGCGGCGCCAGCTATTTGGCCGGATTCTAGAGCCACCAGGAGGCCTTCCTCGTCCACGATACCACCTCGGGCTACGTTGAGGATGCGGGCGCCACGTTTCATCTGGTTCAACTCCGCTGTCGAAAGCATGCCGCGGGTCGATGCCAACATAGGGGTATGGATTGTCAGGAAGTCGACCTGGGAGAGTAGATTCGGTAATCCCTCAATAAGCTCGACGTTGGCAGCAGCTGCCACTGCTTGCGAAGCATAGGGATCCGAAGCAATGACTTTCATTCCTAGTCCCCGAGCCATTCGTGCAACGATCAGACCAACTGCAAATATCAGTGCTGTGTCCGTTTTTCTAACGCCAGATTTTCATATTTGGACCATACCTTTTCCCAGACCGATTATCCCTAGAGTCTTTCCCTTGACTTCTACACCCACCAAACGACTTCTCTCCCATTTTCCATCCTTTACACTTGCACAACCATCAGGGATATTCCGGGCCATGCTCATCAGCAAGGCAATGGTATGTTCTGCAGCGGCTTGAATATTGCCACTGGGACTGTTGACGACAATGATGCCAAGCTTAGTGGCGGCGGGAACATCGACATTGTCAACACCTACGCCAGCACGAGCAACGACCTTGAGCTTTTTGGCGGCACTAAGTAAGTCTGCAGTGACTTTGGTCTCTGAACGGACTAATAGCGCATCGTAGTCGCCGATGATCTCCTTGAGTTGCTCTGGGGAGAGACCTTTCTTTTCATCCACGTCAAGAGTCTTACGAAGCAGTGCTAGTCCATCAGCGGACAGTTTCTCGGGGCATAGTACTTTAGGCCGGACGGCATGTCCGTTGGTGCCTTCCATGATTATGACAGTGAATTGGGATGTAGTTAGAATAATCCTGGTCCCTACGTAGCAGAAAAAAGAATCTCTTTTGGAGGATGACCACGCAGACGTGAGGATAGCCGGATATTGAGGGGAATTTTGAGTCTGTGCTCAACGCAAAACACAAATTTCGGTATTGCTTTTGACAGTTATTGAAAAACGAGCCGACTTGTGCGTAACAAGATGGACCGCAGCCTAAGTAGAATCCACCAATTATGCTCACAGAATGAAATTGATGGATATTCGCTGTCGTTGAGAAACGAAGGATGGGAATGTGGGGGTTTCCATGCCGACATCGCAATTCATTCGATGACATCAACTTTCTGTGGGTGCAATTTGATGCCCCACGATTTTCAATATTTCGCCAATCTGGGGAAGCCGGGATCCAATAGTAGCCTCCATATGAACCGCGTCAAACAGTAGACAAGAAATCACCTACCTGGAAAAAAAAGCACGCCAGTGCTATAGTAGAGCCTTGCTGGTTATATATATCCAAATATTTCGATTTAGTACTCAAGTGCTTCCTCGAACAATCCCCGTAGCTGTTCTCGTTCCTCGCCGAGCTCCTCGCTCAAACTCGGTGCCAGCATCAGCACTCGCTTTTGTGGTAAAGTGCCTTCCACTAAATCGTCTATACTGTCTTTCGTGAATCCGAGGTGCTTTAGTCCTCTGGGCTGATCTCCGAGGCCTACCAGGAATTCGGCTAGAGCCTCACTGAGCACTTCACCCGCACTTTCCTTCTTGACGTTGGAAATGTCCTTGCCAAATGCTTCCGCGGCCGCCAGATGCCGCTCAGGATTGCTCGGTCCCGTGAACCTGAAAACTGCCGGGGCAGTAACAGCGACACTCACACCGTGGGGAATAATGGGCGTATCAAGAACATATCCCTCGTGCTTGTAGCCTGGATTCTGTCCACTGATTGGGTAACTCATGCCGTGGCAAAGATGGACACCAGCATTTCCAAATCCGACTCCTGCCAGTGTAGCAGCCAAAAGCATTTCACTCTGTGCCTCATGATCTTCAGGGTCCTTGGTTGCTCGTGGTAGATACTTGACTGTCTGTCTGAGTGCCTGCAGCGAGAATATATCTGAAATAGGGTTTGCGCCTTGATATGCAGGTCGAAGAATGGGGTTGGCTGGTCTTGGTGATCTTTCATAGTAAGGAATCGCGGTCCAAGACTCTAGTGAATGGCACAAGACATCGAGACCTGACGAAGCATGGACAGCCGAGGGCATGGTTCGAGTATTGAGAGGGTCACATATTCCCAAAGTGGGCTTTAGAGCTCGGTGAGCAATACCTGTCTTCGCTCGCTTCTCTACCAGATCGAAAATTGCTGTTCCCGTTGTCTCTGAGCCGGTTCCCGCGGTGGTCGGAATTGCAACCAAAGGCTTTAGGGGTTTAGTGATGGGTAAGCCCTTTCCTAAGGGAGCATTGACGAAATCGAGGAAGTCTGCATCTGGAAAACATGTGTAGAGATTCATCAGCTTGGCTGTGTCGATGACTGAGCCACCACCAACAGCCAAGAATGCGTCGGGCTGATATGGCATTGCGAATGCAATAGCATGCTTGATAGAGCTGTCTTTGGGCTCGACCCGGCATTGATCATATACGGTGAATTCCACCCCTTCGTTCGTCAATGCTTCGATTGTTTGTTTCATAGCATTTAATTTTGCGACGTTCGCATCAGTAACGACGATGACCCGCTTTGCACCCAGATTCTTCATGTCCATACCCACTTCTTTCGTGGAACCCGGCCCGAATCTGATCGAGCTCGCTGCCATCTCGAAGGCATAATCTTTGGAGCGGGAGTGGTCGATTGGGGTTGCCAATCGCCTTCTCGCTTCGCCAAAGACAGCCGGAGTATGATGGTGATTGGGGTTGGAGTGGCAAGGGCAGTTAGGAGGATGATTGTACTGGATGGAGCGTAACAACGACGAGGATCGTTGAGCTGCGGTCCTTGCGAGCCGCACAGCGGGTGAAAGGGACATTGTGAGAGGAGAGGAAATGTATCACACGCGACTGAGCGTCAACGGTCAAGTAGCAGTCAAAGTAGACAGGATGAATTGGACCTATGTGCAAAGGCGAAGGTCTTTATTGTACTCGACAAGGACGAGATCGCAGGTTCAATCTAGAAGAATGGACATCTCCCACAATCAATGATCCTGGGGCAGGTCCTTGTGGCACGTTGCTGCCACTGCCAATGTTCTGTGGGGAAGCAGCTTCCCATCTGTGGCGCCCCAAAGCTGGTGTGTAATTGGAGGTTTTGGGCGTATCTGGCGGTTCTCTAGGCATAGCTAGACCATTTCCAGGCCCAGAGCTTCCACCGGGATCCCTAACGAGGAAATCGTCTTACCTATGGGCCGGTGCCCGGACCGCTCAAGCTCCATCCACAATTTAGCTTGGGACTGAAATCGCTGGGGGGATACCTCGGCCAAACCTGAGTGAGGGGCAAAGTGCGGATCACGACTTTTGAGAATGAGGGGAAGAAGTCCGAAGGCTTGGGTAGATGATGGAGGAATAGAGCCTTTCGTATGACATATTCTCCCGCGAGAAGACCATGAACAAACACAACTTCTTTCAGATGAAGATGTAGGACTTGAGCTACCTGGGTCCTTAGGTACCTATACTAAATGACATATGAATGCCAAGGACGACTATGCATGCTTGTGTGGATGTATGCACAACATACGAGCAGGTGCCACATGCCAACCATTGTCAGCAAAGAACTCGAGATGCAGAATCACTGAATAAGAGATGCTGCACCAGGCCAAAACTGGTATGTGTACTTTATAACTTGGAAGTCCCGCCTCTGGACCGCACAATCGGGCCATGTATTTTTGTGGATGGCAGCAACAGATCCAACTGCGACGTGTTGAGGTATCCGAGATGAGCCTCCGAAAGATTCGTGATGCCTAGCAATTGCATGGCAATTTTCAACTCCTCTTTCAGGACTGTTCGAGAATTCGGGTTAGTCATATATTTGCACGCAAGACAAGACAAAACACGCGTATGAGACTTACTCTCAAAGGCCCGAACCAAACCATCTTCTCCATAGGCCAGGGCGTAGAGGAACGGCCGACCCACACAAACAGCGCTAGCACCAAGACAAATCGCCTTGAGAACGTCCGAGCCTCGCCGAATGCCACCATCGACGACCACCTCCATGCGCGGCAAGATTTCAGGACACGTCTTCTGAATTTCCAACAGGACAAGGATCCCGGGCGGTGTCGTATCCAGCGCTCTCCCACCATGGTTTGACAAGTAGATTCCCGCGCAGCCAATCTCATAGGCTCGTCTCGCGTCTTCAGCTCGCTGGATGCCCTTCACGAACACGGGGAGCTTTGTATAGTTCTGGATCCACTTGATATCCTCCCATTTGAGGTTCGGGTCGATAATGGTATTCGTGGGTGGCGGAGCCAGTACCCGCTCACCTTGGCTCATGGCTTCTCTCTTGCTGAGCACAGGGAGGTCTGCCGTGATCATGATCGCTCGGGCGCCGAGACCACAGACTTCGTCCAGAAGGCGCCGCAATTCTGCGCGGTCCTTGTGGACATAAAGCTGGAAAAAGAATGGGTGATCGGGCTCCAGTGCCTCGGCCACTTCAGAAGCTGAAAAAGAGCTCATCGAAGGGACGATGGCCGGGACGCCGCTGCGCTGACACCCTTTCGCTACTGCAATCTCTCCGTCTGGATGGGTGAGTTTGATCGATGAGGTCGGCGCGGCCAGGATCGGGCATGAGAGGTCGTAGCCGAGAAATGTGGTTCTGGTATTGGCATCGTCCACGCCCTTGAGCAAGGTCGGGCGGAATAGTAATTGGCGGAATAGCTCCTTGTTGGCCTTGTGTGCGTGCCCATCTTCCGTCGCGCCTGACACGTATAGCCATGCTTTCTTGCTCAATGCTCGCTCCGCCACAGCTTCGAACTGGGATAGATTCACAATGGACTCCAGTGGCGGCAACTCAACAGCCGTCTTGGTGGTGTTCGTCTCTGCCTGTGAACTCGTGAAGGTGATGGCGTCGGTGTCCTCAATCTCACCCACCCGCCTCTCCTCGCCAAAGTACCGAAGTACCATTGCCGGACTGTGGATTTCATTGTATGCGGCACTGCCATCCTTGCCGAGATGGCTTTCGATGATCTCCTGCCCGCCAGGATGTTTTGCCGCAAAGCCAGAGAAATCCCAGACCACGCCGTTCAGAAGTATCCAGGCATCGTGCTCGACGACATGTTGTCCGAGTTCCTCGACCGTCACTTTAGATGAGGAGGACGGCATTGTTCCTCTTGTGGTGAAGCTATGCTCCGTGCGATGGCGGTCTCGTCGTCTGCCGAGCAGACCACCTTTGAGATCCTCAACCTATTAGTACTTCCTTTGACACGAAGTCGACCACGTAACTTCAAGACCAGTATTTCATCTCGCAGATAAGAGTGCCTCATTTGTAAACAATTTTGGTATTTTTGAAAATCTATGGTCCCGAGCGATCGGAGATGACCTATCTCCCCCCCCAGAGCGACAGTGCGTCAAAGGCCGAGGATTGGCTTTTTCTTACTCTTTTTTTCTTTCGGAAAAGCCGACGTCTGGTCCAACACAAATATAATCCAACCTGTCAACTACCTCTGGCCTCGAGTACACGCAGCACATAGCTAGAACACCTTCAATTCACATGAAACTTTCAAAGTTCGTTGGTGTTGCAAAAATTTCTAGGATAACAATAAGCTCAAAAGGTGCAAACAGCTGAATTTTGTTTGTACAACTGGCACATCGTTCATACACTATCAACAAGTTGTTCTTCTTGATCTCAAACTCGAGAATGTCCTCGTCGATGATCATCTCGACTGGAGCTTAGCGTGGCATGGTCAAATTCTCTTGCAATCTTGATGTCGTTGGTATGTGGCCGTTTGGACCGTGATCGATTGAACTCGATCATAGATAGCCCTAGAAACCCCTCTCCAGTGTTCGCTGACTCGTACATTTTTCTTTACATTTGCACCCTCCCGACCTCTACCATACTGATCATTTCGTCTCTTCCCCCCACCTTGTTCGAGTCGCAATCAACTTGATAGCACCATTTCTGGGTGCAGCTGGACTACGTCTCAGTCTCCCCGGACCACTCTTCAAGCCTGAACTAAACCCTAGTCCTGTCCATCAGCGTGGTCGCCGCCCCCAAACCTCTGGAACGTCAGCGTTAGAAGCTCTTTTTGAAGACAAAATGCGGACCTAGGCTTCGTCATCTTCAAAATCCCTTGATATAAGCCTCGAGTGCCTCTGCTGTTCCAGCCACGCCTCGCACCTTCTTGCCTCCACTTCTGCTCTTGGCATTTGAATCTCGATTTCATTGCAGGTGCAGCGACTTCAGAAGTGCGAGAACGCTGGGTGATGGCAAGATATTGGACAAACTGCAGTACAGATGCATTTGCAGCAGGCGTTCACGATCAACTTCCTCCTTGTAGAGTTTGAATGTGACGACGCTAAAGAGAATGTGCGGGCTGTTGCTCGTGATACACAGGTGATAATGGATGCTATTCGCTGTTCGCTGTGAGCCCTAATACCTGGTCAGCCTCGTCAACAAAGTACCGCGAGTCTTCGGCCAGCCTGTCACCCAACCACCAGGCTCTTTCAAAACCAACGAGGTGACGCTACCAGATAGCAGCAGCGCAAAATGCTGCTGACAGATTTCAAAGCCGCCAAGCAAGTTCCTAGGATTATCGTATCGGTACTATCCGGTGGCCGCAAGGCAAAATCTCAGGAGTTCCAGTCACTGGGACCATTCGAAGGATCGAAGAATACTGGTTGACCAAAAAACCTAATACCCAGATCTTCACCGGTGGTACCTTCCAGTCCGACTAAGGAGTCAACGGTTGGATAATGTAGGAAATCCATGGACATTTCATCCATGCTCTATAACGTTGTTAGCACAGCTTGCAATGTGACACTAGATGGCGACTGACTAGGTCGGGAACAGTAAAATCACGGTCGTCCGCACCGCCGTTGTTATCCTCATAATCACCAAAGTTGGGCGCCTGTATGGCTACGAAGACACCTTCGGCTTGTCCGTCACTGCCTGCGCTGGCTCCCAGAGCCAATTGCTCCCTCGATGTGACGTAATCACGGGCAATGCTGGTCAGCTCCGCTAGCATGTGGCCCTTTTGTGTATAGCCAAGGGCAAGCTGAAGCCGTTGCAGATAGCCAGCGGCGACGTCCAGATACAGCATATTCTTGGGCGTTTCTGAGTGGTCTGGATTGTAGACCACAAGATCAAAGAGGATAAACGTGGCTACGATTGGCGTCAAGCCAAAAATACTGTGCTTAATTAGTGATAGTAAAGCAGCGATTGGGGAAAACAAACTTCATTGGTGTAGATGGCTCCAAGGGTATGTAGGACAATACTTCCATGATCATTCTGGCAGATTTCATCAATAGTAGCTTACTCTCTGCTACGGCTTTACAGCGTCGATCGCCTTCGACATGGATCAGGAGCCTGCACATCGCGATCTGGAGGTTGTAATATAGAAAGTGAGTCTGCAAGATTGCGTATAGCATGTGGGTCTTTGCGACATGGCGTGCCCGCACCGGGACATCAGGTCGAAGGTGGTCTGGGAAGGAGTCTTTCCACCTTTCCAGTTCCTTACGAGTATGTCGTATTTCATTTTCATAGTAAGTAGGCATCTGACTCCTTGAGCTCACAGAGAACAGCTTCGCGTATGCATGAGAAAGGACTCTGGCGAACTTCACTTGTACGTCTAGCCAGTCCGTATCGCCGTCTGGCGAAGTGATAGCATCGGGCACGGAACAGCTGATGTCGCCATCATTGAACAGCTAGCAAGAAACGTCAGAGCAGAACGGCATAGCCATTGATTACGTCCAAGACTCACCGAGGACTGCGACGAGTGGAAGCTATACTCCTTCTCAATGCAGTAAATAACCCAGAATGCTCTCCTTTTCTCCGCCGAATCAGCGAGATTGGGCGGTTGTTTATTCAAACGAAGGGCAATGGCCATTCGAGCGGCTTCGGTGATCAAAAGCTCCTCCACCGGCCAGCTGGATTGATTCATGCCGAAGATGGCCATTGCGGTCAGTGTTTGTGCAACGAGTAGCGACTTCTTTGCAAATAGAAGACTGGCAAAGGACTTGAGCACGAGTATGAATATCTTCCAGGCTTGTCCTTCCATGGGCTTAAAGGAACCTCCGTCACGAGAGATCATTCCCAAGCTGAGGATTGTACAATAGAGCATTGCCCATACCTGGTCGGAGCAGAGCTTAACCTCGAGATTTGTGCCTAGAGCTTCATGCTCGAACGCATGTCTATCGAGGAATGGTAACACAGGGTGTATCTCGGTGAAAAATGCTGCAACCATAAGTTAAAGGGGTTGAAATCGATCTGAGCCACTCACTTTGTATATAAGCTGCTCGTAGTTCGGGCGTGGACATCTGTAAAACTACTTGAACGTCGAAGTTTTCTGGCTGAACAGCGGCATTGACGGAACTGGCCTGCCTAATCCTTGATTCATCCCCAAACTCATCCAAAAGGGTCCGCACGCGATCGTGACCAAGACGTTTTGCTAGATCAACCAGGTTATGCTCCGAAAAGAATGCAAGACTACAGCTTGTGACTAGAGCACGTCAGCTAACAAGACGGCCGGGACGCTATCCACTATGAAGCCTTACTATACTTTGTGCTGCGCTGCAAAATGTTACCCCAATGGACAGATGGATAGTGGGAGAAATCTGACCTGAAAAGTAATATTACCCTCGGCATCGGCGGATCTGAGTGTCGTAGAATGAGTGTCAGTGGGCGACATTTCACTCATCTGGAACCTTGGTGCATCAGAGGGTGGAGTTCCGTGTTGGATGGATCCCCCATCCATTGCAGTCGTCGTCGCGAGGATGTCGGGTTGGGGGGCAGTGCGCGCACGAGGTGTAGCGGCTGATTGACGTGCTTTGCGCTGCTTCGTGGACGAGAAATGGCATTGCTCTCCTCGCAGCTAGACATCAAGTTCAGATCTGGTGGTCTCAACCGGATATCAAGGGCATCCTCACATTACAGTTTGAGCAGGCATCATCACGGAGATTTTTTTCTAGTATCGTGTGAGTAGGAACTTGATCGAATGCTGGACGTGAATTACTTATGCATCGGACTTTACGCCGGCGACAGAGATCGCATGTCGTCAACGGCTTTGCGTATTCACTAGACATGGAATCCGTCATGTGCGCAAGATCCATGGTACAATCGAAGGTTGGCCACGTTTCCAGTCTATGGCGTAATGGTCTAATATCGAGATGCAGAGGGTCAGTGCTTGGGTATGCTATGTGACCTTGGGCGCGCTGATGCGCATGTCTACCCAGGTAGGTAAAATAGTGAAGGCAACGACAAGGAAAGTTACTCCGGAATATGAAGGGTGCTAGGTGGTTGGGGCACAAGATTAACCTTCACGCCGCCGCGGGCAACGACGTCACCTGCGAGATGGCCCGAGGCCTCCTTGGCCCAGCCAAGTTCCGGAAGAAATAAGGGGTAGTATGTACTATTTTGCTGGATAAAGCGTGAGCATTCCTGAGTAATTTCGACTCCTAGGTTTATGATCATTGAGGAAACCTAGCGTCGGCACGCTAAACAACGACAATGTTCTCTCTGTCATATCGACTGAATTGTATGAGCTACAACAGCTAGGTTCGCCCAAAGTGCGAGGTTTTCCTAGCTTAGGGTTTGCCCGCACACACGATCGTCATAGAATAATCTCCGCGTGCAAAATGATATGTTCACTGGGATCTCTCTTCCAACCTCGAGCCCCTACTTGAACTTCGCCATTGTGAAGTCGACACGTGTCATGATTGTAAGAAGAGCCTACCGATGACAGCACGAAATACTTCATCCTACCCGGGTGAAGTAGTATAATCCCTAAGGAGCAAGGTATCACCTCGAGGATCAGAAGAAGACACAAATCATCAAAGATTGCCCTAAAGCAAACCATGGTGCGTTTTGCTTTCACCTTGGACGCCATCTCGGAACGACCTAGCAAACAGTTGCGTAGCTTCCTGCCACCCCTGCGTGGCCCATAACTCTGCAAAGATGGCAAGCTGGACGAAAAGCGTTGCGTCTAGTGCGCATCTCACCGGAGTCCTGGCAAAACAAACCGAACTAAAGCTTCAATGTGTTAAGCCTGTCGCGGCTTGAGATAACGAGTCTTGGTGCTGCGTATCTGTGAGCTCTCGTATCGTCCCCCACATAGCGTAGCACACTTTAGAAAGCTCTAACGCTCTCAACGGGGCTACTGCCGTGCCATCTGCCAGCCATGCGAGGAGCAAAACGGGGTCTCGCCATTTATCGCCGTATGTGCGGGCGGGGTGCGCACGATTGAGTCAAGCACAGACGTCGAGGACGAGGGTTAGACGACCGGAAGTTCCGAACATTTCGAGCCAAGACACGTGAAGCCGAGCCACAGGGTTGACGTGCAGTTGCTTACATGGATATCTATTCAATACTTGGAACGGGTAACGCAAGATTCAGATAAGCAAACCTACTTATGTATCAGCATCGTCGCTCTGCGTAGGAGATGATAGAGCGAGAAGTTGTGTGATATCAAAGCCTCGAAGCCTTACCATAAGCCGGGATTGCGAAATGGCTAGTCTGACTTACGCTCAGGCCGCTCTCAAAGCGGCACAGGACGCCTACACTAAGCAGAATCCGTTGTCATTACAAGCCCATCAGGCTGCACATAACAGCCTCCCCGGCGGCAATACCAGAACTGTGCTGCATGCGGATCCTTTCCCCATCACCTGGGACTCTGGCAAGGATGCCACTCTGACCTCGATCGACGGCCATACCTATGCCGACCTCCTGGGTGAATTTAGCGCAGGAATTTTTGGTCACTCAGACCAGCGCATCGCACAGGCCGTACAAGACGCGATGAAGAGTGGTTGGAACTTTGGAGGCAATTCCCGTCTGGAGAAGGCATTGGCACATAAGGTTGTCGACCGCTTCAGGCCATCTGGAATCGAACTCGTACGATTCACAAATTCGGGGACGGAGGCTAACACAACCTGCTTGGGAGCAGCTGTAGCCATCACACAACGGCGAAAGATTCTGGTCTTCAGCGGAGGTTATCATGGAAGCACGCTCGTGTTCCCTATGGCCTTAATGCAGGGCTTATTAAAGACACCCAGCATGAACCTCCCTCACGAATTTGTGTTCGGAGCTTACAATAACATCCCGGAAACCAAGGCCGTCATCGCTGCACTTCCCCAAGACAGCCTTGCTGCCATCCTAATTGAGCCAATTCAAGGCTCAGGAGGCTGTCGACCAGCTACCCAAGAATTTATGCAATACCTCCGCCAAGTCACTGACGAGACCGGCGCGCTATTAGTAATTGACGAGGTCATGGCATCGAGACTTTGCTTCTCCGGTTATAGTGCGGCGATAGGCATCCGTGGGGACTTTGTGACGCTTGGCAAGTATATTGCTGGTGGTATGACATCTGGTGCATTTGGGGGCCGCAAAGATCTTATGGAGCTCTTCGACCCTACTAAGAACCAGCTGTTTCACCCCGGAACTTACAATAACAACGTACTTAGTATGAATGCTGGCTTAATCGGACTGGATATTTATAATGCAGAGGAGGTTGATCGCTTGAACAGATTAGGAGAGGACGTCAAGGCCAAGATTCAACAGGTTCTGATCGATGAGAAGATCTATCCAGAGCAGCTTCCCTCGGCCTCGACCAACCTGATCGAGATTGACAGCTTTAAAGACAAGGCTGAGGTTATTGACATCAGCACCGGACAGTCCTTGCGCAAGTTGCCTCCAATGTTTATCACAGGAAAAGGGAGCATGCTCAACATCCGTTTTTCCGGACCAGAGGCTGCCACATGGCAAGCCCTCTTCTGGCATCACTTGCTCACTCGTGACATCTTCATTGCGGTTCGAGGTTATACACCACTGAATCTGAAGGTCACCGCTACTGACGCCGAAAACTATGTCTCTGCGATCCGGGAATTTGTTCAACAGCACAAAGCTCAACTCTTGGCTCAGGAGCCAGTGGCTTTACAGGATATAGCATCAGTTTTGCAACCAAAGCCTGCGGTGGCTATCTCGATGCAAGTTGCTGCGACCGCATAAGTCTGAGGCCCGAGGCGTCTGCGAGACTAGGGTGTATAACACAAAAGGGCGGCTTGAAGTGTTCCCTGCCTTAGATGTTCGATAGAAATATACGAACGTTTTCCAACCACTAGAGTCGCACACATTTCGGTGTGTCTCTCTGTTTCTGCGTGCATGGCCTCTGAAGCCTCAATAAACATTTCAAAATCCTCCACTGATAGATCTCTGCATGTTACTAGCAACTTAGTGGTTCGTAAAATGACCTTGACTGCTGCGGGCAGGGGTTCAGTGCCTCTGAATCCGGATGCTGTCCTGGTATTCTTCAGTAGATCCTACCCGGCACGGCGCTATGGTACGGCGGTGAGAAAATTAAGGCCCTCAGGGTTGATACAAGCTGCAGAATCTCACGGCTGAACCTCGTGACTGGTAAGGCGGACTGCTTTCGCCGCGTCAACAAGCTCAGATGCGGGTTGGCCGATTATCGTCCTTCGACCGGACTTTCCGAAGAATTTGCACAGTGCACGTTACAATGATGGGTCACTACCAGCTCGGCCCACCCATGATCGTTGTCCTATCTGTCGTGTGGTGGCGCGTGGCGCAATAGGTAACACGCGAATGACAACTGCATCCATGGTCTTGGAGTTTATGAAACTCACACTGATACAAAAATCCGCAAGGAACATCCATCGCTAGAGCGGTGCTGCTTCTGTTCCATAACATTGAATGCAAATTACTGCTTCGACAACGGCTTTTCAGCGACTTCGAAGCACTCATCGTCACTTAACTTCCAAAAACATGGGTAGCATTGGTGTTCAGCAAGTCCCTCCAGCTCAGGATGCCTTGTATGAGATTGAGGACCATCCATTAGGCGAAGCTCGCTACTTGAAGGTGCTATGCATAGGTGGAGGCGCCACAGGTCTCAATCTAGCTCACCAATTTAACCGACATCTGAAGAATGTCGAGCTCGTCATCTACGAAAAGAACCCCAGACTGGGCGGCACTTGGTACGAGAATACCTATCCTGGCTGCGCTTGCGACATTCCGTCTCATATTTACCAATTTCTCTGGTCGCTCAATCCTGATTGGAGTTTGTTCTATGCTACTGCTCCTGAAATCTACAAGTATATGGAAGATACCGCTAAAAGATTCGACCTCGAGAAATACATTCAAGTTAACCACAAAGTTACACATGCTCAATGGGTCGAAGAGGAAGGGATCTGGAAGATCAAAGTTCTGAACACCGCCACAAGCGAAGAGTTTGAAGATTGGGGCCACTACTTAGTCAACGCTGCCGGTTTCTTGAATCATTGGCGATGGCCGGATATTAGTGGACTAAAATCCTTCAAAGGCGAACTCCTACATTCGGCTCAGTGGAGACAGGAGGTTGATCTGAAGCAAAAGCGTGTTGCCGTCATTGGCAACGGTTCTTCAGGCATTCAACTGGTGACAGCATTACAACCGGAAGCTAGTCATCTAACTACGTTCATCCGCAATCCGACCTGGATTTCAACATCGTACGCCCAAAAGTTCGCCGGTCCGAACGGCGCCAATTTTGAGTACAGCCAAGAGCAGAGAGACGAGTTTCGCAACAATGCCGAAAAATTCCTAGCCTACCGCAAGGAGATTGAGGCCGAAATGAATGGAGGCTTTGCTTTTGCATTCGAAGATTCAGCTGAGCAGTTAATGGCCGTTAATTACATCACAGATGTCATGAGAACGCGACTGGGTCCTAAGCACAAGGAGCTAGCCGACAAGCTTATCCCCACGACATTTGGATTCGGCTGTAGGCGACCAACTCCCGGTACTGGCTACTTGGAGGCCCTTACCAAGGAGAACGTGACTGTCGAGCTCGATAGTCTCGCGGAAGTGACTGAGACAGGCATCCGAACGAAGTCTGGTACCTTCTACGAGCTCGACGCTATCATCTGCGCCACGGGCTTCGAGACCTCATGGCGCCCACGGTTTCCCATCATTGGCCGCAACAATGCCGACCTAACAGAGCAGTGGAAGTCCCGCGCCACCGCATACCTGTCATTTGGCGTCCACAACTTTCCCAACTATTTCCGTAAGTCTCTTATCCTATTCCCTGCTCGAGTTTATGTGTTATACTAACCACATTCTAGTGGTCATGGGCCCTAATTCTCCACTCACTCATGGTTCTGCGCTGCCTAGTATCGAACATCTGACTAAGTATCTTGTCCGCCTGCTGTACAAGTTCCAGACCCAGAACTACAAGTCGGTCGAACCCTACGAGGAAGCCGTTAAGGACTTCATCCAGCATTCTGACACGCTAATTATGAAGACAGTTTGGGGTGGCCGATGTCGATCATGGCTCAAGGGTGGCAAGGACGAAGGCCCCGCGCTTTCTCACCCAGGAAGCCGTCTGCATTGGTTTCAGATGCTGCTTGAGCCTCGTTGGGAGGACTTCAAATGGACGCGTATCTCAGAGAATAGGTTCGCCTATCTGGGCAATGGCCATTGTACAATGGATGCGGAAGGCAAGGACAAAGCTTGGTACATGGACAACCCGGATCTCGGATACGAAAGCATCATATATTAGAAGCATCAATAGTGAACAGGAGTAGGTTTTTTTGCTATATCTATGGGATATCAAGTGTGAACAACTATGATAGAAGCACAGTGGCAATGACTACTACTGTTTACGTACGCAACTGTGCTTTTTCGTTCTACACCCACTCGCCGTGAAATAAACTCGTTGTTGAGTTCTGAGGCAGGCTGCTACACTAGATCCGCAGATTGAGTAGCCGTACTCCACCTACTTGCCCGATTCTGACAAAATTCGATGATTGATTGGGCTTTGATCAAGGGCTTAGCACATCTCGTTGCATCAAGTGAAGTCTATACACATCTATCTACGCATACGCTTCGAGACACACTAAAGTTGCCATAAAAAGGCTGACCTGCCCTAGATCACGTGGAAGAGTTTCCGAGGTCTTAAAATCGTCTAAACTTATCACCCTCCTGAGTAGTTGGCTTGGGAGGGTCCGCAGGATACGCGCTGGCCTTGAACACTAACGCAAATCGCTTGACAGAGTACTTGATGATAGCCCCTTTTTTGATGAAGAACGTCTCTCCTTCGTGCAACGTTGCCCTTTGGCCCGTCTCGTCTTCTAGATCTAGCTCACCTGGGCATTACACCGCATCAGCATTCATTACATGTCGAAGCTTGCAAGATCGACAAGGCCTTTCGATGGACTCACCCTTGACGACGATGCCAGTCTCTTCGTGGTCGTTCGGGGGACCAGCTCCGAAGACGCCAGGAGTAATGCGCATGAATTCAGCATAGAGCTGGACATCTTTAGGCGTGTCTTCGGATGCGGTGCCCAGGATTCGTCCTGTAGAGAGTACGTGAGCATTTTTTCCGTGGCGTAAAAGCTGCTCATGGATGATAGGGGTTCATCATCCTTGCTTGGACAGCGATAAATACCACATACCATACCAGTAGTTCGAAGAAGGAGTCCCAGGGACTAAAGGGGAGAGGTACTGCTCCCCTTCGGTACGGTATTCAAAATGCATCTTGGGACCTGCCGGACTTGTTCAAATCTCGTGATTAGGACATATGATGTGGTATCATCTCCGCAAGACTCAAGAGCCAAAAAATAGAAGGCGGATGACGATGCTAATAACATAGTAAACCAGCCAGAGATAGTAGGAGACAACGAAAGGAGATCACGACCATCACTTCGATGTAGCCGAATATTCCAATGGCGGTTCTGTGGTTTGTACGCCATGCGTAGACACAGCAAAATATTCCTAAGGTGGAAGTTCCACACCACATTCCGTCTTTCGGTGGTCATTCGTGAGCCATATTCCATGCGACTTTACGCCGCCCATGCCGGTAGACTTTTCGTCGATTGACCACCCATACAGTATTAGTGAGATAGAGGTCAAACCCTTGAGACCGGCAAAGAAGCCGTGGTGGAAGGGGCAAGGCAGGGTGACCGGAAACTCCGTGCGGCAAACAAGAGATGAATAGACCAAAGACCCCTGTCTTGATGCACCTTCTGCAGATACCGCTAACCTATCAACCTCAAGATGGAATGACCTGCGTGCGAATCTGCAATCGAGATCGGCAGGTCAAGAGTTGAGATGATGCTGTTATCGGGTGCTCAGTGGATGAGAAGGTGCGGTGCCCGGAGGTTCCGAAACTCGCCAAAACCAGATCCCACCACCAGTGCCATGGAATATCCGAGACGTGGAGCAGGCTGATTTTATTTCCCCACTCAAAGAGCACTACGGAAGATGACAGAGCCCTCGGGACGACCATCTCATTGTTGGAGAAGTACTGAGGTCACAAGCAACCCTAGATCTTGGAATGGTAAATTGACAAGAAGAGTTCAAGCAGAAGAGCGCATGTGAAGCCCGGAGGACCCCTTTGAGGACGCGGTGCAGCCTTTACTGTCGCTATGGCTCATGTTGAATTGGAGGTTTGGGTGAAATCGAGGCAGGAGCGTTCGGACACTGCAACCAACTTCGCCTCAGCACATGGGAGCTCAGGTGAAGGCGCTGTAGCATTCAGTCTCACAAGATCAGCGATGCTTAAAGTATATGTTGATACCAGAAACCCCAAATTTAGGTCACCATGTGTCTGTGAAAAGGATTGTAGTAGTGGATTTTGCTTGAGTAAGGGTAAGACGCTGGCCTCTAACAAGGGGAAGTATTCTTCTTCCCTGATATATGCGCTGAAGCTGGTAGTAGGACCGTTGAATGGACCTGAGATAATCAGGTCAGTACACAGATTCAGAATAATGCCGCAAGGTCTTGGGGGTGCAGGAATTGAGCTTGTGGTGGAAAAGAAAGTGCTACTTGTCGTTCTGGGCGATATTTGTGTCAACAAAGTGCTAGCAGATGGCATTGTAGCCGTAGATGACATTGTAGCCGTGGATGACAGTAGGCAAGAGCGATCGAAAGCCCACACCTTTTGTGTACTCGTGCATCCAGAGTTGAGGTTTGAATTAATGCTTCCATTGTATGCAACAAGGTCCCTGATACTCTGGTAGAGTGTACCGATAACTGACCAACCGTTAACGAAGGCCGTCTGTAATAGAGGGTTGGCCACAAACTTGGCCAGGACGACATCAGCTATATCATCAGCAGAGCAAGCCAGGTTGTCTTTAGAGTAGCATGAGCTATTGGATCCTGAAAATGGACTTTGATAGAGTGCACCCCGGCAGAGATCAAGTACTTTCCCACATCTCGCTCTCATCCCCAGTGCTGTTGTGGTCAAGTTGGAAAGCGGTGGAGCAAGACAAGAGCGATCCCACACCCTGACGTCTGTTTTTCTCTCATCCGCACACTGAAATGATGAGTATCGGGTTATGAATTGGCCGAAGTTCATGTCAAAGATATAGACATCATCTTTTCTGGTAGTTCTTCTCATTGCAAACGTCTGTAGTTGCGGAATGTCTGCGAGTATGGGACCTATGGCAGCCGTGATAGTATCGAGAGTACATTGACTATCAGGGACACCAAAACATGCTCTCCCAAATAGGCTCTTGGCGTCGAAATCAGCAATCGCTGCGTCTAGACAAACCGCGACAGTCAGGCCACACGTGGTGCTTAGCACACTTTGTGATGTTCTTGTGACTACTGTAGTTGTTGTGGTGGTGGTCGTAATAGCCATAGCTGTTACCATAGGAGTCGTCGATGCAGACTGCGCTGATGTCGCTGATGTCGCCGAAGTCGTAGTCGATGATGTTGTTCCCATCGACGCCAGCAGGCAGGAGCGGTCGGAAATGCGAATACGAGCGGTGTAGCTACAGAGAAGCGGGTTTGAAGCGGATGTTGCATTTAGTGCAATGAGTTCGTCAATGGTTTTGGTGAACGTATATACGCCGAAACTGGTTAACGTAGATAAGACGACTCCGTATGACTGTAACGGCGAATTTCCTGAAAAATACGGCTCGGCGTTGGCTGCTATATTATCGTCTGTGCATCCACCTAGACAGAAAATTGAAGGACCAGTATAATTGTTCGAGATGTAAGGATCTGGGATGACCAATTTGGTACAGATATCGAGGACAACGTTGCAAGTTGTGCTAGGTGTCGAGGCTGATGCACTAGACGTGCTTGACAATGTACTGGTGCTGGTCAATATTGAACCACCAATAGGTTGAATATCAATCTTTGAGGACGACAATACGTCCCCCAGCGCAGAGAGAGAGGTAGAAGGCGCACGAGAGTTTGAGGCTGGAAGGGAGTTCAAAGCGGTGATTCCGGATGTGCTAACTGTCCCCTGCATATCACCAATCCCAAATCCGTAGGATGAAGATGTACTGTTGAGAGTAGAATGGGTGGTAAGAGCGAACTGCAACGAGCCTGGACTTGGCGATATGATCGAACCGAGATCCGAGCTAACTCTGGTAATAGAAGTCGAGAAGGATAGGCTTGTTCCAAGAGTGGATGTTACGGTGGAAGCTGGGCCAGAAAATATGTCACCTAGATTGGACTGAGCTGAGGTGAAGGTCCGCGAAGTAGGTTCCACATCTGGGCTCGTAGTTGGGGAAGGCCGAGCATCCCATGCTTTGACGCTTTCAAAATATCCACTATTGTTTTCGTTATACATAGATAGCGGCCACCATTCGGTACTTCCATGTACCTGAGATCCCCGTGGAATGGGAATGGTTCGAGTCCTAAACACGATTAGAAGTGAGTGATCACGGAGTAGTGAAAACTGACCTCGACGCAGAAAAAGTTTGAAAGGGAAGGGTATAGGTAAATGTCTCGGTGACGCGAGTCGCAAACCTGTAATAAGTAGGACCAGTGACAGACTTGATGATATGAGTAGTCCAGGGTTTTGCATGCATAGTGTATATTTTTGGAGGTGGAACAGTGACTTGTGTGGCGCCATTGTCAATAATGGTTAAGTCTTGGACAGGCATGGTTAGGGCTATCGGGTCCGGTTTTTGAGTGAACTTCCATGTGTAGGTTCCTGATTTTGTAACAATACCTTCTGTTGAACAGATAAAACTTGTAGCAATGGCCGAGGATGGAAAGTTGAAGTCTTCCCACTTTTCGAACCAACCAAAGCACTTCTGATGGCGCCTGCCCGACTTGCTGCTGTATCGACATTCAATCACATCCAGAAGTTGGGAACGACGTCCTTCAGTACTGTTCCCACAAGCTTTACATAAACCGCTACCACCCCAGCCAGGCATAGCTAGAGAGCCAACTGCATTGTAAGGCGCGATGGCGCGTCGCGTAATGGTTTCATATCTAGTTATAGATCTCAATCGTTCTCCACCAATCTCTAGTGGACCTTTGGAAACCTTTGGCTGCAACGCCGGTGCGACAGTGACGGTTTTCAGAACCTCATAATGTTCAGAGGCTCTATATGGCTGTTCGACGTCGGTAATAGTAGTGTAGAGACTTGTAGTCCCATTCCAGGCATGAGGAACGACGGTCGAAACGTATAGGTAGCTTGTATGGATGTATTGCGTCCAACACTTTCCCTTGATACAAGCGATCTTAGGAATACAGGTCGGCACTGGTTGGTATTGTGAGGTTATGGTCACGGGCGTAGGCGTCGAACGTGTATCATTCGGGCAAGGTGTGATAATCTTTGGTGCTGTGCTGACCACCAAATTCGCGAACGATGATGTTACGGCAACCAATATTGCAAGCGATGGGTGGAAATGCATAGTGGCAGGCGTTTGGTGAATCAAACCAGGAACCAGAGCTTCGTAATGCTTTCCACAGAAGCAGACCACCTGGTGCCCGGCGACTTTGGTACGTGACCAGAAGCTGCTTTCAAGGCATGAAATGAATGGCTTTTGATTCCTATTGTTGAATAGATGGCCATGGCGAACCAGAAAAATTATGTAGACCTAGAGGTTAGGGAGATGTCACCGATGTAATACGAGCTGTCTTGTCACTTAAATTTGATAACAGCTGTGTCAATCCCCCTCGTGTCGAGACAACCACTGACTTCTGTGAGTATGTGAACTGAGAAGTGTGCGAATGAAAATAAATGAAGGGGTAATGGCTGTAAGTCGTTGCCAGGATTCTACTAACGACAGGTTGACGTGCTACAAGCAGCGCCCGGATTCTCTCTCCGCACCGCAACTCAATGATTGGCGATTTCCTGGGCAGCAAGACTAGGTTTTCTGGCACATCTTGACAGCGGATTAGCAGCCTGGCAGACTCGTGAACGGAGAAGAAGCTCTCTCACCTTGTTGAAAGGATGGTAATTTTTCTTTCCTCAATCATCCATTTTAAGATATATCTATCTCATACTTGTTTAGGTTGCCCTGTACGTCCAGGTAACAACAGAGCCTGCGCCCTTAAGGTTTGTCTAGATGACAACCAGGGCATCTTCACTTCGCTCTCTGACTCTAGTGTATCAAGTGATAGGCTGCATCCTCCAGCCTTATCGAGGAGCGTTCAGATTAGTCGCCCTCGTCCATTGATTCTCCGATATGTTAGTGTCCACATCCCAAAATGTGATCGCCTGTGCAAACTTCTGTTTTGAGCTACTAATTAGGGGGAAAAGTTAAATTTTGATTATTCTGGCTGAACTTCACATAGAGCAATGTTAAGTAAGCTCTCATGGTCAATAACTCATCTATCGTCGCTCTTTTTTTTCACTTATCCATGATCTCTTCCCCAAGGGATCGAGGTTAGTGCTGCTTAGGCGAAGAATTTCACTATACTCTACCCCTCCTAGCCACAACCACATGGGTTTAAGAATGGATCTCTTGTCTCTGTGCCGGCCATCATGATAAGCTCTATAAACTCTGATATCTCTTCGATCGGATACACTTTATTTATCTCTATAAGGGCCCTTTATTACTTCGGAACTCTAGGTAGTGCAACTAAGTATAAATATTGGAACTAAGGATAGAAGTCTTTCCCTAATTCATTTATAGATAAAGTCAGTGTTCTTACTTCGTCGGATAGAGTCGTGGAGGGGTTTAAGATAATTGAGCACTATCCTTTGATTTTTCTCCAAACGTAAGGAGTACACTGTTGTAGGATATAGAACTAGGAGGAACTATTGATATCCAGTCTCCTTTAGCCACCTCTATAGAATACTGATATATTCGAAAATAGGCTATCCACTAAATACGTCGATACGCCATTTTAGACTAATAGACTAATGTCGATAATTACTCCTCCTTATTCTATCGTGCCAAGCTTAGAATATTACGAAACGTTCGTATACTAAAGGCTCGTTCCGTGCTCCCCAGATAAATCTGATCGAGACGACCGCCGGAGGAGTTTCCGAAAATCTTATCCGTGCAGCTAGAAGGCACCCTTTCCACGTGATTCTTGCCACGGCCGAGCAAGAGCACAAGTACCATTTCTCATGTAGAGATCGTCGCCTCTTTGAACGGACATCGAATGTATCTTGAGTGGGCCAATTATCTGTGCCTTGCTGCTGGTGCTGCAAGCTGTCATCTTTACTAGCAATGTGCGCGCGAATGGATTCCGATAACCACGGTTATCGGCGAGGCTGCCGACTCGTGTTGCGGAGTTTCCAGATCATACTTTCTAATATCAGCTCAATCTAAAGTTCCGGACAATTAGCTCCAACCACCAAGTAGCCGAGTGTAGCTTTGGTGCCCACCTCTCCGTACCAACACCAACTCCACGGTTCAGTTCTCAATTTGCGAGGTCTATTCACCCAGTAACCGTAAGCTGATGCTCTATAAAGCACACCGTCTCCGAACAGGGAACCAATATTGCGCTCGACTGCAGATGCACCATCACTCTTCCCTATTATTTTTTCCATCCCTCGCTCTTCAGCAATGGCCGCTGTCGACTACCAAAAAGAGGTTACCGGCCAGGATGTCACCACCGCCGACGTCGAACAAATGGACTCTGGGCCAGTTCAAATACACGCTGTCACTGATCTCGACGATGACCGTTTCAGTCTCTGGAGTGTCCTCGGCATGCAGTATACCTGCTCAGCCGCTCCCATCTCCATATCGGGATTCATGGTGTTCACCCTAGGCTTAGGTGGCAACCCTTTCTTTTTCTGGTGTTTTCTCTTCGCTGCCTTGGTCCAAGGTCTGCCCACTCTCTCTTTGGCCGAGCTATCATCTGCGTTTCCTCACGTTGCTGGTAAGTGCACAAACCCCATACTTGTGACACAATTCCCTGATGGTGCGTACAGGACAAACCTACTGGACATCTATACTGGCTCCACCCAAGTACAGGAGATTCCTCACCTACCTTGATGGCGCCATGACCCTCTGGACCTGGATTCTCGCTCTGGCAGGCGGCTGGGTTCTCACCGGCCAGTTTATCCTTGGTACCATCACAGTGATCAATAGTTCGTTCACTCCCCAAACATATCAAATATTCCTGTTCGCCCTGATGAACTGCGTCATCTCTGTTCTTCTTAACTCCTATCTCATCAAGATCTACCCGGCGATCAACAAGTTCTTCGTGGTCTTCATCAACGCCGCCGTGGTCTTTATAATTATCGTGCTACTGGCAAAAGCTCAGCCAAAGGCTTCTGCACGTACGGTATTCGTGAACATTGTCAACGAAAGCGGCTGGCCCGACGGGTGGACGTTCTTCTTGAACCTATTGCCCGGATTGGCAGCAATTTCACTTCCAGACACTGCCACGCACATGGCTGAGGAAGTGCCGGAGCCACATCGACGTATTCCACAAGTGATGGTCGGAAGCTACGTTTTGTCCTTCCTGGGCGCTTTTGTCATGGTCATTGTGCTTCTCTTCTGCACAGTCAATCCACAAAACCTGCTGGAGCCTCTCGGTGGAGCGCCTATATTTCAAATCTGCTGGGATGCGTGGAATAACCGCGGTTTCGTCATTGTTGTGGGCATTATCTACGTCTCCGTCTTCGGGCAAGCCACCACAAACATAACCACGGTCTTGTCCCGCATTTTTTGGTCCTTTGCCCAGTCTGGAGGGCTACCCGCTATTGGTTTCGTCACTAAGGTTGACCCGCGTCTTCAACTCCCACTGAACTCCTTGCTGGTATCTGCGGCCATAACGGCGGCGTTTACTCTTCTAGCTTTCTCGCCAGCCTATGTCCTAAATGCCATTTACGGCTCAGCTGGCCTCTGCGTCGTGGTTTCTTACGGACTACCGATCTTCCTATTAGTGCTTGACAAGCGACGAGCCTTACCCGCCAACCGGTATTTCAGCCTGGGCCAGTTCGGCTGGTTCGTCAACGTTGCGCTTCTCTGCATCTACCCACTTCTATGCACCGTTGTCAGCTTCCCTTTATTCAGCCCCGTCACGTCAAAGGCCATGAACTGGACCTCCGTGGTGTTTGCCGGTGTGCTGCTCCTGACCATTGGCAATTGGTTCTTGGTCCGAAGTAGCTACCAGCTGCCGAAGGCAACCGCTTTCGAGCGCGTTCATGTTCACTAAATTCAAATCTTTTGGAGACAAATCAGCAATGTTATCGTCGTGGAAGAAAGAATTCCCAAACTTTCTGAGCAAGCCACTCTCCACTCTATCCTACGTGGGGCGGGCGTGAAGAAAGGATCTGATTAATTCCCCGTGCATCGAGGCGCCTTCGATGGACGCGTAATCATTCAATGTAGTCTGGAAATCTTTGTGCAGCTGTAAAAGGCATTAACCACTGTATGTCACAATCGTATCAATATGAATCTTTTCTGGCTTTCTGACAAATGGAAACATTTCACGGTGAACTTTTGCATCAATGGCATGATATTGATTCGTGAGCTTGGTTGCACAGTACAAGCGCATATAATATCGGAGTAATTTACGACGTCGTGCCGCTCAAGACTGTCGTTCTGACATTTGCATGAGAACCCTATGGTGAATCTGGTCCTCCTCCATGAGTATAGATTAGGACGGGCTTTTATTTTTCGTCGATCCAGCGCTAGGGTGATCATCACTGTAATGCTGACGCGTTAGTATGGTCTTGCACAACATGTTAGTTCAGTGCTGTATCATGACTTCCACGACTTCGAATTTGTTGCCATTTACCCCGGGTATTCTGTTCAGAGGCCTGTTCGGATGGTTTCATGCAAAGTAACACGCCAGCGAACACACCCAGTGTGCTTTTCTGAGCTCCCTAGTATGTGTGATCTCCCCGAGTGAGCGACTGACTGGAGTCTCGAGACTCGCAGGCAAGGTCAATTTCGCCTTGGGTAGCTCGTTTTCTTAGCTTATACTCTGGTGGCACAGTCAAAGGGGTCAAAGGGATCATAAGGTTAAATAGCTCTAATTTGATGGGATGATACAGATATGAGATCTGTATCACTATTACCACTCATCACTTAAGTAAACTTGCCCTTATGTGTGCTCGAGCATGCAAAGCAATCTGAATTGATGCCATGGCTGTGCTAGCAACCAAGGTAATTAGTCTACTTAGTGAGAGCTATGTCAACTTAATCTGTATTTGAGATCACAGATGAGGTTCCGATTCAACCCCCGGAAGCGTGGGGGATTTGATCTTGTATGAACCCTGGTGCAAGCGCTGGAAGACTTGATCGGGATCGTACTCCTCGGACACCTGGGTCAGGAATTTCACATTCTGCGGTCCGTAGCTACCAATCACATCCTGCCAGTGGGCAGCGTAGTTGGCAAAGAGGAAAGGATGGTAGAGACCGCGCTCGATAGCCTCAGCCCTGATACGTCCTACCAACCTTTTTTGCGCCGAGTAAACCTTTTCGCTGTTTTCTTGACCCATCCACCCAACGCCGAGCATGAGTACGAGCCATTTTCTGTGGCCGGCCTGAAATGGATATACATTGCCCGTCTGCTCGAAAGTGCGAGGCAAGCAGTGATACTCCATTGTGCCGCGAGCGAATTCCCAAAGGGATTTCATCTCTTCCTCAAACACCACCAGGACCCATTTCAGAAAGTCCACGTCCAGGCCGACCGTAAGGGTAGCGCAGCCGACGCGGAAGCCATGATCGCCTTGAAGATCGGCGATGTCGGAGGCTAGGTCGGTGTAGTCTAGCATCTTGAGAGGGATCGGATATTCGTCCACCGGTATGCTGCGGAGTTGATCAAACATAGGCCTGTCAGCGATGGGCTTTGTGGAGACGATATACTGCATGATCTGGAAAAACCCATTCTCCCAGGTAAGGATGATGATGGAATGGCCTGTTGGATCCTCGTCCAACCTAAACTGGAAGTCGCACCAGGCTTGAATGGCGTCATCGGAGTATTTTCCATTGAGGATGGTACGACCACCCCACATTCCGCTGTAAGGAATCGTGATCAATTCGTAGGTAGTGATTATGCCGAAATTGGCGCCCCCGCCTTGTAGAGCACGGAAGAGGGTTGGGTTGCTGTCTTCACTGGCGGTAATGACCTTGCCGGAAGCGAGAACGATCTCGATTGAGCGCACGTTATTGATACCCCAACCACGCTCAGCCGCGTAGAAGGAAATTCCACCTGTGAGAGCGAGCGACGTCAGCTAGTGATGATTTACACGTGAGAAGAAGTAAATAGTTTGAACACACCGCCGATGAGAAAACCGCCCAATCCAACATCTGCAGATCTACCTCCTATAGCCATCAAGTTTTCCTTTTGTAGTTTGGTATAGACGGCCCGCCAGGTACTGCCTGTACCGACTAAAGCAGTACCTTTTTCTCGATTGATCGTGATGCTGTTCAATTTGGCAAGGTCGAATTGTATACCTCCATCAAGACATGACTGCCCTGCAAAGTGTCCATGGCCGCCACTCTTCACGCCGAACGCTACGTTTGCTTTAGCGCAGAGTGAAAGTGCCTTCGCCACCTCGGCTGCGTTGTGTGGTTGGAAAAAACATCGAGGCCTCAGGTCTTTCTGGCATCCGGACCAGTAGCTGTTTTGGACGGCCTTGTATTCCTCATCTTTCTCTTGGAAAACCTGTAATGGAAAAAGCTGAGCAAGTTCAACAGCCTGGTTCAGTTAGCCTGTGAACAAAGCGAGCTTGCAAAACATTCAATGCCGAAAGGAATGCGAGTACATGCCACTTTTTCTGTAGCCACGGATACGGGTTTTGCAATCATTATGTATGTTGCAATGGGTGAGGTTATGTCCTTTTATTCACCAGAAGTCTTAATGCCGTGGAGTAAGCAGTCTCCGTGGTGTCACCGTGCGTGAACAAGTTCCTTCTCGAACAACGGGGAAAGAGTCGAGCAACCTCATGGGTTCATGATAGACACATCTCCATCTTATCCATGAGAGATATCCAGATGATTGGACGTTTCGGTGCTCAGGCACAAATGCGACGCTTCAGTAGTGGTTCTTCTCGGTTCCCGCGCTTCAGCGATGTGGAGCTTGAGAAACGCCGTAGCCGAGCGCGTGGCGGAAAGTCCATTGATATAAAATGGGCCAAACAGTAAACTCCGATTTAAGAGTCCTGAGATAGCCCCCGATTTCTGAAGCTTGGACGGAATATCCGAGAGCTGGAGAGTCATGAGGAGGTGTCCGGCTGAGACCTGACCTGGGGTTGAGATATCTTGGTTTTTTTGAAATTCGTGGAGAGCAAGACACGTCGTGGTCACGATTCACAGTTTACCGATTGAATTTTGCAAGTTAGGCACCACTGTCGACCCTTGTGTAGGTCGTACGATCAATGACGTGGACAGTAGTATCTTTGCCTTCGTATCGAATCGGCCCATCGATCACGGGCAAGGTGCATCGAGACCTGTTTTATTTTTGAGCATCAGAGAGCAAACGCACTGCATAATGCTCTCCGACATCCTTCATCTGTCCTTCAGCCACTCTGCTATCGGTCTCTTGCTGTGCAAAAGGAACCCAGCCCGTCATTGATGAAGTCTGTTCGCAAATCGGTACTGGGTGTTGATAGCTACACTACGATAACAGGTTCGGAGTTTCCAGCCCCCAATCGCGATGACAACCGCCTTTTCGCCCGTAATTCCTCTACTGCCGCTAAGATTCAGAATGGCGATGAATTTTATCATATTCAAAACCAATTTGAATCATTTGAGCTACATGGCAGATCGCACTCTATTGTCGAAACAATCATGAAATACGTGGTTGTGATTCCTTTGATGACGCGGGAAGAACTAACCATTAGTGAACGGTGGTGATCATCGATCTCAGGAACACGAGCCCAAAGGGTGCTAACCACCATCGTTCAATTGTCGGTCGGAAGATGATTGCATATAACTGCCCGTCCAGGGACCTTGACACGATGTCCATCACATTATTCAAGTGTGATAACACTAAGCTAGAACCTGGATTGAATTAATCATGTAGATTCCATGAGATGCACCCCATACATACCTACAGCTTCCTTGCCTCAATACCGTCACTATAATTACCGGAAGTGTCCTGTGGTGTATAGTCGGATTAAACCCTAGCGAAGATGGCGGCAGCCTCTGCGAGGATGACACATTCAGAATTCAGCCTGGTGGTGTCACGACTGCCTTGTTATCTTCCACAAAGTATCTAACAACTCGAGCATACCATACCTTAGCTGTCGCTCCCGGTGGCTTGACCCTTAGAGCTTCTAGTTGGATAGTTGTATGGTTCAATCATTTCACATCCTTCTATCGTTGAATGCCTGAGGTTAATCCCGCTCCTCCTTCTCGGTGATAGTCCATTCAGTCTTCACGCGGATTGCGTTTGGCTCGTTCTCAGAATCGAAGCTGGCTGTATCGTCTTTACTTGCCTCGCTCTGCGGTTTGACGACTGCGGAGAGCTCAAAAATACTCTCATATCGTACGTAGGTCCCTCTCTGCGAATAGAGACGTGAGGTATTATCGCGACGTGCGGTGGAATTGAGCCGTGGGAAGAATAAGCTGATATTTGGTCGAGCGGTGGGAAGACAGGCGCATATAAAAACCAACGTTCAGCTCGGCCGCTGAGCAAGTAGCGGCGCTAATCTTGTGGTACGTATTATCAGTTGTTCTGCTGGTAACGTAGATAGAATTCAGGCGAAGTAGGCCGGTGATGCATGCGATATTTTCTTCGTTAGGGGGGTTTTCTTAGCGCTTAAAAAGAGCCTAACCAGTGTGTCTCCAACTTACAAGTCGCACAACGCAACGCTTCAATCAAACTCATTTTCTGCTTTTTGGGTAGCTGTAGCGTCCAAAAACCGGGCATAGGAAGCAGCCATGTTAAGAAGTCGGCGAGGATATTGAACCCTGAGAAGCTGAACCAAAGACCCTCACGATTGAAGCAGTGGCCACCTTCAATGGATTTGTGCCAGAAGAAAGCCACAGGCTTGCATGCAAAGCAGTTCGCTAAGATGAAACTGTTCCTCCAACGAAGACGAAGACGATGAGAGACCATGCAGTGTGTCGATAACGCGATTCAGTGAAGAATCTTAGGTATTGATGAAGGAATGAACCTTTCACAAGGGAAAGTCCGAAGTTATAAAGGATGATGCTAGCATAAAGTAGCTGGTCGTTCTGTTGGACTCAGGCACATCTCGGCGTTTCTTCGATTAACACTGACTTTTGACAATATTTCGCCGTCTGCAGTGCTGATCGTATCTATATGACGACCAGACCAAGATCCGCTTCTGCAAGAGTAAATGTTAGATGGAACGACACAAGCTGGAGACCTCTAAGCCCGACTTATGAATTGCGACTGTAACAGTGAACCCAATAGACAGCACCAGCGCAAAGATGATGAGGAAGTCTTCAGTTCCAGGCTCACCAACAATCCAAAATCGAGGCATACAGCGATTAACGATGGAGAAGAATGCTAACACGGTTAACACTACCGCAATCACCACAGACTGAGTTCTACGCTTTAATCCCATCTTGTTGGCAGTTCTTCGCAGTGTGGAAAGCAAAGATCGGACTTTCCCATTAGGTTGCATGAATTTTGGTGGCCGAGAGCGATCTGCTGTGATCAGGAATGATGAGCTAGATGTTCACTTGTAAAAGTCATGACCGGTCACTGAAACTTCGAGAGCTAAAGAAGCCTTTGGCCTATTGATGCGCCACAGATGTTCAACATCTGCTGGCACGAGACGAGGTGACTCGGTGACTTCCATGCCCAAAATCGTGACCAGACCAACGAGTACACGCGTATACAATCTAAGCACGGCCTTAGCAGGATGCTAGTCGTCTCCAAAGGCAAGGGGAGATGCGATCCGGGGTAAAGCGGGTCTTGGTTGGCCACTGGGACCACCTCCATGCAACGTTTGCATCCGGGGTTGTCGTACGAAGTAATAGATGAAAGAACGCAAGAAATGGGCTACAAGTCGAATCAAGCGAAATCAGGCTAGATAAGCATCTACGGAGTCTGAGGTAGTCTAAGCCACCGAAAGGAGTTGTTTGCGGAAAAGGAAACCGCCACGTGGGACTGCACTGGTGGCCCCATCCGTGAGGACGCGGATTTGCCATGACCAGGATCCTTCGAAAATCTTAAGGATGCGGATAGTTTTAATATGCAGTGCCGGTAGAGTCAAAAACGATGTTGGTATAGTGAGTGGGAAGGGGGTCGCAGATCAGACGTAGACAAAGGCAAAGCGCATTCACTTCTCTACACGTAGTTTCGCCTGGAGGCTGAGCCTAGGCACCTCTAGGAATATCGCTAAAGTTCTCCCTTTGGAGTACCAAAAGGCTCTAAGAATCAATCACTTACTCAATCGATCATCCTTTGGTTTGGTCGATGGCAATGCTAAGAGTTTTCCGAACTAGGAGGGCTGCTGAAGACCGTCGTACTGCAGTACTCGTATTAGTAGTCCTGGAAGCTATCGATATTCAGCTTGATTGGCAGCTCATTTATACACCAGCTTGGTGAAGGGAGTATTAGTTCTCTTCGGATAGGAACAGACTCCTCCCTGCAAATTGAATGTATGGCTCGGCACCTCACAGTCCACAGCCGGTTTCTATGGTCGGTAAAGGTACCTCATAATCGGTCCTAGTCCGGAATAACCACACATTATCTGCGGAACGGTGACCGAGATTGCTAGTCTTGCAATGGCGAACCGATCGAAATCGGATTGAGTCGATAGGATAGAAAATTCAACAGTTTATATGAAATTGGGCTTCCGAACCGTCTGCGTGGTACTCAGACGTGGTAACGTGCATTTGTTGCTTATTTGCGCCATCCCTGATGTTGTTCTGGTCCGAGTAAGAATATACATTGCCGGCGAATGGTATGCGCCAAATACGAATAGCTACATCCATTAACGAATACTGTAAATTCTGTAGTTTACGGAAACGATTGATGATGGTACGCATGGTACCTCAATAGTGATATCTCTAGGGCTGTGATGAAGATATACCGGGTATCTGAAGCTGTCCAACAAATCGAGAATCATGTCCTGCTCACAATCGAAAGCATTCGCCTGACTCAACACTTAAGCCGTCTTCACGTCGTTCACTGAAGATTGGACATCCCACAAATTGTTAGAAGGTCATGAAGTACAGAGGATCTCTAACCTACTCAATGAGATTTCCATCGGGATCGCGGCAGTAGACGCTACGGAGACTCCCTTGGGCCCCCGTTCGGTTCACCACCATACCATTTTCCAACACTTCGATGCCTTTGGCCTGTAATTCTCTGAGTACCTCATCGACAGATTCCTCAACGAGGAAACAGAGGTCGGCGCTGCCTGGCTGAACAGTCTGCGCCCGTTTTGTGTCAATGCTGCGTTCTGCACCACGAATTATATCCACATGGAATTACACACCTGGGCTTTTGGCTCAAACTCTTTGCCGCAGACATGCAGATTGATCTTTTGAGAACCGAACTTGAGCGCATATCGCTTCGTGTCTGGCGAGGTTGCGGGAGCGAAACTTTCAAGTCTCATTCCCATCACCCCTTGATAGAATTTGATCGAAGCGTCCAGATCGCGCACTGTCAGGACAAGGTGGTCGAGACTCTTTACGCTTGCGATGCTTGACATAGCGGCTGCTGTTCGGCTCATCCTCCGGGCGAGACTTACTAGTCGAAGTACGCTTGATGGCGTGGTGTAAAGCTTGTACATTTCAGATTGTTGCGGGATAAATGCAGGAGTAGAAGAATGCTTTGCTGACTGGCGGAAAACCACAGTATTTCTACTCCAACGAGCTCCATTTTTGATGTCGAGCGGCGCTAGTAGACTAATTGGGGAACCCATCTTTAGCCGAATGCCTCTATGAGGATCTTGGGGGATTATGCAAATGGAGAACCTCCGACTATAGTTGACTCCATATCGATAGACTTACGACGAGTAGGACGAGTGGCTTTAACATGAAATCTAATTAGTTAATTCGCTATTGAGATTTTCAAAGGCTAGAGCCCTCATCCGGCTTCGTTTCATCCCAAGTCAGGTACTCAGCAGCTTTGAGACTACGCTATGGATGCCTGGCACTGCTACCTACAATGTATGGAGAGTAAGGGTCTCGTGGGTGCCACTGTGACGTGCTATAAGCTTCTGGTTATCCCTTCGCAGAACTGCCTTCATGAGGACACAGCCTGCGATACTAATACCAGAAAAGGCCATCATCAGAATCATGGCAAGCACATACCGTGGGGCGTCGTGTGAGCGAAAGAAATAAGGACTCCAGATATTGCCGAGTTGCCCGATGACGTTGATTATGGCTGTGGCACAGGCGCGCTTCTCAGGTGTCTGACTCACGGCCGACGCTGCCCATGTGTAGACCATAGCGTTCGCGGCAAAGCAGCCGGAAATGTACAAGAAGGAGGCAAAGTAGCGGGCCCCGACATTCAGAGTGCCAACTGAGATGGCAAATCCAACAGTTGCGACTGCCATAGGCACTGAGATATGCCAGCCGCGTTCGCGATTTCGGTCACTCGAATAGGCAATGCCGAACGAGATTGCTGCTCCGATAAGGTAAGGCGGTGCTGTGCACAACAGCGTAATCGTTCTCGACCCGAGGTTGAATCCACGGACTATCGCCGGGTAAAAGTTGTTGAAACCATAAGCAGTATGATTGCTGCAGAGGATGAGAGCCTATCTCACGGTCAGTAAATGGTAGGGCAATTTGAAGGAGAGAGCTCACGAATGCCCACACTCTGAAATCCTTCACGGCAAGCTTGAGGCCATACAGGATGGAGTGGTCGGATTCCTGGTTTGAGACTTGGTCGCGAATGATTCGGTCCTTTGCAAAAGCTCTCTCCTCCTCGGTCAGGAGCCACCTAGCCGACCCGGTCGATGAGCCTGGAAAGTCAGGCAAGAGGAAGAATGCGACAGCACCAGCTAGGAAACTGACACCACCTTCAAGCATGAAGAGCCATCTCCATCCAGCAATGCCATGGACGCGATCGAGGCCGGCAAATACACCTGCAGCAAGAAGACCGGAAATGGCCGTCGCAAGAACGAGGCCAGAGTAAAGAATCGCTGTTCGCAGTGCCAGTTCCTTCTTGGTATACCAACAGGATAAGAGGAAAAATGCGCCAGGGAAAAAGGGTGCTTCCGCGACTCCTGTATGACGTCAGTACTCGTCAGATGATCGAGAGATACAGCGACTGGAGTGGAGAGAGAAGCGATAGTCGCCCAAGATCGCCACGGAAGATTGGCTCTCGTCACGACTCTCTCATCTTCATTATGACGGTCGGAAGGAGATGGGAATGACTGACCAAGAAAGAATCTCACCGCGATAAGGCCGGTAAAGTTATGGACTCCAGCAGTGGCAGCTGACACGCAGGACCAAACACATACCCAGAATGGCATGTAGAGAGAGGGCCGAACTTTTGTGAGAATCATGTTACTTGGCAGCTGCATGAGCATATAGCTGGAGCGCAATTAACAACGGCATGTTGTGGCATATTCCAGGAGGGTCTGACTTACCCGACATTGAGAATGGAAACAGCAACGCTAAATTCCTCTCCAACGAGGCCCAAATCGTCTTCGAAGTTGTTCAGTTTTGCTTGGCTATTGACTTTGTTAGCTGGCATGCTGCTGAGTAGCTGGAAATCGTACGCAATATTGTTCCGGTCCAGGTAGTTGAACAAATATAAAACCCAGATGGTGGGCATGAGAGTCATGTCTAGTTTCCTCACAAGACGACGTTCACGAGCACGCCATGCTTCGTCGACATGAGGCAGTTCAGTCTCGTTCTTGTGTGGCGAAAACTCGAGCTCATCAACTTCTCTGATGGCATCAGTCTTTTGGACATCCGTTTGCTGTGTTTCGGCAGTCATGGCAAATGCTGTGGCTATCCGCTCAATTGAAGATTTGAGAGGAAATTTGTGACAGTTGGTGGGATGTTTGAGTTGAATTTATCACTTTATACAGTTGCCCAGAATACCTGGAGAGCTCGACACCCCCCCCCTCCCCCGGGGGCATCTCTTAGGCCAACTTTTGAAACATAGGGAGGTCTGCTTGTTCTCTTCTCCATGGGATGAATGGACGGTCTTCAATTCGCATGGAGCAGGGCATTATCGGACCATTTGGGCCAACGTGGAGTAGATTCGAGCGTGCAATGGGCGCAGGCCGAAGTGGCTGTTTGATAGAAGTCTAATTGTCGGGGTAGTTTCGATTGTGGAGATGGCAAGCTGTCGTGGCTCTCGTTCCGCGAATACCCATTGAGAGGGGGAAAACTCCTCCTGTATCGGAGATTCTAGTCAAGCCGGATATCTGTCGAAGTGTTGTTCCGACGGACCCCAACGCAGCCCAGCTTGCGAAGGATATGGCATTTTGATGCGTCCATCAGGACATTGAGGGCAAGTGCATCTCGACTGTATCACCAGCAGTATCTTACACCCAAGAACGGCTAGAAGGTTTCCCACCAACATCGCCCTAGACTCCTGACCTTTCCTCGGGCTCATTGACTACGCACGCCATACTCATCCAGTATTTCGACTTCGCTACCATGTCGCCTAGGAAGGCAGTAGAGAACCGCTGTAGCCACTGCTCCAGGCTCTTTGTGAGGGCCGAACACCTCATCAGACATCAGCGTACTCGTACGTCTTCCAAGTCGCTTCTGCGCACCGTTTCTTTTGTTCATGCTCTAATGGCGCCAAGACACTGGGGAAAAGCCTTTCCCATGTTTGAATTGCGATCAGAGCTTTTCGCGAAGCGATCTCTTGACTCGGCACCAAAAAAAGCATCACCCGGCCGCGACGCACGGGCGATGCAGTGCTGACAGCTCTCTGCCTTCAATCGAGCCTTTTTCATCTGCCTCGGCACCAGTCGGACATCTGGCACCAAGAGATGGGCTGATAATGCCAGTCTCGGTGAATAGCCTCCCAATGGCTTGTTTTGCCGCCCACTAATTGTAAGTTCCATAGGACGATTCATCCCCCTTCCATTCAAGCTTCTTCATGACAGAAGGATCTCACGAACGAACCGATGATTTCACATCTTTGTCATACGATCTATTACCGTTCCCCTACCATGACGCGAATGCGAACATGCAAGGCTATGTCATGCCCTCTGACATGTCTTGGCCGGATGAAATGTCCGGATCAGATACCATCCCGGATATCAACTTCAGCAATATTCGTGAATTGTTCTTCCCATCCAGCCAGCCGGTCTCTGCTGGTCTTGACGGTGTGCCCAACCTTGGCCTAGCTTCCGCAGAAGGTAATGGACAATCGATACTATCTCGATTAGGGTCTCCCACCCCGGCAGGTGGTTATCACTCACCCACTGCTCTTAGGGATCGTAGTGACGCTGTCCGCTCTTTTGACATTCCTGAACACTACGCGCAGCTCGTTCAGCGACAAGCGAGATATGTGGTTAACATCGACCTTCCTAAGAGAGCCGCTCTTGCCCGCTTCGTACAGGCCTATTTTCGCACCTTTCATAGACACCAGCCGTTTCTACATGAGGCGACATGGCAACCAGATGCGGCTTCAGTCCCGTTGTTTCTGGCAGTTTGTGCGAACGGCGCTCTCTACAGCTTAGAAATCGAAATCGCATTCTCGCTCTATCGTGCTGCAGCGATGATGGTGGAAGCAGACGACCCCGATACGGCAACGCTGCAAACCTTGATGCTTGTCATCGCTTTTGCTGTTTGGAGTGGTGATCAACAGGAAATCTCACTTGCTCTACGGCTCCAATCGAGACTCACCACCCTCCTCCCTCGTTGTTGGGTGGGGTACAATAACCAGCAGTCCTCAACAGTAATGTCATGGGAAGAGTGGTTGGATTTACAGGGCTTAAGAAGGTACGTTGAGCAATACTCAAGTGACCTGATTTGTTCATGCTGCTGACACGTGTAGAACCACCTACTGCTTATTCACCTTATCCAATCTCATGACTCTTGCCTATAATTTTCCATCTCCTATCTGCTTGGAGGAAATTCACGGGTTACCGTGCAAAGAATCTCTGTGGAATGCAACAACCAAAGAAGACTGGTCGACGCTGCTGTCAGTGGACTGTAAGACACGACAATGGGCATCAGTCCAAGCTATTGTTGAAGCACTGAGTGACCCAACGACAGATGCCCCCAACGGCATAGGAATGTTCGCCTGTCATATCGTGATCTCCACGCTGCTTCAGAGGATAATGCTATTCAGACGTGCATGCTCGAGCAGCTTTGCTAGCTTTGCTGGGATTCGCCATCATTTTATCCAAGCACTGAGAAGATGGCAGGTGATGTGGGGACACGAGCCTGAAGCGTCTCTTTCGCCAAATCACCCTGCTGGACCTATTCTGTTCAATTGCACAGCACTACTTCGAGTGGCCTACATCCGCCTTGTGGCTGATTTTGCACCCCTACGATCGATGTTCGGTTGGACCGACCAGGTAGAAGCGATAAGCCTAAAACTCGGTGAGATGGAGACCACTGATCGGAGTCCATACCAAACCAGAGCCGTCCTGCATGCATGTCTGGCGCTCAAGATTCCGGTCAATCTGGGCTTTGAAGTCACAGCGAGAACGACTTTCTGGACGTGGAGCGTCCAGCACGCTTTGTGCTACTTTGAATGCGCGTTACTCCTGGCACGGTGGCTTTTAGTCGTGCAAAATGCATCTGATTTGACGGTAGAGGAACAGAAAGTGCTTGCATTGGTATCTGAAGTCATAAATACGTCTGGAAGTTGCAGCAGTGCCGAGCAGACACATATGCTTGCAGCGGTCGTGTTGCGACGTTGGGCACGCCTGCTCAACACAGGGCCCATAACAGTGTGGCAAATCCTACCGAAAATGGCTGGAGTCTTGACACACTATTCTGACACGATACTCAGGCAGTCTACAGACCCCAAATGCTAAAGCGTCCACTCTAGTTCAACCAAATCGTACCCAAAAAGAGTAAGAATTAATATGAAAGCGTGTATTTTCTAAGCTTCTCAACTCTTTGAAGATCACTCATGTGTAGCTAGGTGAAAATGAGCAGCCTGGTCGTACTGATCTCAAGGCTGAATTTCAACACCCTCGGCCCCCATATTGATAAGCACCTGTTCCGCCGCCTTGAAAGCTTCCATGCCAGCTGGTACACCCATGTAGATGCACACCTGGACCAGGACTTCTTGAATTTCGCTGGCGGAAACCCCATTGTTCACGGCCCCTCTGGTGTGTACGGCTAGCTCATGGACCTTGCCGGTCGCGGCTAGCATGCTGAGGTTGATGAGAGACCTCGACTTGCGATCAAGGCCTGGCCGGTCCCAGACAGCACCCCAACAGAAGGCGGTGGTGAACTCCTGCATCGCTTTGGCAAATTCGGTGCTGCCATTTGCTAGAGCGTTATTGACGTAAGTGTCGCCTAGCACAGCGCGGCGAATGGGCATGCCCACCTCGTAAAGGCCTGTTTGATGTTTTTGGCGAGACATTGTCAGGGGTTGAACGTAAACGTAGAGTTGTATCTGTTGTATTGTATATGTATTTGGAGTCTCTTTTATGTCATTGATTTGCAAGTGATTTGGGAATAAGAGTGTGCTCCTCAAATAAAGCACAGAATCATTTCTTTAAATGCTAACGGTATCATAATAATCCTTCCTCAACAATTCTGCGGAACTTTGCCAATCCCCCAAGAAATAGAGGCTTTCTGCGCCAGTATGGAGGCTGTGTTGGAGTAGTTTCAACACCCATATGGGTCCCTGTCACCGTCAGAAGAGACGCGGGGATAAGCGTGTGAGCAGGGTGCTTGTTTTCACACGAAAATGCATCTTGCACGGTTGCAGGGAGTATACGGCATGCTGAACAGCATGGCTGAAACTCCACCATGAACTTCGGATCACTTCGCTCAGGCCATCTCCAAACGGCCATCCGGTCGTTTCCGAGGCCCCCGTACTGCTATTGGCATTAATCCCCTATGGCCAGACCATTGTCGAGAAACTACACAGTGAAGGGGGCCAGTATACAAAAGATCCCTCAGGCGACCATGAATCCACTTCATCGTTGCCGAATTTTGACCATTGTCTTCCAGATTACTACAATCCTGTCGTTTATCTAGAAGCACCACTCATTCTTTGAAAAATGCCATCTGCAATGACGACCTATGGCTTCATCGGCCTTGGCCAGATGGGCCATGGGATGGCAAAGAATATTCGTTCACGTGTCCCACCATCTTGTGTTTTGCTCATCTACGACATCAACCAGAATATTGTCCAAGAATTTGTTAAGGACTTTGGAGAAAAGGGAAACATCGTCGCCACTACCTCCCCAAAGGACGTTGCAAGTCGAGCAGTACGCGGCCCGAAATCCGTTGTCAACCCTCCCCCCAGACAAACTGACACAGATAGGACATCATCCTGACTTCATTGCCTCAGGCGCCTCATGTCCAAAAAGTGTTCCTGGATCCAGATACTGGACTCCTTGCTGAACCCCCCAGACCTGGACGAAGAATTCTGTTCCTGGAGCTCAGTACCATCGATGCCGCAGTTTCAAGCAACATCGCAGGAAACGTTGAAACCGGGGGATATGGTACTTTTGTCGATGCCCCTTGCTCGGTATGGCAATCCCTGCTCAGACCCCAAAGTCGCCACTGCTTCTTCCAAGGAGGTGATCTGACCACATAAACAGGGTGGTGCCATGGGCGCCGAAGCTGCCACATTGTCGTTTATGGTTGGCTGCGATGACTCTCTGTATCCAGAAGTCTTTTCCACCTGCAGCCTCATGGGGGGAGCGGCATCCATTTTCCATTGCGGTGGTCGAGGATCCGGTTTGAAGATCAAACTATTGAATAACTATCTCTCCTCGCTCACAGCTCTCGCGACGGCGGAGACTATGAACATTGGGCTCCGAGCAGGAGTCGACGCTCGCCGTCTTAATGACGTGCTGAACGCGAGTTCCGGCATGAGTTTCAACAGCAAGGTGAACAATCCGGTACCGGGTCTGACACCAGGGAATGCAGCAAGTAAGGGCTATGCTGGGGGTTTCTCCTTAGAGCTGTGTCTGGGAGTGCTGGAGTTGGGCTATAAGACGGCGCAAGATGTTGGCGCGAAGACTGTGCTGGGAGGACCGATGCTGCATGCCTTCAGGGACGCCAGCAAAGACGAGCAGTACTTGGGTAAGGACTCAAAGGTGATCTATAGGTGGCTAGGTGGAGAGGATCCGGTTTTGTCATAGCTAGACTGTTCAGTGACCAGAAGATGGTCGCTAATGGCGTCGATACATCTAATTTCAAATGTATCCGGCTATGTTTCTGGGATTCTCAAGCGATTGAACTCACTATTAAGTCGGTGCACAAAGCCGATCATAGTATTCGCAACAAGGAAGTGACTGGTGCTGCAAAATCCGATTTAGGTGCTGTGCTTGCGCAAGTGACTGTGGGCATTATTTCAAGACTTTTGAGCGAAGCGGTCAAATAGAAACGAAAATTGGGCCATTGGACATGCTAGCAAAGCTCATTCCTCTACAGCGACCACACATTTGCGATCTCGAATGTGGAAGTGATACAGAGGTTGCAGATGGAAGCCGACAGCGGAAGTTGATTTGAAGCCGCTGTCATCGGATCGGATTCAAACTCCTCCAACAAACGCGAAGGAAATTGGTCGTGTTGGGGTAGCTTGGCAAACCTTGGAGTAGGTTGTTGTTGGAAAAGAAGACTACAACCTAAATCAGGACCGATCTTTCCCATGGGTTGGGTGGCGAATATTGTAGATGGAATTCTCGGCGTCTCTCGTAGGGCTTTTGGTGTTTTCAAAGATAATTCGGCTCGTTGTCGGAACGCCTCTTTGCCCGATGCCTCCAAACGATACAAGGAGCGAAGTTACCTTGGTAAGAATGAAGCCGTGCTACATAGTAAACCACCTCTGGGGTAAACCCACTAAACCATAACTTTTCTGTGCTGCTCTCACCCAGACTTGAAATCTTGAACAAATCTTCACAGTTGGTGAAATGATGGCAGCCCTGAAACTCAGAGATCAAAAACTGTTGCGCACAGAAGCTTTCATTGACGGCGAATGGAGGCCGGCGCGGAGTGGCGAAGGAGTATTTGAAGTGACTAGTAAGTGGAACCACCCCCTGGGGATCAACGTAGTGATAGCATTGATTGTTCCATAGATCCAGCAACATCTGAGACCATATCAATCTTGCCCGACCTTGGCCAGGACGCCTGTAACGACGCCATCAATGGAGCCGTACGTGCCGGAAGTGAGTTGAAAAGAATGACTGGCAAGGCTAAGAGTGAATTGCTCCTCAAGTGGCATGCTCTTGTGATAAACGCGGTGGAAGATCTGGCAGCAATTATTACAGCCGAGAATGGCAAAACTCGAGCGGAAGCCCATGGGGAAGTAGTTTACGCTGCAGACTTCCTGTATTGGTTTGCAGGAACTGCACCTCGCATGGATGGTTCGGTCAGCAGAACATTACATCTGTCGATAGAAGGTTCCTAACACCAGAACAGACATACCAAGCATCGAACTCTGCTAACCGAATCGTTACTATCAAGCAACCTGTAGGGCCTGTAGGCATCATCACACCGTGGAACTTCCCAGCAGCTATGATCACAAGGAAAGTTGGGGCAGCCATCGCCGCTGGATGTCCTTGTATAGTCAAGCCAGCAGCTGAAACGCCACTGACGGCACTGGCACTTGCAGAGCTTGCGCGTCGCGCTGGTTTCACTGCTGGTTATCTGAATATTGTGACGACTCTCAAGAACACAGTCGATGTTGGAAGATCATTGACCCAGCACGCAGCCATCCGCAAGTTTTCTTTCACTGGATCAACTGCTATTGGAAAACTGCTGGCTGCCCAGTGTACGTCAACGGTGAAAAGAGTTAGCCTCGAATTGGGCGGCAATGCACCGTTCATCGTTTTCGACGACGCAGATCTAGAGAGTGCTGTCGACGCTATTCTCGCGAGCAAGTTTCGTCTGTCAGGCCAGACTTGCGTTTGTGCGAATCGGGTATACGTCCAGTCAGGCATCTATGACGCTTTATCTGCGGCTGTCGCAAAAAAAGTTTCGTCTTTCTGCCTAGGTCCAGGCACAGACCCAAATTCTACCCACGGTCCGCTCATCAACAAAACTGCGGCCGTGAAAGTTGCAAGGCATGTGGAAGACGCAGTCAATCTTGGTGCAAGAATCATAGTTGGTGGAGAAACAGCCCTCCATTTGGGTGAAGCATTTTTTCAACCTACTGTCCTTGTGGACGTTAACCCAAGAGCATTATGCACAAGAGAAGAAACCTTCGGGCCTCTTCTTCCCTTGATCAAGTTTAAAGACGAACAGGATGTTCTTGAAATGGCAAATGATTCGCCTTTTGGCTTGGCGGGCTACTTCTTCACTGAGAATGTAACAAGAGCGTGGCGTGTAGCGGAGGCTATGGAAGTGGGTATGGTACGTATCGCAAAGCTGTACGCGCCATTCAGGGCTAATATAACACAGGTTGGAGTCAACACTGGTGCCGTTAGTGATGTTGCTTCGCCTTTCGGAGGCATCAAAGAGAGCGGGCAAGGACGAGAGGTATGTCAACTAAGTCATCTCAAGAATTTACACGTTAGCTGAGCTTGTGTCCAGGGTTCTACCATTGGGATAGAGGAGTATCTGGAAGTACGACTGTCATTTTTCCTGATGTTTGACATGACTAACGTCGGACTCTTAGGTTAAAAGCATCACATTTGGGTTGAGGAGTTGAATGGATAGCGAAGAAAATGAACTCACCAGAAATTTAATCTTATTGTGCATTACAATATCAACATCTCATGACTCTCGCAGTTTACTAAGCCAGACAGAGGAGGTAAGCAATACAATAGCCAGAAATGTGGTAGAACGGTACTCCTCGTTCAATACTTCGAAAACTTTTAAGTACAAGGTTTTATAGCCTACGACAGCTGTTTTCTTCAAGGCGTAGTCAAATTTTGCCATTCCAACCAGAGCAAGCAGCTCGCCATGGTGTATTCTATGAAATGTTTTCTAGGCCTCAGCTCAAACTTTTCTTCAATAATGCCTCATGCTCGACAATGCCTAATGATAGGCGCTTTGGGCTCACGAGAGTTGGTGCTCATTCAACGAGTGCTTTCCAACCTCCCAACCTGTTTGGTAGTACTGCTTTAGCATCTGCCTTTGCTAATGTTTAGAGACAGCTGGTTTTGCGTGCCATATATATCCATGGGTAGGGTAGATAGGCACGTAGGTATTTGAAACCCCAGCTACTGACAGGAATATCTTCCTCAAGACATGAAAACTGCTGTATATTGCAGGCACCAGTGTCATCTGCAATCAATTTTATCCTGTGTCCATGTCATCGCTTCATTTATTTGTTATCTTGATTCCGGTATGACTTCCAGCATCGAGAAATTCTATTTTGCACTATTATATAGGCTCTGATTACTGATGGATCTAGAATTCCCCACCACCAAACTGGCTATAATTCACTATTCACGCTCCTGTTATTTCGAGCTCGTCTTTGATATACGCGTAACTGTCCTGGTTCACGCTCCAACTTATCACTGACCATGTCGAAGGCTCAGCGAGTCGCCCTTGATGGAGAAGGCGTACTCACGGGAGCGCGTTAATTTTGAGCTGGTGGTGCTCCCGGCTTTCTACCCCTTTTTACTGAAAATATTTTCTATCACGCGACGATTCATTATAGTACTTACAGTGCTCGATACCCGGGATAGTCGCCGAAAACTATCGTTTTTAAGAACGTCGAGTTAGTTAGCAATTCCGTTACTACAGCGAAATCTAATCAAGTTTTTGACTATCTAGGGCTAGTTAGCTCTAGAGATATAAGGCTGCAATTAATAAGGGTTTGAGAGGACTTTAAGGTCCTCCTAACGAGCTAAGAGGTATCGTTAGACCATATAATTATATAGCGGCGCCATTTACTAGTATAATTCTATAGGCGGTGGCGCCTCAGCATTAATAAAAGCCTTATAGTGTTTTTAAGGCCTATCGCTAATATACTACTAAGATCGCTAGCATTTATAGAAGTCTAGGTCACTAAAAGGAGTTATTTCTTGGATAGGAAACCGCCACGTAGGGCTGTGTTAGTGCCTAGATCTTCGAGGACATAAATTTACTACAACTAGGATCTATTGAATATCTAAGAGTACGGATGGTGTCAAGATAATATATCGGACAAGCTAAAACCGGCCTTGGCATACTTCGTCTTGAGTTGTAAGGGAATCACGAATCAGATGTGGATAAGGGCAAAGTTAACTTACTTCTCTATACGTAATTTCGTTTAGAGGCTGAGACTAGGCACTGGATAGCTTTCGATACGATCATCGTTTTTACTCGCTCCTTTAAGGAACGCAGTCTCTCGCATGAGAGGTTGATGGTGTTCAAGAATAGATAGCTTCAGGACTGTCTACGAGGCAAATCATCACAGACTCGCTTGTAGCTCACTGAGTCTTGATCGAAGGCGCTGCTCACGGGTATCTAGTTCCCGATAGTCTTCACCCTTTCGACCTTCTACCTCCTCAGGAGGCACGCCTGATGCGTCTGCAGACGTCCTGAGAGCTTTCTTGCGCCTTACCAGGATACCAAGTTCAGACACAAGCAGATCAAATTCTTCAGCCAACTCATTTGAGCTTGAATCCGGAGGCAGAGGCTCTGCAATTGACTGTGATAGAATATTGGCATCAACAGGATTTCTCTTGGTGCTCATTGTCACTGTATTTGTTGGATTTGAGTCGCTCTTAGACTCGTCGCTGCTCGTGCCTCCCGGTTTGGAGTCGGATCGCTCCTGTGCGCGTGCTAATAGCGAGGGTTTTTCCTCGAGCTCGGATGCCGATGGTGATGTCGGCAGCTCAGATCTCAGAGGGGAGGTTGATGATACAGCACCATTTTCTAATTCTCCTTTTCTTTTTACCGGGCCAGCAATCTCAGGATTGAACGGACCACCCTGTAGCTCAGATTTCTCCTGAAACCCTGGGTCATCCAGAGCTCCTGAAGATGGATCAGGGGCCGAAGTCTGTTCGGTTGTCGTATCCTTGCTTCGCCTAAATTTGCGGACGAAAAAGATCAAAAGTATCGCTGCGATCACACCCGCTGCCACCCCGACTCCAATGCCAGCCTTAGCACCCGTTGACAAGTCTGCCGAAGACCGAAGCTCCTCCTGCGAAACAGCAACAGAAGTTTCACTCGAGGATCCTTTGGTGGATCCTGCGGTGGTATCTGAGCTCTCCGTGTCCGAGGTTGACTTGTATGTGAATGGATTGAGTACTCTAGCAGAGATGTCAGAATAGGGTGCAAACGAATATAACGTACTGCCACGACGTACTGATCAATGACATGAATGAACCCGCGATCGAACCAGATATCAGGTATGGTGATCTCAAATTGCAAATCCCCAAACGTTTGGTTTAGGCGGCCCGCAGTCCCACCCCCATTCTCTTTCACAATGACGACCTCTTGCCCAGCAGCGGTTGTTAACGTAGTGTTCACCAAATCCTCGTGGGGGATAACCTTGTCGGGTACCACATGGGCTTGAACGAGTTTCTCGATCTGAGCCCGTGGCACCAGCTAGCAGGTCCGAGTTTGCTCCCCAAGCGGCTGTTTTCGGCCAAAAACACATTAAATCCATCTCTCCAAAGAGCCACATCCAGCGAATAATAGTCGAAAGGGCCCTGACTTTGATTTGTCGCTTGTATAGTATTTCCAAGCAAGTCTGGGGTGACTAGAACCTGGCTTATGGGATACAGCGTGCCACCAGTAAAGTTGGTAGCCTCCGTCAAGATCAGTCAAAGGTGCAAGAACATAGGTGACCACTCACCCCAGCTAACTTGGCTATTCTGTTGTGCCCACCAGCCGCGATGTTCTCGTAAAGAGGATCAGAGATTTGTCTGACGTACTGATGGCTGACCATGACTGTTCCCCCAAGAGCTGATCGCCCAGTAAGAGAGTAATCATTGTCGTCAATTAGCAAGGTGGGTAAGAGAAACCTTTTCTCTTCAACCTCAGTTTGGACTGCAAATTCCATATCCCTTTCACCATGTGGAATTTTAGATCGTAAAAATGGTAGCTGGACGCAAACATAGTATTAAAGGCAGCATCAGTGGGGGCTAGAAATGTTACATTGCGCGCTTCATTGAGGAGAGCGGCCGTTTCGGGATCTTCAGCAAGGACATTGGCAAGGCTGTTGAGGTAGCCATGGTTCGAGATTGTGGTAAGGAGGTCCGTGATTTCCGTGGACATGGTGGCAGGGAATGACCATGGCAATCAGACAAGGAGTATTGAGAGATACACAATATCACTCAAATGCAGAGTGATAGCTGGTAGTCAGGCGGGAAGGCGACTCAGCTTAAGGCTTGCCATGTAATGACCTGTCCATGCCATGCCACAGGCGAATTGCTTGGCTCGATTACAATCTTCGAGAGCATGTAGGTACTTGGTATGTAAACGCATGAGTCGTGACTTCTCACCCCACATCACGTGACTGCGCCTCTCCTCCCCCCCCTGATCTGGCTTGCAGCTTCGACTGACACCATGTATGCATACCGTAAGCAGATCACCCACCGAACCGTCTCAGACTACATCAATCTCCTATCTCCAAGAGGCAAGAGGCAAAAAACCACTCGCCTCAAGTATAGCCGAAGATATTACTCCCAAGCCGCTGCATCGTATTCGTGAGGTTGACCCTTGGACAACAACAACAACATCAAGACTGCGCCTGATAGGCGCACCTGTTCAAGACAACACCATTTATATCACATATCATTAGCCTCCTACTTCTGTCACCATGGATTTTGCCTACGATCATATAGCCGAGCAGCAATTCACACCCACAGATAGGACAACAACGCCCACACCCGCTACTTCTACTGGCGGAAACAATGACCCCACGACACCTAGAGCCACCCCTTCTGCTCCGAGACAGAATCTTCAAACCGAATTCCAAGAGACGTTCAAAGCCTTTTCAAAGTCTCCGTGGGGTACAACTCTAGGAGGCTTCTGGGGCAATGTCAAGAAACAAGGCGAGACCTACTACGAAGAGGCTAGAAAAGAGGCTGCTGAGGTTGCCAGTGAGGTAGAGGCCTTAAGAGTGAAGGGGTTCAAAGGTCTTGGGCTCGGCGCTGATGGCCCTGCTGGCAGTTCCGATGTAGCGTCAGATATTCAAGCCTCCAAGTCCGCCCAAGAAAAAGGCGAAAGTGGGGATAACAAGGCCCTGGATGACACCGACACCTTCCTCGAACGGTTCAAGAGCGAGGCTGCCAAGAGATTGAAGGATGTACAAAAAGCAGAGGATGCGGCTGATGAAGCCCTTCTCAGATTCGGCACTAATATCCGAAATTTCCTGCGCGATGCAGTCGCAGTCACTGCTCCGGAAGATGCTCGCCAACCTGGTGAGGTCATGTTTGAAAGTAAAGATTCAGCTACAGGGAAAAGAGTCATCCATACTAGCAGATTTGATGCGCAATTACATGTCATCCATACAACTCCGTCCAGTTATACACAAGATTCGACTGGGTCTGGCAATGAATGGGAAGAGTTCAAGCAAACCTTCGATATTGATAAAATGACGACCAGAATCGCTGAAGACTTGGAAAAGTATAGTGAACTGAGAGCCTCCATGGAGAAGCTTGTTCCTGAACAAGTCGACTACAAATCCTTCTGGACCCGATACTACTTTATGAGACACGTGGTAGAAGTCCAAGAGGAGAAGCGAAAAGAATTGCTGAAAGGTAAGTGCCTGACTCTCGTTCAGACCGAGAAACACTACTGACATCAGAGCAAAGCTTCTGCAGATGAGACAGAGGAAGTTGGCTGGGATGAGGATTCAGAGGATGAGCAAGAAAGCTCAACGACGCCTCAACTTAAGCAAAGCCAGGAACATGCTCCTAAGGTTCTTGTAGCACAGAGTGCGAACGACTCCTCAACAACGCTTCATCAAACACCTCCAACCCTGGCTGGGACGGCGTCACTGAAGCCTGAACCGTCAGGGCGAAGATCACATGACGAGAAATCCGTGGCGGACAGTGACGCCAGCTATGACCTTGTCAGTGGGGCTACAAGTCGAGCCCCTGGGAGCCCAAAGGATGATGTCGCCAAGTCTACCGCGACAAAGGTAGAAGAGAGTGATGAGGAAGACTGGGAATGATTGTAGGTAACGAGACAACATGGTTTTTGGTGTTTGACGTTCAGAATACTAGGGTCCAGCAGGCATTAGCATCAATATCCAATCCTTCTCACGCTTTCGAGATTGTCTACGTATTCCAGATCTCCTGTTCTAGCAATGAGATCTAAAACCTCGTTCTCAGACAGCCACGATAGCCTCCGTGTCCCCATATCTCTTCTCTATACTCCCGCTCGGTCTTTCAAGAATCCAGGGGATCTGGCCACGCAAAACGAATATTCTTCTTCTCCAACCCAGCCAACACAACATCCACACCACCAGACTTGATCATCCACTCAAGTCGATGATCCCGATACTGCCTCCGCATCAAACCTTTTCTAACAATATCCGCAAAGGGCGGTGGCGACTTCAGCGCATCGCTGCACTCCTGCAACGTCACCTTGACGGCTTCTACCTCCTTGACCCCCTCAAACCACTTAGCCAATACGCCGCCCTCCTCCGGCCAAATCCCATGTGAAGTCGACCGACTAACCATGATCGCCACACACAGATCCGCCCACCCAAACGCCCCGCCGACAAACCACTCCCTGTCCGTCCCCAACTGCTCCGCCAACCACCCATGCACCTGCCGGATCTGATGCTCAGCCTGCCTCCTCAGCTTCTCCGCCGCCTCGCCCTCGGCGCGCTCGAAAGAATTAACCTCCCCCAACCCCCAATTGATCGCCTCGTAGTGGGTGTCGCATATATCCTCGATCATGCGCGCTTTCGCCCGTCCCACCGGATCATCCTTCGCGGCCGGGAGGAGTGGCCGTTCCGGATACTTGTCCTCGATGTACTCGAGGATGATGGTGGAGTCGAAGATGCGCAGATCACCGTCCACGAGCATCGGCATCTCGATGCGCGGGTTTTGGCTCGAGAAGTCGCTGTCGGTTTGTGCTGCATAGCCGGATCCGCCGCCTTTTGGCGTCGCGAAATCGAACGGGATCTCCTTGTGCCGTAGCGCTATGCGGACTTTTTGCGCGTAGGATGAGACCGGCTGTTCGTTGAAAGTCACATGTTAAACTCAGGGTTTCTCTTCTATCATCCCGAAGTGGTAGGAGAGGATATAAAGGGATTTCCCTTTTTGCTTTGCGTGCGTGCAATGCATCATGGCGGTGGTACTTACATGGTTCCATAGAAATAGTTTACCTGGTTGCGGGGAAGACGCCATCTTCGAGAGTGTAACAGTTATGGAGTGCTGACGAAGACTCCAGGGAAGAGTTTCTGACTTATGGACTCCCTTTGTAAAAGATTATGCTGTTCGACCGAGTATTCGAGAGGGTGGCCTGGTAGCTGGGGCTTACGACAGAGTTATAACTATGTGGCACGAAAAACAATAGCCGAGGTGAGGGGAAGGGGAGAAGCCAAGTTCATAAGGGCGATCACTCCACGGACTCAGGAGGCAAGGCTGCACTCAAATCGCTTGCGCTTGAGGCCTCCAGGTGGAGATAGCAAACCAATCATGAAAAATGTCGTTCTCTGCTAATAGTATCAAGATTACCTAGGTCATGTTGCTTCTAAATGTTGGTATGGGACTCGAATAGGCAGTGACATTGCCGGCTGATGATGTAGTATACCGGTCGGGGTAGTGAGATGCTATTTTCTGAGATTGGAGATGATATTTGGGGACATTTGTCCATCGCTAGGCCTCGAGATATCTACATACATGTATTTGATGTTGTGGCCATGGGCGTGTGTGTGATAATGCTGAGACCATAGTTGCCTGTAAATCAGGCTCCCGAGGTGAAAGGAAAGAAACTTGGGTTGGATAAGTCGGAAGACCCTGCCAGTGATTGTCAGAATATGGACCTTGACTAGCATAGGATACGAATACATGTCATAGTTTGAACTCCACGGTGTATGGGACAAGGATAGCGTGTGTTGCGAGGTGGAGCTGGAGTTTCGAACGACGATGCCTATTTTATGACAAATTCAATCGGGCGATTGAGCTATCTTGGAATCGTAGAATTATTGGCAATCATTGCTTAGGTGCGCTTAGGTGTGATGCTTAAGGTGAAATTTATCGCCATACACCATAGAGAATAGAGGCACGGGGGCAAATATGTTGAGATAAAATGCTGTTGATGCTACCATTAATTGCCTGCTATCGCTGTAACTAGATATTCGTCCTCAGTCTCTCTTCACCCCCACCCGGCCGGCCTTTCTCAACCCAGCGATCGCCACGAGACTACAGGTAATCATGATCGCAAACATGGTCCAAAAGCTGGCCTGGTATCCTCGTAGTGATTGTGCATCTTCAGTTTTATCATTACCGGATCCAGCGTGGCCGGAAGAAGAATCGGCACCACTAACACCCAACGCAACAACCTGACAGAGTCCCACGCCCAAGCTCATGCCAAACTGAGCAACAGTATTAAACACAGCTCCTGCCAGCGCCTGCATCTGCTCAGGAAAGTTGTCAGAAACGATCAACAGACCGACAGTGAAGAGCACATCACCAGACATGGGTGAGAGGACCTGTGCCCAGAATTGCATATACCAATAACTCCACTTCGGGTCAGCAATCGCCATGAGCAATGGAGCCACAGCACAGAGCATAGAGGAGACAGCTACAAGCCATCGTGCGGGAATCTTGTCCACGAATATCCCTACAGTCAAGTTAAGAACTGTCCCGACCACAAGACTAGGCAACAGCCGAAGCGAAGTAAACAAGGTTGACGTGTTCTGGATCTCCTGGAAGTAGAGACTGGAGAAGAGCTCCATAGAGTTCATAACTCCGTAGGACAAAGCGACCATAATGCAGGTTGACGTGAAGGGAATTTTCTTCCAAATGACGTTTGGGATTAGGACAGGTTTGCCAACCCGTGCGCGATGCTGCATCCATAATGGAAATGCTAGAAGCAAGACAAGGCTGAGGGTAAGCATGACCGCAGTAGAGGGTTTGTGGATATCTGAGAGGTTGGCGCTGAGAATAGCCAGGACATATGAGAGTAGGGCGAGTCCGGCCGATGCGATCACGCCGCCAATCCAATCAATTTCTTTCCATAGGCGAATCACCAGTGGAGTGCGATCGGTGTTCTCGAGGACTTGAGGTGCTTCTAGTGGCGCTTTCGGCAAGGACCAGAAGCCGGCGACAGTAGCGATGACAATTGCACCGCCTGATATGTAGAAACAAGATCTCCAACCAGCTTTCTCAATCACGATGCCGCTGATGACCAGCCCGGCTGAAAATCCCAGAGGCTGACTCATTCCAAGACATCCAAAACTCACGTTCCTCGCTTTCCCCTGAGGCACAGCCGCTGCAACCAACGAGACCGAGGCCGGCAAGTGCATCGACATAGCAATTCCCTGGAGCGCTCGGAAGACCACGAGCTGTATACCGGTCTGCGAGAAACCACACGCAAGAGTGAAGGCACTCAGGAGTACACATCCGAAGAGCTCGACGCGCCGGGCGCCGATCAAATCTGCAATTGACCCGGCCAGAAGAAGGGTGGCACCGCTCGTCAGACCGTAGACAGACGATGGCCATAGATAAAGCGAACGAGGGAGTGAAAGTGCTCTCGCTATTGTTGGTAGCCCGACCGTAATGATGCCGTTGGTGAAGCTGCTGAGGAAGTTTATCATGCATAGTTGAAAGACGGCGAGGAAGATGTGCAGTGGGCTATTCGGGCGTTGTGGACGGCTGGGAGGCTCACCACGACTGCTATGTGCTGAGTCTGGCGTGGTAGAGGCCTGAGTAATGGCATTAAATGCTGGCGTGCCATCGAGTTCAGTGGTCTTGCCTTCTGAGAGCCTGTTCGGGGAGAGGACCGAAAGCTCAGTTCCTGTGGTGGTGATGGACATCTTTTGTCTGCGTCCTTGTGGTGCCTTGGTAGTCGTATTTGTTTTGTGAATCTCTCAGAAGCATTTGTTTTGGTGATTGATCACCTGTTGTCCTGTCCGTCCTCAAAAATCATGGTAATCAAAATTTTCGAAGAGAATGTCTGGCCCCTTGTATATTTTTGAATTATATAAGGTACTCACTCGAGAATCAGTTCTGGATGGCCTGAAATTAGCAGTTGACTAGGCTGATTCCTTGGTCAGCGGAAGGGCACTGGTGGGTTGAATACGATCCAGCACCGAGCGCCGAAGCCCGCAGTTGGCGCGTATAATATTTCCAACGCGGGTCAACGTACTTGATCCTCTCAATCCTCCAAGTTAGAAATCCGCCACATACAAATAGTTACTGGGTACGTGGGTACCTGATGAAGGGTGGTAGGTGAGGGCGTATTTACTGACAGTGTCTGCGATCTGTACGCAGTCTAAATAGTCCCACCAAAATACTCTCACCTCGCTGTCTAGATGCAAGCGACCATACCCAGTGAAGTACTGTGGCATTGTGAATGGAAGGTATTTGAGCGAATGACTGTTGTGTAACATCTTGATAGGGGGGAACGTGAATTTATATACTGCTTGCTCACATCATCTAACAACTAGGGATGTCTGATAGCCATCGGTCATCAGCTAGGTAAATCAGTTACCTTTTCCCTTGCCAGCCTTAGCCTTCTCTTTCGCAGCTATCTGAGCCTCGGTGTGATGAGGCTCAGGCTCAGGCTCAGCCATGGGTTCAGGTTCACGCTTGTTGTTCTTGCCCTTGCCACCCTTAGCTTTTTCTTTGGCAGCGATCTGAGCTTCGGTGTGATGAGGTTCGGGTTCGCGCTTGTCATTCTTTCCCTTGCCAGCCTTGGCCTTTTCTTTGGCAGCTATCTGTGCTTCAGTGTGGTGAGGCTCACGCTTGTCGACCCAGGATCCGAATTCATCTTCAGTACTGTCCCAAGGACCGAACTCATCGGCCTCTTGAGGTTCACGCTTGTTGTTCTTGCCCTTGCCTCCCTTGGCCTTTTCTTTGGCAGCGATCTGAGCCTCGGTATGGTGGGGCTCAGGCTCGGGCTCGCGCTTGTTGTTCTTGCCTTTGCCTTTGCCCTTCGCGGCAGCTTCCTTGGCTGCGATTTGCGCCTCAGTGTGGTGAGGCTCGCGTTTGTCAACCCACGATCCGAATTCGTCTTCAGTACTATCCCATGGGCCGAATTCGTCAGCTGCCTGGCGTTTGTTTCCCTTTCCCTTCCCCTTTCCCTTCGCAGCGGCTTCCTTAGCCGCAATCTGAGCCTCGGTGTGATGAGGGTCTCGCTTGTCTACCCACGACCCAAACTCATCCTCAGTACTATCCCAAGGACCGAACTCATCAGCTGCCTGGCGTCGGTTATTTCCTTTGCCCTTGCCCTTGCCCTTGGCAGCGGCTTCCTTGGCAGCGATCTGAGCTTCAGTATGATGAGGCTCTCGCTTCATAAACTCCGTGTCAGGCAAGATAGACCTTGCTATCTGTGATGCCCTGGAAGCCAAAGAGCCCTGGCACGCTATTAGCATATGGCAAAATCCCGATTTGCACAAGATGTACACTTACCGAAAATCTCTTCTCGACATCTTTGCCTGAAGCCTCAGCCGAAAACCCAGCGACAAGAGGACTAGCAGCCAAAAGACTGAAAACGAGAGCTTGTTGAAAAGAGAATGGATGCATGGTCGTTTGATTGGTTGAGCTTTTGAATGTATAGGCTCTTGAAGGGAAAGGGAAAATTAAACTGACCAGCAGTTGAATGAATGAATAAAGGATGACTGAAGAGAATGATTGAGAATGTGTGGCGTGATGTTGGGATACATCCCGGGCACGATGGCTTTTATAACGAAAGTTCACTCGCTACCTTCCCTACAATATCAAAGTTCGATCGCCAATACCTGCCCACCGGATGTTTGAGCCATTTCCTGGTGCACCTGAGGTATCCTGCAATCAAAATCTCCACGATCTTGAAAGAAGCCCACCGTTGAGCACGGCGCCGTCGCATTAACCGCATGTCGCTGTGATAGTCCATGCGAGTTTCACTCTAGGGGCGTCGATATCAATATTGTGGAGTTTAAGCGGCTTCTTCACTAGACAATTGCCGTTTCAGGGTGGGAGCCATGATCGGGTGTGGTTGTCAATGAGGCATACGGTACCTAGAGCAGGTGTTCATCTACCTAGCCCGCTACCTACACATCCCGAATTGTTGACACGCCGCAGTGGATATCTGTAGAAGTGGACCATCTACTACCACTAACGTGGAAGACAATGCCTCGCGCCGCGCCAAGGCCCTGAAACAGAGTTGAAGTTGGGTTAAGAGCGGTGGCGAGGTGCCACGAGCCAATAATTCCCTGGTTTGGGGTTGCAGATACGACCGATGGCGTAAAGCTCGGGGCATCGGTAGGCTACGCTTGCCCTTGGACAATGAGGCTAAAAGCTTAACATGTCTTAACTATCACCCACCCGAAACGAGTCCCCTAGTTTCATCACGAACTTACTGCTCCAGTGCTCGAGCACCGCAACCGCACCAGAAACTCCCATTTTCGATTAACTAATCTGGAGTGGGCTCCGAATATCGAAGCCTCGTTGCTTGTCGTAGGTCCACTTGGTGTCAAAGTCGAGGACCGCCCTCGTGTGAGACACGGAGGGCATCAAAAGTTGGGGATAGCTTCATCCACTCGCGAATTCTTGCATTCTTGTTATCTTGCGTGATTTCTTGGTTGAATGGGATCTCGGTTTGAGTTCGGATGTCGAATTGCCTAGGTTCTATAGGGGATGCTCACAGTTTTCCATCTAGATACCGTGCATCCAGATAGTCGTCTTTGTTCCTTCTCAAGTTCTATAGGTTGCTTTGCAGGCAAACGCTCCCACAGATTGCTTGATTTCTGATATTCTTACTTGTCATCGAGATAGCATGGATTCGAAATACCATCTCTTGACTCCCAGTGGAAAGGAGGGATACCTGACGCCAACAGACTCTCCAGCGGGTTCATATCATGCGCAGGATTTCGATGCTCTATTAGGCTTGAAACACAAAACGAACAAGTGGCTATGGATGCTTCACGCTGTGCTTTTGACCACATCACTCACGCTACTCACACTCTCTGTGATGATACGGTCATCGACGTTGAAGCATGTCCACGAGTTCTCTGCTTGGTGTAAGCGCCAGCTCCAATCCCAAAGATATCTCAGGACAAAATTTGACTCAAGATGATCACAGCTCCGGCCGCCTCCTCCGTCAAGTACAATTCAATCAAATACAATGTTTCAACTGCGGAAAACAAATTTGTCGGTGCCAGCCCTGAGGTAGATAAAGCCTGGCGCGAGATCTCATATGACAGTACGCCCCGCGCCACATGGTTTTCTATTTTGTCATCATCCCTCTAACTGGTGCAAATAGTGGGAGACCAATGGATATCGAACTCTGACATCGAGAAACTCGGCATGCCGAAGACATCTCTGAAAGTAGCCCACCCCAAAACCGGCGAAGAAGGCTATCGAGTGGGCATGGAAGTCTTCCACCAGCTTCATTGTATCAACCTGCTCAGAAGGGTTACTTACAAGGAATACTACGAGCCGCTGGGCGGTGAATTCGCTGCTGGCCCTGAGACCCTCCGACACCATACAGGTAATGGCCCCCCAATCCAAGTCTGCTTTTTGATGTCCGAAGCTATACTAACGGAGCTGTTGTTCAGATCACTGCATCGAGATTCTCCGGCTTAATATCCAGTGTAATGCGGACATTGGCCTTTTCACGTTATACATGGTCGAGGGAGATCCACAGGCGTGGCCGGAGCTCAACTCAAAACATGTTTGTAGGAACTTTGATAGAGTTAAAGATTGGGCGTTGGACCATTCTGTGGGTAATATGGAGCTACTAGAATAGAAAACCCAACATTATGAAATTATAGACGTTGCTTCACCGGCTCTCTCCTACCAGAAAGTGCATTTTGCATGGCAGTTTTAATTCTGCACTTGAGCCTCATCGTAAGCAAACCTGTCAACAGTACACATCTAACGAGAATCCCTATCTCATTCAGTACCACGAAACATGCACAAATATGCCAGAGTATGAGGTACACTAGAATGACCTGGCTCGCCCCTGTGTGAAAAGCCGTTTCGCAGTAGGCTGGTTAAGCTCCCCGAGTAAATTGCTTGTGCAAAAAGCTTGACACCAACCTCGGCAATTTATTAGGCTCCTGAGTCGTCGCCAAAACCACATCGCTAAACCAGGGGGTTTCTGCCTTTAAAGAAAATTGGCATCTGGCGATCTTGCCACTGTCGACTGTAGAATACGAGACAATGAACAGTTTCGAAAGTGAGTCGCGAGTTTAATCCCACCTACATAATATACGGATATCGAGTTTCTCGACATTGGTCACTCGAAGCGCCTCCCACCCGCCCCGGGATGGGTGGTTGTGGTTTTAAATTAGCCGCTGGCGCCGTCCGTCCGCCCCCTAACCATTCGGGACATCGCCCCGCTGGTTGGGCATGGATTGACCAGTATGCTGTTTCAGATTTCACATCGATTGGCCAAGACTATTGCGCCAGAACCCTCAATAATGTGGAGAGCATGATCGTCGAACGTTGAGAAAGACCGCCTCCTTTGTTTCGTCCACTGGCAGGGCCTTGCGATTTCTGGGGCCCTGGGCGCCCATGTTCACACGGTTAGCCGGCACAAATGGTCGACCCTTGCAGATATCATCAACGCGGATGCAATATCCATATACTTGATACGAGCTAACTACCTCGTTCACCTCGTTCCATACTCCACCCTGGGCTGTTGTCAAGAGCGGTGTCGCGAATACTTTCCATTTTATCTTCGTACGCTACGCTGTGGCCGCCGCCGCCTTCAACGTGGCTTTCTATTCCCGTCCACTGGATCACTGGATCACTGGAACGAAGAAGGCGAGATGTGGTCCGTGGTTTCTTGCTGGTACTTCAAACGACTAATTGTTTGACAATATCGTCCTTGTCTACTTGAGAGGATTTCGAGCAACTGCCTCTTTTTATCGTCGTTTGTGTTTCAGTTGGCTTCCCCCTATCTCGCTCTTGTTTCTTAGCGAACTATCTCTTCCCTCTCATGCCTGGTGCTTTGAGTAGCCTTTTATGACTGAACAACTTCAACCATTTTTTCATCCTTTGACTCGTTTCAATTCATTGCTTGAACGAAATCCCTCTTCCTTTGAAGCTGCACAGTTGAATCACCAATATACCATTTTAAAAGATGCCTCGAGCAAGGAGAGACGAAAGCACAGTCCCTATGCTGGGCAACCACCGTTTAGAAAGCACCGAGAGCCTCGATGTTGAGGAACAAAAGAGCGGCCTCGGGAAAGAACCAGCCACAGAGCCCTATCATACCAGAAATGATTCGTATCACTCATCGTGGTCCAGCGACACCATCTCCCCTTCAAGAAAACCTCGCCTATCAACAAATCTTCTAACGTGGCTTCGTTGGGGGACAATTGTTGGCCTTCAGAGTATCATTATATTATTGTTGTGCCGGCGGCACGATGCAGGAGGTGAGATGGACGATGTCTTGAAAGGGAAGGTGGTTGAGACTGGAGATGATATAAATGGGTTATATCGGACGTGTAAGTCGATGGTCCGATCTTGGAGAGGTCTTCTGGTTCTGATCGAGATGTGTTTGCTAATATTGCCTAGCATCACATTCATACACATTCTTGAAACCAGAGGTTGAGAAGTTCATTCCAAATATGACAACCAATGAAGATCGAATGGACATTCGAAGGAATTGGGACTTGTTGATGCCCTGTAAGACCCGTTCAATTGCAAATGGCCTGAAGGAGAAAGCTAACATTTCCATTCATTAGTGGGTAGTGGGAGCGTTGCAATTCCAGATTATCGAGATCATCCTCTCCTTGGTGATCCCATTACAGATGATCCAATTCGAAGCGGGCCCCTTTTCGAAGCATCATGGACACATGCCCTTCATTGCGTGAGTACTGAAGCTCCAAAGCCAAGTGTCGCAAGTATCAACCAACTAACTGCTCTCGAGTTGTACTATTCTGTTGACAGCTATCACCAACTGATTGTCAATGGTCGAACGGATGACGATAATCCGACTCATGCTGGTCACTGCTTTGAATATCTGAGGAACAGCATTCTCTGCAACCTTGACATGACACTCGAGGGTTCCATGTCGACGCCCGACGATCATGAGAGAGGTCAACCACATGTCTGCCGGAATCGCGAACATGCCATTGCATGGATAGAGGCAAGGCGTGTGGATGACTTACAAGACATTGTTGGACCTTGAGCAGTCTAAAATCGTTGAGTGATTGATTGATTGAGAAACAGTGAGCGGTCTTTGTTTTGTTTCCCGAGCGCATAGGAGTTTACATAATAGTAGGCCCCATCATCGAAAATTCGATGACGTTCGGCTCGTTTCAAAAGATTCAGTCCAGATGGGGATCCAGTACTCTCGTAAAGCCAGCTGGGTGGTTAACTATTGTGACTGCTATTATGCGCGCGAAAGGTCCATGTTGTGGATTTTCTGGTTTATCTTTGATGCAAAGTCGGTGAAAAGGGGATTCAGACCACATGTCTTGTATCTTTCAACGAGCTCACTGGAACCTGCTCCGTTGGCTGCTTGGTCCGGATTTTGATCATCTTTCACCCCCTCAACTAACGCAACGAATCCGGTGTCGAGCGGGACAGACCCTAGGAAAGGGACACCAGTTTCTCTTGCCATGATTTCACCTCCACCTTTGCTGAAGATGTTGGTAATCTCATTGCAACAAGGACACATGTAACCAGCCATATTTTCAATGACACCTAACACGGGGACCTGGGTCTTGACGCAGAAGTTGAGTTCTTTTCTCACATCCGCAGTTGATATGGCCTGCGGGGTAGTCACAATCACAGCCCCAGCAAGTTTAGGTGCTGAATCGATGTCCAGTGCTAGGCTTCCATTGGCAGCTTGTGTAGGTTGTACATCTGCAGCAAGCTTGTGAAGTTCTTCCACGATTGCAATATGTTCATCGCTTGTACCCGGAGGAGTATCGATCAGTAAATAATCAGTATTCGGAGGCCAGAAGACATCAGATACGAATTGTCTGATCATTGCAGTTTTTTTGGGACCCCGCCATATCACAGCGGACTCGCGCGATGGCAGGAGGAATGCAAGAGATAGAGCATGAAGAGAGCCTCGAGCTGCAGAATAGCGACCACCCGTTGGTGCAGCATCTTCTTCTTCCGCTGACTGCCCTTCAATTGCATCATGGACTTTGACTGGCAGCCAGCCCCCAGGTGCCTGAGTAACTTTCTTGTCTTCCAGATTCAGAAGTCTTGGTATACTTGGGCCAGTGAGATCGATATCGAGAATTCCTACATTATGGCCCTGCTGGGTAAGAGTGAGGGCTAATTGCAAGGTGGTGCTAGATTTGCCAACGCCACCCTTGCCCGAGAGAATGAGTACGACATGTTTGATGTTTTGCAGTCCCATCGTGCTGGAATCGACTGATGACGAAATTTTGTCCCTCGAAGGAGAAGTCAAAGATGAAGTGCAATCTGTGATAAGATTTAGGATTCTTTATGCGATTACAAGTTGAATTGCTAAGCAGAAAAATTGCAGTTGCCGCTCCAAGGGGCAAACTTGCCATTTTGGGATTAGTTTCAACGACGTCAGCGAGGCTGCCCCTCCATAACAATTAATTGAGAGCCCTACTAGTACGAGTAAGTACTCCGGATGTTTTGGCTGCCCCTTCCAATATATGCAGCCAGTGGAATCCATCAAGTACGAAGCATAAGATCAGATGAGTCTGCCACCAAACCAGTAAGTAGACTACAAAGTGGATGTGCAGCTGCCTGGATTGAAGTACTAGAGGGTGTTCAGGAGCCTTATATCTCTACACATCATGCGCATGTAATTTGGGGATGGCTATCTATGTACCTAGTTTTGTATAAGGAAAGGAAAGTTAGGCGTATCAAACGCTACCGATGGTGTCTGTGATTCTTCTTGGACACTCAAGCAATAGTATTATGGATTCCGAACGAGGCTTGATAAATCTCAATCGGAGCCTCGGCTAGGGAGCCTAACTCACCCCTGTCCAGGGACCACTGGCGCCCGGATAGGAACTTTTTAGTTATTGCGGGGGTGGCGTCCAGGCATCAACCACCACTGCAAGGCACCGGATGATGCATACCATCTATTTCATAGCACCTACGATAGCCTTGCCATTGCCATCATCAGTCGCTGGTGAGGATGACTCCCTTACTTTGGAAGATTCATTTTCATGGCTTTCTCTTTATTTGGCACTTCCTTCAGAGTATTACAGAATCTGACCATCTTCATCTTATGCAGACATTGTGCTCATAGATACTCACCTTGGGTACTTCATAGCACTGAAGAGGGAACACCCGATCTCCCAGACAGCCACAGCTCTTTACCTAACTCGTTGTGGCGATCTGAGCTGCAGAAAATAAAATTCTTCTAGGCGCGGATAGGAAATCCCGCACCGTGTCATCGGCATGAATCGGCGAATTCTTGCATGACGAATATCGTCACAGTCACAGGTTATTCCCATGTGGAAGTCTTCTCATCAACCCCCGTCTCATGGTTTCCCGTTATAACTGAGCAGCCCAAGACTACAATTTACAGCCCCCAGCCGCCCACCACGCCCCGCCCCGCGCGTCCCAATTGCAATCCAACCCAAGCCCATCATTTTCTCAAGCCCCAAAACAAATTTCTGATCCACCACACCACACACACTGCTTCAACTTCGGCTTGCATCGTCACTTGTGCGACTCAATCCCAAATCTGTCTGCCTCCTCATTGTTTGCTCTTCAAGTTCACCAAACACCGTCTGCTCTCATTGTTGTCTTGATTGATCGTCAGACATCAAGACTTACCTGACTCTTTATCTTGCCATTCCTGTCCGGTGTACACATCCACCTGTGTGCCCTGGTTTCATACAAGCTTCTCAACACCGCCTCCCACAACCCCGCTGGGCTGCGTGAAATTTTCAGCTCACCACCAACATTCCTACTATTCTCGCCGCTCTGGCGAACCCTTTGAGCATCGAGAGTACCAAACCTCTCTGGCTGTAACGGCCACCTTGGACCTCTTCTCGTTTCTTCCACCTATCCTATGAGCACCAAAGACCTACTACGCTTCCTATCAAAGCCAGCAAAGTAAGTCCTTACCTACTCTCCCGTCCGCACGTGCTACCATTCTGACTCGACCCAAAGGCCCAGATAACACCTGCTACTTGTGGGAAATCTCTGAGAACCAGATTTAATATCGAAAGCATCCACGACCTTCTTCTATCTCGCTGTCTTGAAACACCTGACCATCGATACTCTCACCGGTATCGAACAACCTGAAAGATCATACCAACACTGCCCACAATTCCGTTCGTGCAGGACATCTTTTTCCTCCTCTCCTCCACCCGGCCTCCCTAACGACCCTCGTGAGGGAGTTTTATTAAATCCGCGGTTGCTGCTGGCAAAAGCCAGCCTCCACTTATCCCACAGATAGTGGGCCTTCTCTTCTCAGGCGGACACCGCATTGTTCGTCTGGGCGGCAGATAGTGCTTCACTGAATCGAAAGATCAGTGTGACATCAACTCCACTGCCCCTTATTTAATTCGCTTGTCAAGAGGACTTTGTCCCATCCGTCGACAAGGATATGGTACATATTGGGATCCCCAAGAATTATACAGCTTCACCTTCAAGCTTTGGTCATACCCCGTCCTTGACCATCAATCGTGAAGTTGCCCTCGATCTCGACTCGAGCAATGCCTTCGAAGGTCAGTGCCAACTTCATCAATGTAGGAGATTCTATACTCACAAGGATTAGGTCCCGAAAAATTACTAGAGGTCTGGTTTAGTCCGACCCCTAATGCCTTGCAAGGTTGCTCGGAACCATCTGGCCTGAAGGCGGTCCCGGCGGAGATATGGAAGGACATGCTTGATCTTGTCAATTGCAAAGTCTTGTCCATCGTCGAGTCCGATGATGTTGATGCCTATCTTCTCTCCGAGTCGAGCATGTTCGTTTTCCCACACAAGCTCATTCTCAAGACTTGCGGCACCACCACCCTACTCTGTGGCTTACCACGCATCCTGGAGATCGCAGCCCTTTTTGGCGGGTTCGAACGTTCCACCGCTCCACCATCGCGTGGAATTGCAATTGCTGCACCCCCATATCGAGTCTTTTACAGCCGAAAGAATTTTCTCTTCCCTGACCGTCAGCACGGTCCTCACCGAAGCTGGCGCGATGAAGTTCACACGCTAGACAAGCTTTTTGTGGGAGGAAGCGCCTATATGATTGGCAAAATGAATGGCGAACATTGGTATCTCTATTTGACCGAACCACATACCATGTTGACTCCACCGGCTAGTCCACAAAGCATGGATAGTCCTATCACCGAGACCAAAGAATTGAAGTTGCCTTCTTCTCTGGTTCTCGACCGTGGCCCGAAGGTGTGCGAAGGTGAGGACGAGACTCTTGAAGTCCTCATGACTGATCTGGACGAGGAGAATGCCAAACAATTCTACCTTGACCATGCGAGTGCGGTCGCAGAGGATCAGTGGAGAGGCTCTCAACGAAGCGAGGAAGAAGATCATGTCGACGTTTTCAGCACTGCTTCATCCGACAATGGAGACCTGTCTATCAAAGACGAGACATTCCCAGAAGAGCTCACGACTGAAGGTCATGCACTTGGTACTGTGGTCTCTCAAGCTTGCGGACTATCCAGTGTCTATCCCCGAGAGCACTATCCGGATGCCCGTGTCGATGCGTACCTCTTTACCCCCTGTGGCTTTTCTGCGAATGGTGTCATTCCTGCCCCGGACGGCGAGCAAGGTACCCATTATTTCACAGTCCATGTCACTCCCGAGCCAGTCTGTTCTTATGCCTCCTTTGAGACTAATGTCCCAGTCGGGCAGAAGGGCAGAGAGACGGTTGAAATTATTCAGCACGTTGTGGATATCTTCAAGCCCGGCCGTTTCTCTGTTACTCTTTTTGAAGCTAAGAGTTCATTTGAAGAAAGAGATGCTGTTGGCCATGATGCATTGGCTGAGATCAAAATGCTGGAACGGCAAATTGCACGTCGTACTGCCAAAATGGACCATATCAAAGGATATCGTCGAGTTGATCGCATTGTCCACGATCTGGATGGTTATGACTTGGTTTTCCGCTATTACGAACGGCATGACTGGAAGGGGGGAGCTCCACGGATCGGCGAGAAGGCCTTCTGAAGCACTCTCTGTCGTTGCGTCGCAGCAATTGATATGCTCACTACCATGAGTGATAACGACTTTCCTATTGCCAAGTCACTGATTTTGAGTTCTCTCTTCTGCACCTCTTCCACTCCTTTGAGCATTGAACTAGTTCCGTCGTGGCCGACTAGTTGCACAGTTAGTGATCAATGAATATGATTTTGGTCCCAGCACTTTACCTTATTCCACCTATTCTAAGAATCTCATCCATAGCCTTGGCTTCAATAGATTACGGGATTAGGAGAAGCATTTACCCAGGTGAAGATGGCCCAGATTCAGACCCGTCCCCAATGAGGATAGGTGCCCTTGGCAGTACCTTCCCCCGGTGCACGACGCCTCTTCACAGATCACAACCTGCTTGGCTTAACAAGGCACGGCAAGCATTCTGGTAAGAGGCTAGATAGTAGTGCTTCCAACCTCCTCCAAATCAATTTCCATGGACACCAACGCTCTTAATTCAATTCACCCGACGGAAACTTCGAACACATGATGAGATTCATCCAACGCGGCCTTCTCTGTTTATTGCGTGAGCATCACTCGAGGCATTGAATCCTCGCGACATGGCATAAGCTTGTTCCAAGCACTTTTGGCGCCGGTCTTGTAATGAGCATCAATGTTGACAAGTACTGACATTGAGAGCTTGCATCACCATGAAGGTTTGAAGCCTGGCGACACAGGCTGAAGCACCAGGAAGCCAGTACACACTGTGCGGCAGTATACTCTGATGTTCGAATTGAAAGTGACCTCCTTCTTTGCAGCGAGGCTCGCAAGGCCGCGTCCATCGAGATCCAATCGTAAAATAATCAGACCAAATTCTACTTGAGGACAAACGACACTCAACTCAGAATGGGGATGTAATGTCGGAAGAGGGTTGTCTCATGATTCTCACCACTGAGTACTCGTACTCGGTCTACTCGGTCCACTACGAAAGAAGAATCTTACCACTCCTTCTCCGCTTCCATAACCGGATCCTGGCCCGGCATAAGCCCCCAATATACCCGCCATCCACCTTTCCATATCTCGCTAAAGGCCAGAAAGGCCACCCACCCACTGGAGCAGAACCGGCTGTCTCCCTGCTTTCCTCTTATTGCGGCGAAATGAATAACCCGTCGGTTGAATTTTACCACTCGCTTGCAACGCTTTTGCGGGGTTTCCTTGCCTCGAGGATCGAATGTTGACATCCCCTGATTCTACTAGCCTCTTCTCCACACAGGGTCTGGGGTGCCGAGTGCCAGATCATCGGGCCACCATTAAAAGCTGCTTGAATTCCCTCCTTACCGTTGCCATGATCAAGCGTTCTCAGTAAGTGAACACCCAGTGCAATCCAGATATCCAGATATCATCTTGATCACAATGGAAGTCGTCAAGATTGTTCCCACCGAGCGAGAGCTCAAGAACTTCGAGCTCAGCAATCCCGACACGATCACTCTTATCCAACGAGCACAGGAGAGCGATGCTGCTGATCGACAACTCACCATTCCTCAGGCGCTGAAAAAGTACAAGAAGGCTGTCTTCTGGAGTTGCTTCCTCTCAACCGCGCTGATCATGGAGGGATATGATGTTGTTATTGTACGTCCCCCTCTAAGATTTGTTCCCAAAATATACTAACCCGGACCTGTAGATCAACTCTTTCTTCGGCCAAACTCAATTCAGGGAACGCTTCGGAACTTTCGACGCAGTGGCGGGCAAGAAGGTCATCACTCCAGCGTGGCAATCGGGCCTGTCAAACTCAGCTCTAGTGGGCCAATTGGCTGGGCTCATTCTCACCTCATTTGCCCAAGACCGCTTTGGGTGTCGTCCGACATATCTTTTCTTCATGGCGTGGATGAATTTTATGATCTTCATCGCCGTGTTTGCTCCATCTCTCTCGGTCTTGGCTTTTGGCGAAGCCATGAGCGGCATCTCATGGGGTGTATTTCAGGTGAGAATCAATGGCTCAACTACAGCGACATTTCTATTGACATAACCAGACCTTGACGACTACATATGCGTGCGAAATTGCGCCAACCGTGCTTCGACCCTTCCTTACTGCCTATGTCTCCCTCTGCTGGGGCTGTGGTATCCTTCTGTCGGCTGGTGTCCTCCGCGCAGTTGCTGGTATCGATGGTGACCTAGGATGGCGATTGCCGTTCTGTCTTCAATGGTGCTGGCCTGTACCACTTTTTGTCGGAGTCTGGTTTGCCCCTGAATCTCCGTGGAGTGCAGTAAGACGAAATAAGCTTGAACTCGCCAAGAAGTCTCTTCTGCGCCTGCGATCCAACAGTCCAAACAAGGAGCAAGAAGTTGAGGCTACACTTGCCTACATCCGCCACACTACCGAGCTTGAGAAGGCAGACACAGAAGGAGCGAACCTGATTGAATGCTTCAAAGGCACGAATCTTCGCCGGACCGAAATTGTGAGTCTCTTCAAAAATTTCAGCACCTCGCTTAAAGTGAGCTGACTATGGTTTCAAAGAACTGCATGACATGGATGTCTCAGGTTCTAGACGGGAACCCATTGACCAGCTATGCTGTCGTTTTCCTTGAAGCAGCGGGATTCTCTGAGATTCAGACATTTGATATCAATATCTCCATCTGTGCCTGCTTTGTGATCGGCGTCCTCATCTGCTATCTCATCTTCCCATTTTTCGGAAGGAAAACTATCTACATGTCAGGTCTCACCTCAATGTGCCTCATTCTCATAGTGGTAAGTGAGGATCTCATTCCCACTCATGGCCCTTATTGCTTCCCACCATTCAATCGTGGGCCCCTAGCTTGGAGAGATAGTATCATTGGCTATCTTGCCTTGTGAGCACAACGCTAACAGAAGCGCGATATCCAGATTGGAGGACTCGGTTTCGCTAGTGGCCATGATGCGCAACTTGCCATTGGCATTCTTCTAGTCATCTGCACGCTAGTCAACACAATCTGTATGGGACCGACGTGCTATCCCATCGTCGCTGAAACCCCATCCGGTCGACTGAGATACAAGACTATTGCCGTTGGAAGATTCGCATACAACATTATCAGCATCGTCCAGAACACCATTACCCCACGCATGCTATCGGCTAGTGGTAAGTCTTGTTAATGCGCACCTTCTTTATTTCCCAAATTATCTTGAACTTTATCCTAATCCACTATTTTCTCTGCGCAGCGTGGAACTGGGGTGCCAAATCAGGACTATTCTGGGCAGGCACCAACCTTCTCTGCAACATCTGGTGCTACTTCCGTCTCCCAGAAACCAAAGACCGCTCATTTGGAGAGATCGATCTCCTCTTCGAGCACAAAGTACCAGCGAGAAAGTGGAAGGCGACTAAAGTCGATCGTAAGTTCTCTCAGTCTTCAGAGTTCAACACAAGTCCCTTGAACCATTACTGACTTTTCTCCCCACAACAGAATTTGCTCATGGTGCCATCTACGAGGCCAAGGCCGAGGGAGCTACGACCTATCACATGGATTAGTTCAATATACAGGCTTGGCTATTGATCGTGGTCAGATGTTACAACAATATCTCTCTTGCAAAAAGGCCTCAGAGTTGGATTGATATCAAGACCGGACATAGCAGCAAGGACAATATTGTGTTGCGTTTCCGTGTCCATCTGCTTTGGGTTTCTGCTCCACTACAACCACCGAAGGCTGATCTGTCCATATAATCACCAGTTGACTGACCCAAAAATGACAAAATATGGTCTGTCTCGAAGTTTTCAATTGTCTGCACTTTGAATTGAATCTAGAATGCTTGGTGAATCTGCATCTGATCTGAGGTCCTGTACCCACCTAAGTATTTAAGAGTGATCATGGTAATACGCAAGGCCCGCAACTCCTGACTTTGGCGATCATCATGTCTCATAGGCTCCGAAGCTCTGCTAGCGCCTCGCTTTTGACGTATTCATCCCCTGTTGAGACTTTCCCGAACAAGATCTCGGCCAACCCAGAAAGCCCAAAGCACTACGAGTTGGACCATGGTCAATGGCGTCTTACGATCAGACCCCATCAACCTCTTTATATCCAAGGTTCGTATGACCGAGCGGTATTTATGCCGGTCCGCGTGGTTTCGCTCATGCAGCGTCTACTAGTAATTAGCCCGTCGCGAAATTGCCGATGGCTCTCAATCCATTGCCCTGTGCTGAATGTGGAGAACTAGCTTACAGGCGACGCCAGCGAGCACGTGGTGTTCTCGCATCCGGTACTGAATGGTAAGCGATGCTTCGTACGACTCAGAACGGGGTTTGGGAACGGCTTGTAGCACTAATTGTTAAATGGCTGGCAGAATACGCACGTTGATAAAGAATGAGAGCATTGAGTTGTGATGTTTTTATCGTTGACTATGTGGGACATGCGTCTAAAAGGCCCGAAGTATGTCGCATGACTCGGCCGTGACTTCCTTAATTATTACTCGGTGAGTCTCAACAGGCGCGCACAAACCGTGGACGGAAGCTTTACATCTAGCGAACCCTTCTCGGCATCCCACGAGGTCTCGATCTCAAAGCCCAAGGGATACAAGAAGTCGACCTTGACGTCTGAGCCCTTTTTGACACTAGATATCGGCAGAGAGCACGAGGTGTCGCCTCCTCGCCGCCACACTGCCACGTACGAGCACGACGGCGCCTTCAACCCGACTGAAAGCCAGTCGTCATGCCACTTCGGGAGGCCCAACGGCCAGAACGGCGTGGTGTCTTTGATATCATGCCGGATGCCCTTGTAGACGTCCATGCCCTGGCGGACCAGGTCGAGCTGTGCGTCGCTGAGCTTATGCAGCGCTCCACTCAGGTGCACGCGGCCCATGAGGCTGTTGACGACGGTGAGGGCGTTGATCTCATCGGTCCACTCCGGCTGCGGATACGCCCACGAGGCGCTCTGCTCGGGCGTGACGGCCGTGGCGATGGCGGCGGAGACGACCGAGTAGCGGACCGGGTCTTGCTGGTCGCTGGTCGACTGGATTGGGTGGACGGCCAGCATGGCGTAGTCGAGGCGCTGGCCGCCGCTCGAGCACGTCTCGATCACCAGCTCCGGATGCCGCGTGAAGATGCCCTGGATCCAGTCCAGATATGCGCGGTTGTGCTTCAGCAGGCCCGCGCCCGAGCTGAATGCATTCGCGTCCGTGCCGTTCGCCACGTCGATGTTGTAGTCGAATTTGAAGTACCCGATCCCGTACTCCGTGATCAGGTGGTCAATGATCTTGTCCATTCTCGCACGGACCGCGCTGGAGCTGTAGTCGAGCTGGTACCGGTTCTTTTCGATGACGCGTTTGCCGTTTTCTTGGAAGAAGGCGTCGGCCGGGAGTGCTTTTGCGGCCGGACTGCGCACGCCGATGACTTCGGGCTCGACCCACACGCCTGGGATCAGACCTGCGGCGCGGATGGTGTCTATCAGGGATTTGAAGCCCGAGGGGAAGCGGCGCTGCGATGGCACCCAGTCGCCCACGCTGTCCCACCAGTCCGTCTCGTCGGCGTACCAGCCAGCATCGATGACGAAGTATTCGGCGCCAGCGGTGATGGCGGGTTTGATGAGTGATTTGACTTTCTCTTCGTCTGGATCGCCCATCAGACAGTTCATGTAGTCGTTGAAGATGATGGGGAGTGTTTCGTTGTCTGGGTGCTTCCGTCGTATCTTGCGTCTGTATGTTGTTAGAGCTGCGAAGGCTGCGTCGTCACCGTCGTAGACGTGCACAACGGCACATGGGACAGTTGTGAAGCTTTGCTCCGGTCGAAGAAGTTCCTTCCACCCGTGGTTGTAGTTTGTCGGCCCTGTGATAGCCACGTAGATATCGTCGTTGAAATCACCGATCTCCCATCGCCAAGATCCATTGTTCTCGACCTGCCACAGCCATGTGTCCTTGCCATCTTTGCGTTTGAGCATCCCCATAGGCAACATACCCCCGGTGGAGAAACTTCCACGGTTTGACACCGAGTAGCTGACGTGAGTGGCCAGATGTCCTTGTTCTAGCTCATAGAGGCCGATCGTGTCCAAGCCTATCGTGGGAAGTTCATGGTCGTGCCACTGTGCTTCTCGAAACCATGTGTTCGTTGCAGTGGCTGCCACATACTCATGCCACCATTCACGAGTGGAGTCGGTCAGTATTCCTGCTACTAACGACGTGGCCTGAGTTAGGATAATATCTTCTCTCCCATCATTGCGCAATGTGGCGAAAGAGCGCAGAACCGGAATTCCAGTATAGGTGACAAAGGTCGATATCACCGTTAAATTCGTAACACTGTCATGCGACTCGACTTCAAGAGTGTGCTGCTCATGGCTCGAGTATTGTCGATGAGCTTTGTACTTGAGACGAGATGTGACTGTCCCGCAAACGAGAGTCTTTGAACTTTTGTGGTCACTCGTGCCTTCACCTGCAAGTCGTACATCGGTCAACGGTAGAGAGGCATCTGGATTCCTGTTGGATCTTGGAGTTGTTGGTGCAGGTTTTTCGCCAACAGCACGTATCTCGTTCAAACGTACGATCTGGTCTGTTCCTATGAACAAGACCACAAGTAATGCATCCGTCTCCCAGCGGATTTCTTGTGGCTGTGCCATAATTAAAGGAGCCACTGATATTCTCTGTGCGATACTGCAGTCCAACCTCCTAGCACCATGCCAGTGACCCTGACGGCAGATACTTCAACGTGATATAGAATTATTGGCGAACCATCTCCAATTACCGCGAGGTTTGCTCTGTATGAGTTCTGTGGATGAACAACATCTGCCCTCTTACAAGCTCCTCGGTGGGTTAGGTGGTTCCCTTGGTAGCAGGGCATGTATGACTATTACCATTAAAATTCCGCCGGGAAATTTCATGACAACTGCCCACCAACACCCCGGTCACCGGTGGTTAACCACATCAAGTTAGGATGCTCATGAGCTATTGGGTGGAGATGTTTTAAATACTAGCCTTTGCTTGAAAAATCTTCTCGTTTTCAAAGATTGATGCAAAAACAGCCGCCATGAACTGTCAGAGGGTTTGAAGCATCACAAGGATGATCACGTCGCGGAGAGACGTTTGGCTGGCTTTGTGGCGATGTTCTCGGCGTCTTGCGGCGCTGTTCGCATATCAGCATTTATTTTGATTACTGGATGTCAACCCTGTCATGAAAAGTCGACAAAGAGTCTTTCGAGGGAGGCTAAATGTCTACGATGAAAGGTGCAATTCAGCCGATAATCTTTGAACACTTTACCAGCAACAGCATTCTAGTTGATATACTCAAGTAAGTTAGGACAAAACATCTCCAGAAGAATCTTCGACTGGCTCGGAAAAAGAATAGCTTGCCAATGTTATCTAATCCTGAGCTGGAAAGATGCCGGTGTAGCCTCTGGAGGCAATCGCAGCTGCAAGAGATAAATACTCCGTAGGATGCCGTAGGTGCCTGCGACTTAGGTGGCACCCACTGCTCTACAGGTATCGGTATGACGTAACCGCAGATCCTGCCCTGAAAGGCAAGCCCCGGATAAAGGCAGGTCAAGATCTACTACCCCGCATGATGCGGGGTGAATTTATCCGGGACAGGAACAACACGTGCTTGACATTTGTGCAGCAAACAACGCACCCTCTTGTTTCCAGGAATTAGCTGTTACGAGTACCAGGTCATGCATATCGATTACTATGGTCTAAGAGAGTCTGCTCTGTTCACACTCCCACATTAAGCCGATATATTTTGGTTAGGCTCAGCTCCACAATGATCCTTCCGCTGACGGTGAGTCTTCAACATAGTGTCAAACAGATCGGCAGTTACTCATGACTACTGTGATATGGAGCTCCAAAACATTGACTACGCAAGAGGCTATGCTAAGGTACGTTACACGGTTTCCATTTCGGCTATTCTTGAGTCATATAGCTTTGGCGGCTCAATTCATACCTTGCTCGTGCATGACATTTCCAGATGGTGCCAGGCAAAATCGTAGAAAAGGGAGTCTTCCTCATCTCTAAATGATCGCCTCCCGCGTACGGGATCCTCGATTGGCACTAATGGCGTCTTATACCGGTTTGGCCTTACTGGCACTGTCTCTCCCTCTGTCCTGGGCGCAACAATATCCCGACTGTCAGAATGGACCACTATCTAACAACTCGGTATGTGATACCGGATTGTCGGCGAGAGAACGAGCTCAAGCGCTGGTCGATGCCCTGACACTGGAGGAGAAATTAAACCTCACGCACAACAACTCACCGGGCGTAAAGCGATTAGGCTTGCCGGCCTACAACTGGTGGGGTGAAGCTCTTCACGGAGTAGCTGCTGCGCCAGGAGTACAATTCAGCAGCTCAGGCAATTGGTCCTATGCGACTTCCTTTCCTCAGCCTATTTCAATAGCGTCATCTTTTGACGATGAGCTATTCTATGCCATCGGGACTGTGATAAGTACTGAAGCGAGGGCATTCAACAACGGTAAACGCTCCGGCCTCGACTATTGGACACCAAATATCAATCCATTCCGTGACCCGCGATGGGGCCGTGGTCAAGAAACGCCAGGTGAAGATACTTATTTGGTCAAGCGATACATCGACAATATGGTCACTAGTCTCCAAGGTGGTCGTAATCCTACATCCTATAAAGTCATCGCCACATGCAAGCACTACACAGCTTATGACTTGGAAGGTTGGCAAGGGAACACTCGCTATGGGTTCGACGCTATTGTCAGTCCGCAAGATCTGAGTGAATATTATATGCAGCCATTTCAGCAGTGTGCGAGAGACACCAAGGTCGCCTCGATAATGTGCTCATATAACGCTATCAATGGCGTACCTGCTTGTGCCAATTCGTACACCATTCAGTCAGTTCTTCGAGGGCATTGGAATTGGACTGCTGATGAGAACTACATCACTTCTGATTGCACTTCCATCCAGAATATGTTTACCGATCACCATGCGTTTGATACAAGACAGCAGACAGTGGCAGCTGCGCTGAACGCTGGGGTCGATGTTGATTGCGGCTATTACAATCCAACATTTTTACCATCAGCATATTCCCAAGGTTTGTTTCAGGAGTCCACGCTAGATAAGTCACTTCTACGTTTGTACTCAGGATTGGCCAAAGCAGGCTACTTTGACCCTCCAGACTCGCCGTGGAGATCAGTGACATGGGATAATGTGTCAACACCAGAAGCGGAAGATCTTGCCCTGAAGGTTGCCGAGGAAGGTATCATTCTCTTGAAGAATGACGGAACCCTTCCGTTGATCCCGCCTGAGGATCGCAATTTGACTCTACTTCTTGCTGGTGGCTGGATCAATGCCACCGAGCAGCTGCAAGGAAACTATGCTGGACCCGCGAGAACGTTGGTATCTCCATGGATGGCGCTCCAGAATGTCTCGAACCTCAATCTTGTTGTCGTCAAGTGGTACGAGAATCCCATGTTGCGTGCCATTGACACTCAGGCGGACGCTATTCTCTACATTGACGCTACAAATGAAGGTGCGGATGAAGGCAAAGATCGTAATACCATTCGATGGGATGCCATGCAGGTGGACGCTGTGGAGATGTTAGCTACCCTTGGTCGACCCCTTATCGTTGCACATATGGGCGAGCAGGTCGATGATTCAGCACTGCTCAATAACCCTAATGTGAGCTCATTATTATGGGCTGGTTATCCAGGTATGTTAGGAGGGCAGGCGCTTATCAATATTGTCACTGGTAAGACGGCACCAGCTGGTAGAATGCCAGTCACTCAATACCCTGCCGACTACGTTCATCAAGTACCCATGACCGACATGAATTTGCGTCCGGATCCCCAGACTGGCAACCCAGGTCGGACATACAAATGGTTTGACAATGCAACCGTCGAGTTTGGTTTTGGACTTCACTACACCAACCTTTCCACTGCCATTGGCACGCCATCAAACACATCTTTTGATATTCAGTCTCTTGTGTCTGCCTGCAACTTCACTACCTACAGCCACGTCGACCAGTGCCCGTTCTATCCCTCAGGCTCCACCTCCTCTTCGTTATCTGTCAATGTCACCAATAGCGGTACCACAGCCTCTGACTTCGTCGCCCTTGCTTTCATTGCCGGGGAGTACGGACCAACACCCCGCCCACTCAAGTCCCTTGTAGCTTACCAGAGGCTCTTCGATATCAAGCCTGGAAGTTCACAGACAGCCAGTCTAAATCTCACGCTAGGATCATTGTCAAGATACGACGAGAAGGGAAATCAGATATTGTATCCGGGGAATTATCGTGTATTGATAGATGTACCGACACAAAATACCTGGGAATTTGTGCTGACTGGAAGCGAGTATGTGATGGATGAGTGGCCTCAAGTGTAAGTGAAACGGCTTTAGGATTTGACTCTGATCTCTTGATAAACCCGAGCGAGTAAGCTCATCGAATGTGTAGGCTTAGCTCATGGCAATGCCCGACATTAAGGCCATTGGGACTGGAAGACTTGTTCAGAGCAGCGCAAGCCTTGTCTCTGAGCCTTTGATATGAGAGGATTCGTAGCTGTGGCACATTAAATGCGCAACGAGGCTAGTTAGGATCAGGCTACCAAAAGAGTTCAATAAGTCGGAATGACGTAATATTCGACTAGAACCACCTCAACGTCGCTTGCTAAATCGCACTTGCACTTCTCCCATTATCCTCATTCAGGATATCATTAACTGAAACTCCACTCAAAGATCACTTAGGCTCTAATCACAGGCTATACATTGCCGATATACCTATCCAGATGAAGTAGCCCCTCACGACGATCATCACGGAGCTTTTCAGTCCCATCCAGGGTAAACTTCCAATTGATTGCGGCTAAATGATGCGATTCCGAGGCTCCTTCCTTCAAGGAACATCATGTACCGCAAGTGAATGTAACAAATTTACCCCGCGGGGGATTTTCCTCAAGCGAAGCTGGCCCGACGGATTAAAGCATCAGATGATTGAAAGATGTGTTCGATATGCATATGCAAGCTCATGAATAACGTGTATATAGTAAAGACAGTGCCACCGACGAAGGAAATAGAGTAGTGCGAGAGTGGAGGACGAGAACCGAAGACTGTGAACTCTTTTAATCAACTTCCGACCCCGTGGTTCTGTAGCTCGACGATTTCCAATGACGCGGTTCAAACTTTCCCATCTCTTTAGTCCGTTGTTGTTCCTTTCGAGTCCAAGCGTGGAAGCAGCATTCCAACCACCCAACTCTGCTTCTATCCCATCGCGAATATGGTCTTCGGAAGCGGGACTCAATATGACGGATGGATACCCACTAGGGAATGGGAGACTTGGGGCTATCTCACCAGGCACTGTGCTACGTGATCATATAGTCCTGAACGAGGACTCATTCTGGTCAGGAGCACTACTTCGTCGAGTGAATCCGGATGCTTTGCAGAGTGTGGCCACAATGCGAGAACAAGTCAAGCAGGGTTTTATTCAGCAAGCGCAGGATCTCGGAGGCTTGGGATATGCATCGACACCCGTTTCGACTCGACATTACGAGCCTCTCGGTTATATCAATTTGTCTCAGAATGTTACAGGTAATATCACCGAGTATGAAAGATGGCTTGATCTGGCTGATGCAACTGCTGGGGTTTACTTTGTCAACAAAAACATTTCTTACCAGCGTGAATACTTGGCGAGCAATCCGGCAGATATCATTGCAATACGCCTAAATGCTAGCGAGCCTGGTTCAATCAATTTCAGAATTCACTTTGGTCGAGACGAATCTTCGCTCAATCGCTGGCAGGACTTCTCAGAGCCGATAAATGGAGACACAATTATCTTCGGTGCGACGAGTGGAGCGAAAGATCCGATAAGCCATACCGCAGGTGCCAGGGTTGTGGCAAAAGGAGGAAAGGTCTCCACGATCGGAGACTACGTTATCTGTCAAGGCGCAGACGAGGCTGTCGTTTACTTCACCGCTTACACCACCTATCGCACGCAGGACACTCGCAGCGCTGTGCTGAATGATCTTGCCGCATTCACACCAGACTCGTACAACGACATTCGTATTGAACATGTTGCGGACTACCAGGAATACTATGATCGTTTTAAATTGGATCTTGGCTCTTCATCAGACAACCAGTCGTCATTGTCTACAGTTGAGAGGATGAGTACCATCAGGCCCGATAAGTTCGACCCTGAATTGGCTGTATTATACTTCCAATATGGGAGATATCTGTTGATCGCAAGCTCGCGTGAGGGAACTCTACCACCAAATCTCCAAGGGATATGGAGTGAAGAATTTAATCCAATGTGGGGTGCTAAATACACCATCAACATTAATCTGCGTAAGTTCCACGGTGTTGATTTTTGTTGTCAGGCGGATTTTGAACCTCGCTAATATACTATCTCAGAAATGAACTACTGGCCCAGCTTGACGACAGGTGAGTTGCCAGGCACCTCTTCCATACTTGCAAGCTACTTTATAGGACTTGGTCTGACATTGAAATCCAGGCCTGCAAGATCTCGTCGGTCCGTTGAATGATTTGATAAAACTCATGACTACTGAAGGAATGTATGTTGCAAAAGAAATGTACAATTGCTCAGGTACTGTCTCCCACCACAATGTCGATCTATGGGGAGATTCTGCTCCCCAAGACAATTACCAATCATCGACATTCTGGCCTATGGGGGCTACATGGCTCGTCACGCATGTGATTGAGCACTATCGATTCACAGGTGACAAGGCGTTGTTAAGTGAGATGTACCCAATTCTCAAGTTGAACGCAGAGTTTGCGCTCGATTTCTTGACACCTTGGAACGAATACATGGTCACCAATCCCTCGCTCTCTCCCGAGAACATATACTACGCCCCTAATGCTACCAAGCAGCAAGTGGCCATAACAGCAGGGCCAACGATTGACAACACACTATTATGGGAGTTGTTCGGCTTCATTCTCGAAGCACAAGTAGAGCTGGGGATCACCAATGAGACTGATTTTGCAAGTCGAGTAAGGGCCATGCGCGGGAAGCTGCCACCGTTGAGATTGAATCAATATGATGGCATTGCCGAATGGCCTGAGGATTTTGAGGAGGTAAGTCTCTTCATCAATTGACACCCGACTGGTGATACACAATGTTTGCGAGACTAAATTCGTCAAGGCTTTACCCGGCAATGGCCACATGTCGCATTTGGTCGGTCTCTATCCAGTCCCACAGATTACCGCATCCAATGCTACCACGTTTGATGCGGCATTGACAAGCTTAAAACACCGACTTGAGTAAGTTGTCCCTGTTAATGTGCTTATATTGTATCCGCATCATGATACTTGGCTTACGTGTTTCAGTAACGGTGGAGGCAGCTGTGGTTGGCCTCGTGCCTGGACGGTCGCTCTCGCTGCAAGAACCTACTCAACTGATATCGTGCATGACTATTTCGTGGATCAACTCTGGAACTGCACATTCAATACGTCTTTGCTCAACCAAGGATATCCAGCATCATTCCAGATCGATGGCAACTTTGGCACAACGGCTGGCGTCGTGGAGGCGTTACTCCAGAGCCATGAGAGCGTCTCGACCGTAAATAGTACGGCAGATGGGTTGGCCGCCGCCTATACTGGTGACGTCGACAAGGTAGTCTTGATCAGACTGTTACCTGCCCTCCCAAAAGCCTGGGGAGCCAATGGAGGTGGGTCAGTCTCTGGACTCATCGCCCGAGGGGGATTCGAGATTGACATTAGCTGGTCAAACAATAGTGAGCTGGTTGCAGCCAGAATCACCTCAAAGCTGGGGCAGGAGGCATATGTGACATTGGGCCAGGGTACAATTGGTAGCCTCGACAGCAAGAACGGCACATCCATCAAGATCAATGATTTCGAGGCTGGGAAATTTGTACACTTGAATTCTACAAAAGGCATAACGTACAATGTCACCGTTGCTTAGGGGACGGTTAGTCACCGAGTAGTCTCGGTAGTCTGAATCCTGAATCCTTGGAGCCAAAACCGATGAATCGAGTCATTCCGAGTCCTATGGAATCCTACTACCCACACACTGAAAATAAATACTTGGGATATCTACGTTATAACTCGACTCACAAATTTATATGAGTCGAGCCTAAATTCAAATCCGAAGAGTCGAATTCGTAGTTCTGGGATTGCTGTCCTGGCAGCGCTGCCGACATCGGATGCATGGATGAGGAGTTATTTGCTGTATTGGATGAGTAGTAGGAATCACTTCAGAAGACCATAACATCCATCTTAATTGATTACTATCCTGCAATCTGCAGTAACTTGCGTTATGTTCGTACTTCGACCCTCGTACACGCCGCTCGCGTAACGTTACTCTTGTTCATCCTTACGAGTAGCGAGTGGTCAAACTATGAGGAAGTTGCCCACCTAAGTATGTACCCCATGCAAAACACGAATCGCACGCCATTCTCCAACTCCAACTTCCAAGAGTCGGGTTTAAGGGTCCGTTTTCGAACTGCGGATTCTTGTGCCGTGTTCCGAGCATTTATTAATCATAGCCGAACAATGCCCAGGTCAAAATGCCAAAATGACTGAAGGCGACAGCTTTCTTTTATTTCTTCCAACGATCATCAAAGCATGGATGAGAAAGCAGAAATTGTGTCTGGTCCAATTAACGCAGTTTCATCCGCGGTATTACCGTCATCTGCTGTGGGCAGAGAGGGAAAGCTTGAAGGCCAGACGCCAAGCGGGGTCAGCAGCGACAGAGTCAAGATATGGCAGCTGGTTTTTCGTGTTTCAATCATTACTTCTGAGGTTTACTCGCATCAATATTCTGGTAGTGGGACAGAAGACGAGCCTTACGTGGTGGACTTTCTGCCCGGCGATCCTCTCAACCCACACAATTGGGAAACATGGCGGAGATGGATGTTCCTGTCCATCGTAGCCGTCTCGACACTGGCGGTGTCCTTCTGCACCTCGGCATACCTAAGTGCATTGCCTCAACTTCGTGAACACTTTCAAGTCTCTGATTTGGTGATCACACTCGGCTTGTCGCTGTTCATCTTGGGCTTTGCGCTTGGTCCCCTAGCCTGGGGTCCGCTGAGTGAGGAATATGGCCGGCAACCACTGTATTTCTTGACCTGTGCTGTCTTGACGGTCATGAATATCGGTGTGGCGTCGGCAAACTCAATGCCGACGTTGATCGTCCTGCGATTCTTCGCTGGTGCTTTCGGCGCCTCGCCATTAGCTAATTCCGGAGGGGTCATCGCTGATATGTTCGTCTCGGAGCAACGAGGTGTGGGAATTGCGGCGTGGTCCGCGTGTGCGTTCATTGGCCCCGCTGTGAGTTTTCAAACTTCGATGTCGTGAATAGCTCAGCATTGAGGGCCAGATTTGTTATGAAATGGGGACTTTGGGCATGCTGACAATGATTCCTTCAGGTTGGACCCATCGTAGCGAATTTCGTGGCTGTTGCCGCTGGTTGGCGGTGGGTTATGTGGACGATGACGCTCTTCGCCGGGACGTTTTGGATTGTCGGCGCTCTTGTCATTCCTGAAACCTATGCTCCGGTGATACTCCGCAGACGGAGTCAAAAATTAACCAAACTGACCGGCAAGTTGCACATTTCGATATATGAGAGCAAATCTGAACACAGAGCGACGACAACGGAGAAGATCCGCAAAGTTCTCTTTAGGCCTTGGAAACTCTTGATATATGAGCCAATTGTACTGCTCATATCGGTCTACATGGCCATATTATACGCAACCTTATTCATGATGTTGGGCGCTTTTCCGATTGTTTTTGCGGAGACTCGACACTGGGCTCAAGGTGTAAGCGGTCTGCCGTTTATTGGTATCTGTGTTGGAATGATTAGCGGTGCGCTTCATACAATTTACGACAATAAACGCTATCTCAGAGACATCGAGAAGCCCGAAAACTTGACCCCTGAGGCGAGGCTGCCACCGGCATTGCTTGGTGCGGTCATCACACCGGTAAGTAAACCTCCTACCAACTCTCAGAAACAATATTGATATCGAGAATATTAGATTGGGATGTTTCTATTCGCCTGGACCAACTTTCCCAGCATCCATTGGATAGTATGCATTATTGGCATTGTCATCTACTGCCACGGGTCGGTGCTCGTGTTTCTGTCGGGAATGAACTACCTCCTCGATTCTTACACCATATATGCGGCATCTTGTTTAGCAGCAAATGCTCTCTTGCGAGCCATTCTTGCAGCAGCATTGTAAGTGAAGCCAAATTTATGTTACTTAATAAGCTGACACATGTAATCTTTTAACAGCCCACTTTTTACGAAACAGATGTACCATAATCTGGGCATTCATTGGGCATCATCAATCCCGGCATTTCTAGCGTTAGCGTGCACACCCGCTCCGTTCATCTTTCACAAATATGGAAAGGAGATCAGGTTGAAATGTAGGTATGCCGCGCAGGCATACGAGTATGGACAGATTCAACGTGGTCGGTAGACATCAAACGTCAGATCTGGAATCAACAGGAAGACAACTTGGTCGAAAGATGTTTAAAACAGATCGTAAAGCAGATCAATATCACTAGTAATGTTGAAAGCTATCTGGAACTTCCCCTCCGCTTACACGCGCCCTCTCTGGCAGCCCCAGTTTGCGGATGTACTTCTGGTCGCACGTGACACAAACCATACAGCCTCGTCAGATTTTCTTGGCATGAGGCAAGGCTGGAGGCGCGTTCATCTCTTGACACGCCCGCAATTGCAGTTGTGGAGTTTACGCATCCCATCAATTCACCTTTTCCTGCAACCATAGATACTCCCTAATCTTTACAAGTCTCGGGTCTCCCGTCTCTCGCCCACAAGTCTTCCACCCTGTTTTCACACCTGGTAATTCAGCCTCTGTTCTCACCTCGCTCCATTGCTTGGAGAACCCTGTACACTGATTTCCACGCTTGAGAAAGATGGCAAGCTCTCCGCCTGCTCCGTTTTCTGCAACCCTACCAAAACCCAAGAAGAGATTGTCGATGAGTTCACAAGCATCTGGTCAAGGGAGAGATAAGAGACCAAAGATACACCCTCTCAGACAAACCTCATTCCCTGCCGAGCCTCTCTATGGGTCCGCAGTCAGAAGTGCGCGATCAGAGACAGGAAGTGTTACAAACAGTCTACTTTCGGGAGTGAGCAGTAAAGTGGCCCCAAGAGGCAGAGGAAGACCTAGGAAGTCGGCCCAACTCAACGATGCCGATGTACGATCAGCGACAGCCGCGGGTGCAGACAATGCAAGTCAGGCGGACGGAGATGGACGGGCAGGAAATCGTGGCAAGTCTGTGGTCAGTGCCAGATCTGGTGCGGTCGATGCTGAAGAAGATGACGAGGGTGACATTGATGGCATGCTTGAGAACATGGACGAGCAGGAGAGGAGACAGGCGGAGGAAGAAGAGACGAAGCAAGAGCAGCGCAGAGAGCGACTAGCCGACACTCTCGACATGGATCAGTACTCACGATACAATCAGTGGCGCGCTTTATCACTGAACAATAGCACCATCAAAAGGCTTGTCAATTCCATCGTCTCACAATCTGTCACCTCTGCTCCTTTGCAGGCCGTAAGAATCTACGGAAAGTGGTTTGTCGGCGAGATCGTGGAACGCGCCCGTGAGGTGCAGGTCGATTTCGCCAAAGCATACGACGAAACTAGAAAGGCCGAGAGAGCGTCACGAGAGAAAGAACTGGAGCTGTTAGAGGAGAAACAGAAACAGGGCACAACTACTGACGCTCAATCGAGACTTATCGCCAAAGACATCGAGCAGCTCAAGAAGGACGTCAAAGCTTATATCCCCAATCCTCATCGAGGAGGCCTGCTACCTGATCACCTTCGAGAGGCTTTGCGACGCTATAAAGCAGATGGAGAAGGTGGCGGCGTGGGTTTCTCAAGTATGAGCCATGGTTTGCTAGGTGTGCCTGGTGACGTTGCTTGGAGAATTGATGGTGGAAATTCTGGTAGGCGGCTCTTGAGGTGATCCTCTCGAGCAGCAGTACTACATATGGCCGCGTCATGGTATTTATCTGATATCCGAATTGTCCTACCAAAGTCTCACGCCATCTGCAAACCGTGCAGAGCAGTCTGTGCATCCCAAGCCTTGCGACATTTCTTCTGACCTAGCCAGTTTTGACTTAACCGATTCATGGGATCAGGTATTCGCTGGAAATGGGAGTCGACGATGAAGTTGGATGCCGGGTTGCGAGACACGGCAGTGAGAGTATGTCTATTATATTGCACAGCGGCCTTTGGAAATAGAGACGGTGCACTTACCAGTTCGGTGAATCAAAGAATAACGGTGAGCACCTCATCTACATTGTGTGGCAGACAGATCGAACACCGAGGAGCGATCGAGACGTTCCTACAGACAGCTATCCAAAGGTTAGCTTCACGGTCTTCGACTGATCTCATCGTTACTGTGGGCTGTAGCACAGGCTGGCAGTTCTTGAGCTGAAAGACTCTATCAACGAGCTGCATTGCGCTGGCAAAGATCCGAGACAAAGATTTGGGTGCACCGGGTTTGGCGCAACTATCCACGGGACTCGAGACCTTCAGATATGCCCAGACAGACCAGCTTCGACTAGTCATACCCGGAAGCTGGGGAATAAAGTGCTATTATTTTCCACCCTACATAAATCATGTGTCCCTGCTCGACCCTCTCAGGAGCCGAATGATCACGACATGCCAGGCGCCCATTCAGGTACTGCTCTCTGGTCGAGCCACGCTGAGATTGCTCTTTCATTCCCCACTCGTCCTGCTTTTTCAAGTAGCTACAGCTAGAATACGGAGTAATGTCCATCATCTTCGGTTTTTTCAGCTACGCCACGATTTAAGCTGATAGGACCAGGTGTGGTTCTCTACCAGGTCTAGATCTCTCAGACCAACAAGGCGTTCCTGCACCCACCCGACACCAACTCTAATTTATGCAAGATTATTGGCGAAGCTTCGTCTAACTCTTTGATGACTACATCCGTTGTTGTCAAACTCTCCCCCATTTCATGCCACAAGCACGCAACGCACCAGGTCTCACGTTCGGCTGGAGAACGGTAGGGGTTTTGTGTCTGGCTCTCTAGAAATGGCACCTGGACAAAGTCTCGATGTCGATCACACGCACATCCCGGCCAGATTACCTCGTGGTTGGTGAACGGTTTGCGCTATCGATTAGACATCCCTCAAATCTGGTGGATGGCTCTTATCATTTCCCAGGTCTGCTTCTATCCGGAGTCCAATTGCCCGAGTGCAGTCTTTAGACAACGCTGCAAAATTCTGAACGGCCATCCATGAAAACCTAGACCCTTGCAGCCTTTTTTAAGTATTTCCTGATTCGCCTCATTCTCGCGGGAGCTGAGAAATCCTAGTCACACATATCCGTGACAGGTGCTCCCGAGGGCCAAGGTCATTTCTCGTCGTTGCATAAACGTCAAGCCTCACCAACTCGACGCTCTTTCAGGAGTGCTCAGATAAGAACGAAAATGATTGATAAGAAAAGGGTAAACACTCAACCAGCCTTGGAAACCGTAACATAACAACTTCTCAACTACCCAACGTATTGATCATTATCTTTTCATATCGAATCGTGTTGGACCATAACTATGGCGCCCAGCGAAGCAGATCTGAACGCTGGCGTGGTTGTTGGTGTCGGAGCACTCAACAATGACGAGGTTCGACCTAGAGTTGACATCGATGTGATGATCTCAAAGCAGCCAGATGTGTTCAACCTTTTTCTGTTAGCCCTCATTGACCTTCAGGCAGACTCTTCAAAGCTTGGCTACTTCGCCATGGCTGGTAAGTCTCTCAAGGCTTCAATCCACCAGCACGGCTCGGAAAATTAATTCATCATCCACTAGGTATTCATGGACTTCCTACTACTCTCTGGGATGGTGTAGGGAAGGATTTCCCTGAGACAAATGGTGGATACTGCGCACACGGCAGGCTTCTATTCCCAACATGGCACAGGCCTTATCTGGCACTCCTTGAGGTTTGAAGCCCAGGGCGGTGCGGCTCTTCGGTGCAGAACGAAGTCTGATTGAGTTATAGCAAACTCTTTATCGAAAAATGCTAGCCATTGTCAAGGAGTACGACCATTCAATCCAGCCAAGATATCGAGCTGCGGCGAGGGCTTTTCGGTTTCCCTATTGGGATTACTTCCGTCCTCGTGATGTTGACGCGAAGTTCCCGGGTATCACATTGGAAGGTAATCGAACGCGATACAGCTATGACTTTCGTATGCCTGATGTTTTCAATGTTACCGATGTGATGATCCGCATGCCTCCACATGACCGCATGGAAGTCCGGAGGAATCCTCTTTACAACTTCAAGTTCACAGACAAGCTGAACCTGGACAGAGATTGGTCCAGGGCCAAACTGAACGTAAGTGGATTACTATGCCTCAATCCTAATTGGTAATCTGATGTCCATTCCTCACAGAACTTCAACCCTGATCGGACGGTACGCTGCCCGCGGGACAAGAGATCCAAATATCACAATGTGCAGGAATTGAGCGACAGTCTCAACAGTGGTCGTGAGGGCAGAGCCGCAATGATGCTCGACATTCTGAACCCAAATTCCAGTCGTTACCCAGATCTCCAGGATGTAGCATCAGATATGGTTCTACGAGGAGGCGACTTGACGAACACAAAGCTGACTAGAACGATCTCTGGCGTACCCGGATCAAGAGCTGCGAGCTATGGCTCAATCGAAGGCCTGCATGGTAATTATCACACAATCATTGGTGGTTCGAACGGCCATATGTCACATCCGTCGATCGCTGCTTTCGATCCTATCTTTTGGTTCCATCATTGGTAACTAATAGCTCGCAACTTGACTCTATGTTTACTGATAATTGCTATGTAGCAACGTCGATCGCATATTCGCTATTTGGCAGGCGACACACCCCAATGCATGGTTTCCACCACCCGGAAGGGATTCCCGAGGGAGACCTCTAAAAGCCGAAAGTGAGAAGGACCTCCTTCCTTTCTACAAAGTCAAAAATGAAATGGGGACAATCTTCTACGATTCAGACTGGGCTCGAGATACTGAAAGCTTTGGATACACCTATCCCGATCTCGAGGGCCTTCGTGACCCACGATCAGTTTGGCGTAGCGTGTACAACAAGTACATCTGGAGTATTCGCAGTGCTTCGAGCAGCCGGTTTTCCCCACCACCATCGGATATGAAACCGATCAATCTCAACAAAGCCCAGGTCTTTCAGTATCCTGGAGCCAACTCGCGGGGTAGCGCTCCTGATTCACATGAATCAAATGATACCTCCGTTCGAATCGTATACAGGCGAGTCTTGTCGTCCAGTTCGGACACTTCAACAACATCGCAGGTCTCCATTCAAAGCTACAGCTCTGCACCAGCTCCTGATAACGATATTGATCCGTATTTCGACCGCACGTGGTACATCGATAATATTGTAAAAAGGTCAGCATTCCCTACATTCTGTTGGCTCTCCAGCGTTATTGCTTCTCTTCTAGTACTGTACTTGCTCCGAACATCTTCGACTGACATGTCTATCATCAGGAATGTACTCAACGGTCCGTTCACGATTTACTTCTTTCTCTGTCTCAAATCGAGATTCCCCGACGATCCGGAGGATTATTCTACTAGTCCTTATCTAGCTGGCATCAACCACATTTTCGCCGCACCACGTGAAGTCTGCGACAATTGCGGAAGGCAAGACGCAGCGGGGGCTCTAGCTTCAGACACAGTGCCAATCACAGCGTTGCTACTTGACTACGTGGCTATTGGAGTACTGGAAAGCATGCGCGCGGAGCATGTCCATCCATTTTTGGTCAAATACTTGCGCTGGAGAGTTGTCTACGTAAGTCATGTTGACAGCTTTGTTGACACAAGTGCCACCTGTTTTAATACGATCAAGTGTCGCTCTGCTCATGGCTGACTTTGCTTTCACAGGATGGAAGCTCCAGGGCCGATCCCAGGGACTTGCCACAGTTCGAGGTAATGGTCAGTGCCAGGATCAGTCACGAAGACGGCTCTACGACATATGCTTCGTATCCAGACATAACCGAAGATATTTACTACAATGCCGCGTCTGCTGCGTACTAAGCTCGTGTTTGCTAGGCGCCCTTTCTTTTTGGGGTCCAGGACACAGGATTGTGCTCACAGCTTACGAGGTCAGCAAAGTCCTCGAAATCCGAGCAAGGTGGATTCGCTCCTTGACTGCATCATACCAGCTGCGAGCATGGGAAATATAGCTGGTTAAAGCGGCTTCAGCGCCTAGTTACGAATTCCCTTGATGAACAACGTTTTCCGACAGGGCTGCAACGGCCTTCCAATTTGTTGACCTGCTTGATACATCTTCCTTCCTCTGGTCAGACCTCTTTCAAATGCTGGCAGGTTTCTTGCCAATGGGACGATCCCATCACCCATTGTTTTTCATCGTCCTACCTCAGTCGCGATATTGCAAGTACAAGATTTTTGGCGCCGTTATGGACCATCCCCAACTAACTTTCTGATACATCGAGCCGAGCACTGGAATCGTCAAGCGGCATGGGTAGGCATGAATTGGGCATCACACCTTCTTAAACGGTTCTGACAAGTGGAGAATGCGAATGCCGGCTTCCAATGGACGGCATCGCATGTAAGCTCTGGATCCTGGCCTGCTGGAATTTCTCATTGTCATGACTAGCTCTCTCACTCTTCTCCATCAAAATGCTACCACTTTTTTGCCTGAACTCATCCTTATTCCTACTTCCGAGCGCATTGTCCCTTTCCATGTTGGACTTATCAACCGCCAGTGTCCTCCCTGCGTATCTGCGTGATGAATCGGACTCTAGCATCAACCGGATAGGTGCAGAATTGTTCTTGGCATAAGGGACGCAATGATTGTTGTGCTTATTATGGAAGATATGAGAAGTCGGATCTAGGATTGGGAAGCAAGAGACGAGTCAGAGGATCTCAAGCTTCGAAGCAACGAGAATCTAAAATCAAGAGACTTAGCCCGATCTTCGTCTCCATTAGGGAGAGAAAGGCTCAAACTACCCTCACGGTCTCATTTGTCTGCAGGAACGTAACCATGCCAGCATTCTCACCCACGCCAACACAGCACACAACAGCTATATCAAAAGGTTCACAACTGCTCCCCAAGACTCTTCCGGATCCAAGAGGCGGTTTCCTCCACTTTACTCAGGAAAGGACTGTGACCTGCATGAACGGTATCGACTACAAGCTTCAGACCCTTCGGATCTGCCAGCAGTGTTGCTTCGTCCGCCATCTTGACGATCAATCTCTGCCACTCCGGGGGCAAAGACCTGTCATCCTCCGTGAGCAAGTAATAAGACGGTACGATCTTGAAGCCTGCGAAGGGCACTGGGGTACGATAGACAGTCCAGACTTGTGGGATGAGCAGCGAAGCATAATACTCAGCATCCTTCAGAGGAATGTCATGATAGAACAATTCCACCGGACCTGGCTCAGGATTCGGCTCCGATATCTCGATCTGTGTCTTGCCGTCCACCGGAGACGGTATGTATGACAATATAATGGTTGGCGGGATGATTCCGTTTGCCCAGTCGAACCCAGAAATGCCTTCAGTGATGAGCAGGCCGGCGATGACCAGTAATGCAGAGATCCCGTTCTTGAATCCAGCCGCCTTCCGTGATTTCTTATCGAGCTTTTCGACTGCGGCGGACCCTGGCAGGCCACTGTATGAGTGTGTGAGCACCGCAACGTCGGTCTCAGGAGTGGATTCGAGCTCGGTCAGTACAGCGGCCTGAATGGCCTCAACGTCGTCTTTAATATGAGTCGGCGGTGGACGATCCAGCTCCGCGTAATGCATGGAAGGCAACTGCACAGCAATGAATTTATAGCCGTGTTGAACCAAGTGCTCTTTCAGCGGCTGAAAGTGTGCGCCCGAGTGCCAGGCACCATGGACGCCGAGGATTGTTGGCTTTGACATCGTAGCTGCTTCAGTCTTCTGAATTCCTGGAGGTGCTCCTCACAAATCGACCACAATGCCGTGAGAGCAGTAGCTAATACTTGTTAAAGGTGGCTTGAAAATTCCGTTGGCGGTGAAGGTTGAGATCTTCTCGACCTCACTACCGGACTACCCTCACTACCTATGTGGTGCACAAGTACGAGGGAAGCTCTCGTCCCTCCGTTCGTGTCGATGCACAGCGTGTGACGTGACATGAACCCCAACAGGCGTCCAGCCTCGTCATGCATTTGTGCTGCCTCACCATCAAGCTTCCCGTCGCACTGTCAACATATCGGCGCATGATCAACGCTGCGCAAACGCTTATGAGGCGAATTTCCATGCTGGTCGGAACCCCTCGCTTCAACAAGGTACACACCAATCGAGTAATCTATACGAACTAACCTGCTTTGTGATTTGCTTCCGAATGTAGTGTGTTGCCGTATTTGGGTTTGGGAGTCAGTGAACGCGATCTGGGTTTGGCGGACTGCCTTAAAGCCACCCTGGACATACATACTAAGTAGTTACTCTTCGCAATGCCCCGCGCATCTGGCAAGGGGTAAGTGCAACCTGGCGTTTGCTCGGATACGGCTTGGATTTCAGTTTTTCGTTCGCAATCACTGATGCAGAGAGGTTTGCGAGCACTAGTTACATTGCCATAGATCAATTCCTTGTTATATGGCAAGAGTGCCAATCAGATGTTCAAGCTGCAGTATGTGTGGGCCGACAATACATCGTCTCTGGATCTACTGCTTAGATGATATGTAGTATCTGCATTGGAGCATGATTCTGACATCCCATCCCGGGACTTTCTCCTGCAACATTGGGCCCAGCTAATCTCGATTGAATGGCCTTGTTGAAAAGATCTGGCCCAAAGTATCAACGGCACTCATGTCCAGTGGGTTCCCAACAACTTCAGTCCAGTGTCGTCGTCGTTCCTTTCAGATTGTCGATATCGAGTGTCGGCTTGATCCCATGCTTCATGATAGGGCTGTTGAAGAAGTTCTCATAGTCATGGAGTGCATCCGTTTGGATCCTCGAGACCTCGACTTCTTCACTTCCTCGAGTGATGACATCCTCATCATAGTCGTTGACTGCCTCGGCAAGAGTCTTCTCACCACTCTTGACCGCTATCATTGCCTTGACGAAGCGCTCACTATCCCGAACGGCGTTATTGGCTCCTTGTCCTCGGTCTGGCGGTATGGGTCAGTCAGTCATTACGCGCGCAAGGACGACAAAGGAAGTAGATTTTGAAAACTTACGGAACGTCATGCTGTGAGCAGCATCGCCTGACAAGGTGACTCGGCCTCCACGATTATCCCACTTTGTCGGCCTCCATATCCGGAAAGGGACCGCTTTGGCTTGAATTCCTTCTGGGATCCAATCGACGGCAGACTTGTAGGGATCGGCCCAGCCGTCCATCCTCCGTTTCAATTCAGCAACCATGTTTCGAGTTCCTTGATAATCTTCTTCCTCACGCTGCCATGTTGCGAGAATGTAGAAGATCCAAGTCTCTGGTTTGTCGAGGTCGGGCTTGTCCAGTAGGAAGATTCCAATGTACATGGACTTTGGATGTATTCCAACATCGACAATTGGGTGCATCATTTCATCCATTTTCAATGCTCGTTCCGCGGTATAAGTGAACGGAAAATTGACAAACGTGTATGGCAGGACTCGAGCGGCGGCAGCATCGCCTAATAGCCACGGTCTGACCCATGAGCCGCCGCCATCTGCGCCTACAAGTACGGAGCCTGATTCAGAGGTGCCGTCGTGGAAGTGAGCAATAACACCGTCCGTGGTCAATTCAATGTCGGCGAGTGTTTTACCATACTCCATACCGTTAGATTGATGCGACAATTGGAGGAGCACATACCGACCTTGACGTTAATTCCTTCTGACCATATTTTTCTTGTCTTCTGAATATTGAGTCGTCTTACTCTAGGGAACGGTGGTTCAACCATGGTCTTTCCATTGGAGCCATCGCGAATGATAACACTCTCGCAGCCAGCCTCTTTGGAGTCCAACTTCGGATCAGGCTGACAATCTGACAAGCGGTCATAAAGCTCCGATGGCAATAGCTCTTCCAGGTATGGATGACTCCAAGCAATGGTGACTCCCCAGTTGCGATCTCGAGGCGAACTCTCTTTATCAAACACAACATGATCGATTCCATTCTAACAGATAATTAGTCAGTAAAAGGCCTCGGTGTCAAGTGTGTCTGGGTTAAGGCACCTTCTTCAAACCCTGTGCAATCGCAAGTCCCGATAGGCCTGATAAAAGGGGTTAGTTAGTTAGTTCCTTTGCCCGCACTACAGGCAGCGGTGGAGACAAGTACCTGACCCAGCAATAATCACACGCAATGGTTGTGACATGTTGGTCTGTGTGAATGAGACCCAATTTTATTCAGTCTCGAGACTGAAGTACTTCCTTAGATGGATACTATGATAGCTGTATGCGTTGGGACACAACCCGACAGGTGCACACGTCCTGTTGCACAATGATCAACTAATTAGCAACTGCCTCGATTCACCACCAGTAAATAAAGGAAGGTTCAGCTGCCATATGATGAAGCCAGGTTCAAGAAACAAAGTAACAAGTCTATGTAAGCTGAATGTCACCCCGAGACGTGTCACATGAAAAGCAGGTGGTTGGTCTCAGATGGAACTTCACGCGGTCAGCTCGCTCGTTGTTATTTTTGACCTCAGCTTCCTCCGCACGGTGATTGGGGGTGACACGAAGTGATGCCCAAGTCAATTATGGTTGGCTCTGTTCAAGTAAGTTTGATGTGACAACTGCTAAAAGGCGATCAAGCTTCTTAGAGATCCCGATCGGACCAATCCACCCATTTCATCTATATCTCACTGCCTACGTAGTAAATCTTGTAATCGCACCTACACTTGCAGTTCCTGCCTGGGTCGGATCATCGGAGCGATACAAGTCAGCATCACATTGTCCGGCGGCGGTGGTCATGTCATGGCGGTCATCGAACTTGCTCATGTCCAGTTGAAGGATGGCATTACGGCATCCGACCCAGATTTATTGAAGAATCTGAAGGAGGTAAAACGGGTGATCGAGGACTACAGTGGTCTACCGACATTGTTCTTTGAACAAATCGACGACCCCTCGGTGATATTCGTGGTTGGAGCCTGGCCCAGCAAAGAGAAACACGAGCACGGCTTCGATGGATCACCGCAGCAAGCCGTGATTCTAGATCTGATCAAAGATCAAATGGGAATTGATTGGATGCACTACATGAACATTGATCAAAAGGAATTACCAATCCACGCACCTGTTCTGGCTCTGACGAAGGCCACGCTACCCAAGCATGTTGATCGCGCAGCATTTGACCAAAGCATGCAAAAGGCAACACACGGCATCGAACCAGCGCAGCACGGTGCCATTGGAGCGTGGAATATCCGCAAGGACATACATGAGCCGGACGTGAGAGTGCACTTCGGTGGTTGGGACTCGATCGAGGATGCATCAGAGGGACTTGCGAATGTTATCGCAACGGCGGGTGGTGCTCTAAATCCAGAACCAACCAACCTGTTCTTCTTCTTTACCAAGCAGATCAAATTGGCCTGACTACGAGCTTCAAATTGGTCGGCCACTGTGTCTAAGGCAGTTGCAAATTTTGAGGGAGCCTCTCGCTCGGCTGCCTCAGGCAAAGAGTTGATTTTAGGGTCGCAGTGCACTTTGGAACCCCAGCACACAATATGACAATCGCATTTTATCATAGAGTCAGCCTCTTCAAGCAGCTGGAGATGCCCAAGCAGCTTCCTGGAGGACCTTTGTTCTGGGGCTTACATCTTCTCAAGACTGATCTAACAGTGCTCCCCGCCCACTTTCTGCCCCTCTCTTGACGATTAAATACCCCGCATTTGATCTGATCTGCCTCAACAGGGATGCCTGAATAATGAATACCAGGTAATTAAGTAATTGGTTACCCTGGCACCCATCAACTGGGTGCCTACGTCGCAGGTGAACGAAAGACCTACTTGCCAAATATGGTTGGTTCCCAGCGAGTGAGCGAAGTCTGCTTTGACCTAAGACTTAGCTAAGCCTCACTGAGCACCTCTTGAAGAGCACATTGAGCAGCACATTGAGCTACAAGGGGGTCCCAATCTGGTTCTCCAGCGATCGACCACTCGGGCTACACTTTCCTCATAGCTAGAGAATCCCCAGTGTTAAAGTTATTTGTTTTTGACTCGGTGCTCCCCTACCCTTGTGCTATCATCTCCCTTTTTCAAAACCAGATGCTTTCCAGAATTTAGCGGAGCTGATCGCTTGTTCGCGCTGATGTGCGCTTGACTTGGGTGTTTTTGGTGAGCAGAGAGGTCCTGCATTCGATGGCAATTTGCATGGTAGTTTGGGAGGCCTACAAGATTGGTAAGAAGTACGTGCAATACTGAAAGCACTGGTGTATATCGAAGGAGCTGGACCAATAGCGAAGGCCTGGTGGCATTGACTTTCACGGGCCGTGGCGCCCCAAAGTCTTCCAAAAAGATCAACAACCACATGTCGCTCGAAGTCCGAAGCTAGAAGCTGTGAGATGTTTGAAATCAAGGGGGCGAGCCACCTCGATTCCGAAATGTTTAGTGACTGGAAGGACAAGCGTAGTCTCTTATTGGATATAGGTGGTCAGGGAGAGCAAGATGAATTGGATTGAGGTTCTTTGCGAGATCTGATTATGGAATGACCTTAGGTAATGCGGTAGCAAACCAATTACAACTCCGCCATTGATGTCCCTCCGTCATCGTCGCGTCGTAATTTATTGTCAGGGTTCCGGTGGGAAGGTTTCCTTCGCGTCTCTGATTTCTTCGGCTTGTATCATAGCTCCCATACCACGGCGTTTACAATAGTGGGAAGGGCAAGCAAAACAATGACTGATAGAAGGCCCAAAACAATGTCGAAACTTGTAGTTAGTTTGGAACGACGAGGGGCGAACAATGGGTCTGATCTTTTCGACTTCATAATTTCTCGTTGTAGTCTTGAAATCTCAGTCTCGCGGAACGACGACGTGTAGCCTGATGACCCTTGAAGAGCTCGGAGACGATGTTTGATTGTGTGTCTCTGAGAAAGCACAGGCCGAAAAGATAACAGTGGTACTTGTTTGGCAGCCAGTTGAATCAGCAAGCAGCGTCCACTTGCCAGATTTCTGCGGGACATTTCGCCGGGTTTGGAAACACAAATCAGTCTTTTAGGCATAAGGCATTTATCAGGTTCGCAACTCACATCATCGCAGACACAGCCCACGAGGCAATGAATACGATAAATTGAAGTATGAAGGACTATATAAGAAGAGATGCTCTTCAGGCGACGACACGGACATAACACAACATTGACATTGCACGTGAGTAGAACCGAGACAGAACTACTACCCCTGACCCCTGAACCAAAATGCTGCGCCAATCCATCCGGATACGTGTTAGCATGCTCCTAACAAAAAACAACCACCAAGGTACGAGTATCGTCCAAGGCGACTAGTGTTTTTAGTAACCAGGCTCTTCTGAGCTGAATTCGAGCCTTGTTTACGAGTAGAGCCTCCTGGAATCGAAGCCGCTAGCATGAACCACAAAGGCCTCTCTGATATAGCATGATTTGCAGGCAGCAAAGCTTTCACATGTTTATGCGATCTGACCCCCGAAGTTTAGTTCCCCAAGCTTGAGGGCAACCACGGGGCGACCTTCCAGAATTATGCCGTGGCTTCTGAACCAGCCATCCAGACTGATCAACTATCAGATCTCACTCGTCTCACTCTGAAGCCACGGTATAGCACTTCGACTTTACCGAAAGGAGTTAGGGTTATCAAGTTTGCGGTACCATGGAAAGAATGGCCTTCGAGTATCAAAAACGAGCTCTACACAATAGGTTGGATTTGCGCACTTCCCGTTGAGATGACAGCAGCTATGGCTATGCTTGATCGGATTCACGGGAATGGGCAACCACAAATCCGCAACAGTAGTGACAGTAACAATTACATACTAGGCAGCATCGGCGACCACAACGTGGTTATTGCATGCCTTCCCGCCGGTGATTACGGCACAACACCCGCCGCAACCGTGGCGAGCCAGATGCAATCCAGCTTCAGCTCAATCAGAGTTGGTTTACTGGTAGGAGTCGGTGGTGGCGTTCCAAGCCAACAGAATGATGTCAGGCTGGGCGATGTGGTCGTGAGCACACCAGGCCATACCGGCGGTGCCGTGGTGCAGTACGACCTAGGGAAAAGGCTTTCACATGGACACTTCTCTCGGAGAGGCTCTTTGAACAAGCCTCCGGGGGTTGTTCTCACGGCAATTACTAGATTGAGGGCTGAACATTTGACGAGAAGGAGTAAAATAGCTGCCCGGATAGATGCCTTTTTGGAAAAATATCCTGAGTCGAGATCCATATTCTCGCACCCTGGCCCAGCTCAAGATCACCTGTACGATGCAGTCTATAACCATCCTCCGAGGGCTGAAACTTGCGATAACTGTGAAAAGAGCAGAGTCTTGAAGAGAGAGCATCGACAAACTCTAGACCCGGTCATGCACTATGGCCCTATCGCATCAGGAAACTCCGTGATCAAGGACGCCACTACAAGAGACCACCTGGGAAAGGAACTGGGGGTTCTCTGTTTCGAGATGGAAGCCGCAGGGCTGATGGATAATTTCCCTTGCCTGGTCGTCCGGGGCATCTGCGATTACTCTGACTCCCATAAAAACAAGATCTGGCAAGGCTATGCTGCCCTTACAGCTGCCGCTTATATCAGAGAGTTGCTGGAATTTTTGCCTGCTAAGACTATGGAGCAGCTGCCACCTGTACGGATACGCACTCCTTTGATAGGCTCTGTGTTCTACTTCATTCTCGGTCATACCTGGGGGTCCAGGCAATCCGTTGTCTTGCCTGACGGGAAGGAATATTTCTTGCCAAGTGACTCTGGTGGTGGTGAGGATGGCGATGATGGTGGCGATGATGGTGATGGTGACTGAATTGTGGAACATAACCACTTTTCTATTTAGTATTGAGATGACTAGCTTGTCTGCTCGGCATGACGTGACGGGTTCAACTCTACGATACTCTGACCGTGAATGGCTTTATGGGTAGTGCTTGTCCATGGTTCCAGCCTGTGCGGTCCGGCAAAGCAGAAATCCCCCAGTCTTCTACCAGTCACTTGGTCGAGGTGGGCAAAGTCGTACCACCGGGGGAACCTACCTGAGCAGTCGAAGCAGTTTCGGAAAGAGAATTGGAATAGGGTTCCTTCAGCCTCTCAAAATGAGCGCATCGTCTAAAATTGACCACAGTTGGTGTTTTCTATCAACAGGAATGTCAAGGCTCAGGGAGCCTCCGGGAGCACTCTGGGAGCACAAGAGTAAAAACCTCGTGGAGCAGAAGCTGAGCCGAGAGTGAACAGAGCGGCGAGGGCCATAACTACCTCTCATGATTCATAAAGGGTTTTAGATGGCAGTGTTCTCTTATTGTGACACTTCCTTTGTATGTACCGAAGCACCTGGGTACCTAGTTACTCTCGTAGGCACTGGGTTGCTATTTTGTAACTAGTTAGTGACCGAGGGTAGTCCCTAAACTACCAAAGTTGGTAAGCTATTCGGGGCACCCCTGTAGGTCGAGGGGGCGATCTCCTCCCTCACTGCAGGTCATCTCTAGTATCCGTACACCTGCAAATCTTACGGGAGATGTCCTCGCTCATCAATCTTTCAGGTTGTCCAATGGAGAAACCTTCCTCTGACCACTGACCTGAGGTTCGGTGCCGTGTGTAGAGCAGCGCCCCGCACTTGTGCCTAATCTTCTGCCTTTCGCCCTAGCAGGGTGCGAGCTCATAGTAGTATTTGTGGTTGCGCAAGTGAACAAACAAGTGGTACGGAACAGCGCACGGCAAGTTGGAGAGTACCACAACACAGGTGTGTAAGTTACGACTGGCACGACGTATCCCACTTCCTGAATTGGCTCCAACGCCAGCGGTTGAGAACTCTTTATTGAAGACAGGCTCCCTTGAGCCTCTACTCACCTCATGCCCGACGATATGAATCTCCAAGCAGTCCTGCGGGATCTCATCTATGCCAACCATATCCTTCACCATCATGGCGTGGTCGACGCTTACGGCCATGTCTCAGTCCGTCATCCGGACGACCCATCCGTTTATCTCATGTGTGGCTATATGCCTCCAGCTCTGGTTGCAAGCCCCAACGATCTAATCTACTACAACGTTGCCGACTCCTCGACGGTTGATCCAGACTCCCCGAAAGGCTACTCGGAGCGCTTCATCCATGGTGAACTGTTCAGACGCTTTCCCTCGGTCAACTGTGTCATTCATTCGCATGCCGAGGAAGTGCTGCCCTATGTAGTCACCGGCGTGAAAATGAAATCGGTCTATCACATGTCGGGCTTCCTCGGCAGCGATGGCGTGCCAGTTTTCGATATCGACCCACTCTACCAGGAAGGTGACCAGCGGGATATGCTGGTGAATAATGCCCGGCTGGGAGAAGGATTGGCTGCCAAATTTGCTCGAGAACCTAATGCCACTGAACCAGATGAGACTGTGGTGTTGATGAGAAGACATGGTTTCTCATGCGTGGGACGAGATATCGTAACGGCGGTGTATCGTGCTATCTATACACGAATCAACGCCGAGGCACAGACCAAGGCAATGGCTATTGCGAAGAACAATCCGGACCCGCATGGTCAATTTGTGTTCGGAGAGGGTTTTGACGCCATCACCAAGGAGCAGGAGAAGGGCACGAAGATCATGTGCGAAAAGTTTCAGGACAAGCCTTGGAGACTTTGGGTCAGGGAGGTTGAGAGGAACCCATTGTATGAGAATACCTTGGGCCCGAATCACCAGGCCTCGAGATGAAAGGAGTGGTCAAGGCGAGGAAAGACTTCACAAGCAGACTGAATATAGTAATACGATATTTCGCTCAATGCATTAACTCCCAGCCAAACCTGCCCGTCTCAATTTTCACTGTAATTAGTCGCCAGCTAAAGCACAGCGAGACGCATCTCGCTAAATGGCAAACATATCACCGTCCCATCCTAGACCTCCACTCCAGCAATATTCGCAATTCCAGCCTTGATGATCAACTCCACAACATCAACCTCCTTCTGAGTCCTGGGAGCATAAACCATCGTCCATCCCTTATCGATGAAGACGAGTGGAAATCTCTCACCGTAGCCCTTTTCGACAACAGTCCTCGCATCCCGCTGCGTAAGCCAGACGTGCAAAGACCCTTCTCGCGGATGGGCGTGTGCGATTTCAGTACCGAGCATGCCACCACCCTTGGCCTTGTCGTTGAGCGTAGCCAGCGACTCCTTTGCGTAAATAGCATCCGTCGACCCGCCTTCCGTCTTGCTGGGTCGCAGTTCTAGAAGATCGGGATACTTGGCCGCGAGACTGGGAATCAGCTTCAAGGTCCGCTCTTCGACGCCAGCATCGACGGTTCCCTTGGCATACGGGACCTGACGCTGCGGCATCGTGCGCGACATCAGTTTCGGCCTGTCGCCCTCTCTGGGCTCGATTTCGCCGGCGTCGAGATATGCCGGCCCGCTGGTCGATAGCGGTGTCGGGTCGGTCAGATTATCCTTGCCGAACAGCAGCAGGCGGTTGAATCGGATTTTGGTCATTCGCCAGTAGCCCGCCCATGTTGGCGGTGTGCCTCCCGTGCCGAAGGACTTCCAGGCGTTGAAGTCGGTGATGACCCAGAGAAGAGACAGGCTGAGCGCGACGGTGGTGGTTGTCGCTGCTGCTGCTCGTGGGCGCGTCGCGAACTGCTCGACCAGATTCTGATATTGAGTATTGAAGGCGTGTGTGAATTGAGACATTGCTTTGAATTCTACTATTTGATTGAATTACAAAGCGAAGTGCTTTCTTATGATAAAATAGTTAAGAGTAGAAAAAGAGGTGGGAAGGTGGTGAGATTGAATTGGGTATTTGATGGGCTGAGGCTGAATGATGCGGTTGGTGAAACGCATCCAACAGTGTCTGAGTTCTTTAACGAAGAGAATTGGTGCTAGCCTCTCTTAAGGCAGGGTTCAGGATGCCTATTTCACTCCTTGTATGGGTTCCCTGTACCCCGAACCCCAGGGGCGAATGCACCTGAAATCAGCGAGGCTTGGTCAACCTCTTGGGCTTGTCCTGACTTTCAACATGGGGATGATATGTGACTGATAGTCTGAGATGACCTAAGCAAGTGTTTCTTCACAGTGATCTCTTCTAAAACATTCACGATAGATACCCTAGAAGTGACAACTTGCATGGTAAAGAGATGTGGCTTTGCTTCAAGTGTTAGACACATGGTGCTAATCGCGACGCCCAGGCATCGGTTATAGCTATAATGATGGGCGCCACGGGCGCCACAGCTTAACTAACGAGCCGCAAAAATTGGGCTCTACTTCTAGCGAGTTCCGGGCACATGTTCCGCCTCCGATTTTTCTCCGTCATTTCTCCGCATGAAACTACGTCAAGATAAAATCCACGATCCTTCCGCCCTGTTTCTCTGAGATTTGATGTTCCTGGACCCGATCTGTATCTATTCAATCGTTGTCCCCGGCTATCACGTCAATAGCACCTGGTCGAACATTCATGATGGCCTCGTCCGCTCCCAAAGCTCTGGCGCGGGTTTTGCGCCAGGCCAAGAAGCCTTCAATTCCTCGCTCGAGACATGTTCAATGTTTTCGACCTCTACGTGAAGCCGCCCGCCCATTCTCCACGACACAGTCACGGCGGGAAGATACTAGCGAACCTGGTCACCATGTCAAGTACACCACTGACATGTATCCTACATTAAAAAGGGACTCTCGATACTCAGAAATCACTCCAGAGCACGTTGAGTTCTTCAAATCCAGCATCGGAGCGGAAGCTGTGATTGATGGGGTTACACAGGATTCTGCAGATGATATAGAGGGCTTCAACAGTGATTGGATGCGGAAATACAGAGGACATACAAAACTGGTGTTGAAGCCAAAGACGAAGGAGGAAGTCAGTCAAATCCTGAAATACTGCAATGATAATAAATTGGCGGTTGTTCCACAAGGAGGAAATTCCGGCCTTGTGGGTGGAAGTGTCCCTGTGTTTGATGAAATCGTGGTATCTCTCTCACGAATGAACCAGATACGCAGCTTCGATGAAATCAGCGGAGTTTTGGTGGTTGACGGTGGTGTCATTCTCGAGGTGGCGGACAACTTTTTGGCTGAACACAATCACCTCTTCCCTCTCGACCTTGGTGCAAAGGGATCATGTCAAATAGGTGGTAACGTGGCCACTAATGCCGGCGGTCTACGTTTGTTGCGATATGGATCTCTTCATGGTAATGTGCTAGGTCTCGAGGCTGTTCTGCCTGATGGTACTATTGTCGACGATCTAGGCAAATTACGGAAGAATAACACCGGGTACGACTTGAAGCAGCTATTCATTGGCGGTGAAGGCACGATAGGCATTATTACGGGGGTTTCTGTTCAATGCCCGCAGAGGTCCAAAGCGGTCAATGTTGCATACTTTGGTCTTCCATCATTCGACCACGTCCAAAAGGCGTTTAGAGATGCGAAGATTCAACTGGGCGAAATCCTATCGGCTTTCGAACTAATGGATGGTCAAAGTCAGGGGTTTGTACATCGAGTGACCGGAAACAAGAATCCGCTGGAAGATGAGCACCCTTTCTACGTGTTGATCGAAACAAGTGGCTCTAATGCTGATCACGACCACGAGAAACTCGAACAATTTCTGGAGCACGTCATGGGAGAAGAAATCGTCTCTGATGGCGTCTTAGCTCAAGACGAAACCCAAGTAAAATCACTGTGGAGATGGCGCGAGGGCATCACTGAAGCCATCGGACATTTTGGTGGCACATACAAATACGACGTGTCTATACCTATTCAAGACCTGTATAGACTTGTCGAAGAGACCAGAGAACGTTTGACTTCAAAAGGCTTGGTAGGCGATGATGATTCGTACCCGGCGCTTGGAGTTGTTGGATATGGCCACATGGGTGACTCGAATCTGCACTTGAATGTGCCAGTACGCAGATACACCAAAGAGGTCGAAGAAGCGATAGAGCCTTGGGTCTATGAATGGATTCAGAAGCGCAGTGGGAGTATCAGTGCTGAACATGGCCTGGGTATTGCCAAGAAGAAGTATATTGGGTACAGTCGGAGCGAGAACATGATCAAGCTGATGAAGCAGATCAAGAACTTATACGACCCACAGGGAATCATGAATCCCTACAAATACATATAGATAAAAGACAACACATTTATCCACCCTTTGTCGTGCCAGGCGGACTGATACTTCGACCAGCATATTGCAAGCCGCCTCTTTGTGCGGGGAACAACGCAACAATCTCCATATCATCTTGTCCGAGGCAAACCTTGACCCAACTCCTTCTCCAACTCGGAGAGAGGAGAGCTTGCGCCCCTGCACATGAAGATATACCAAACCATCGACATCATCACTCGCCAGGATTTCGCTGAATCAAAATGGATCTTGCAAGACATATAATCTCCAAGAACCCCATCTCAATGATCCCCCTAGCTATATGGGCACTACTGATACTAATCACATGCACTTAACAAGCTTCATCTCATCTACCAAGATAGGAAGTTACACGACTAATATAAAACCATCCATTCTGGAATTATCGAGCCATGTTCTCATCGTCGCGCCTTGAGGAGATCAGCATTCCAATCGCAACCCATTCCGCATATCACAAGAGAAAACTGCGCGTCGCAACTATTGGCGCTGGGTTCTCGGGCCTGATCCTTGCGCACAAGATTCAACACGAACAGCCCGAGTTGCAGGAATTCATTGAACATGTGATATTCGAGACCAATGATGATATCGGTGGGACCTGGAAAGTGAACACTTATCCTGGCGTCCAGTGTGATGTCCCGGCTCATCTTTATGTAAGCAAGGACCTGAACAAGCAGATATTGGAGATTCGTTCTTTTGCTTGGGATAGTCCTTAGACGCGGAGTTTTCTTTGTGGATCTGCTCGTGCAGTGTGCTTCTCTACTACTTGGTCGCGGTTATATATCAGTGCTCGAGCTGCTGACAGAACAATTTGATGTTCATAGGCATTTCCCTTCGATCCGAACCCAAGCTGGTCCAAGTTCTATGCCGACGGAGACGAAATCCTGGAGTACATGCAGCGAATCGCGGACAAGTGGAACTTGAAGCGTGATATCCAATTCAACTCGCGAGTCGTCGGGCTGGAGTGGCTCGAGACTGATGGTAAGTGGAGAATGCGGGTACGGCAGAACGATGCGGAGGAACGAGAAGAACTCTTTGATGTCTTAGTCTCCGCTCAAGGATTCCTGAGGTCAGTCTACTTACCATCGCTTTTTCGCGTTGTGAGATGCCACTGCCGTATGTCGTGGTTAATTCAGGGGCTAAGCAAAGTGTGTAACTAATGCTGGAAACCACAGTCAATGGAAGTGGCCCTCGATTCCAGGCCTCAACTCTTTCAATGGCCACAAAGTTCATTCCGCTTCTTGGGACCACGACTACGATTATAGCCACAAGCGAATCGGCGTGATAGGCAATGGATCTTCGGGCATCCAGATCCTGCCGCAAATGGCCAAGCTAAAGGGTACAACGGTAGTCTCCTTCCAGCGAGGAGCGACCTGGATTACTCAGTCACTAGGAGAAGTGCTCGCTGGTAATTCAGGAAACCCCGATTCTGAAAACCAAGACATGAATGGCGCGCAGTCACCCAATGGTAATGTTGGGGTCGATATGGCTGAGGTTAGTGAGAGTGACGAAGAGATCGGGAGTAATTTCAATCCGAGGTATACAAAAGCCGATAAAAGAAAGTTCGGGGAGAAAGAGAAGCATCGCCAGTATCGAAAAATGTTACAGCAGGGTATGAACAAGGGATTCAGAATTGTGAGTGGTTTCAACTCCTGATCCCATTTGTCAGCCATGGGGACGTTATACATGCGGCGGTCAAATGACTAACGCTGTGTCGTTTCAACAGTTCAAGAAGGGTTCACAGCAGAACGCCAATTCGACTAAAGTGACAATTGCACGTATGCGAGCTGCACTCAATGAGAACGACGAACTCTGCGCAAAGCTCATACCAGACTGGACGCTCGGATGCCGGCGCCTCACGCCCGGTGAAGGATACCTCGAATCCTTCCTACTACCAACAGTCACACTCGAAACATCGCCAATAATCGAAATCACAGAGACAGGCATCTCGACCGCATCACAAAACCACGAGCTCGACGTGATCGTCTGCGCCACGGGCTTCGACGTCTCCCACGTCCCACACTACCCGGTGATAGGGCGGAACGGCACGACCTTAGCGGAGAAATGGGGCGTCGAGCCCGAAAGCTACCTGAGCGTCGCGTGCCCCGAGTTCCCCAACTACTTCATCTTCACGGGCCCGAACGCGACCGTCGGGCACGGCACGCTCATCACCTCGATGACCTGGACGGCGGATTACATCCTGCGGTGGGTCCGCAAGATCGCCGCTGAGGACATCCACTCTGTGGCGCCGCGGCAGGACGTCACAGATGAGTTTGTGCGCTACGGTGATGAGATCCATAAGGGCCTGACGTGGACGGGTGGATGCAAGTCGTGGTATAAAAACCATCGTGTTGACGGGCGCGTTACTGCCACCTGGGCCGGGTCTGCGTTGTTGTATCGAGAGGTTATCACGGCGGAGTTGCGGGCAGAGGATTTCGAGATTCGGTATCGAAGTCGGAATCGTTGGAAGGGGATTCTGGGGAATGGGTTTACGGCATTGGAGGAGCGCGCTGAGCGGGCTGATGCTGAGGGGAAGGGTGAGGTGGTGGATCTGGCGTTCTATCTTTGAAGCCATGAGGAGGTTGATAAGGCATTATGAGTGTTCCTCAATTCTGGAGGAAAGACTCTGAACGTTGATGTAGCCTCATGTGAGACTCAATTATGCTACCAACTCCGATCCTTGCCTTTGCCTTTCTCCTTCCCCTTCCGCTTCTCCAGTTTAATATCCTTTTCCCTCTCTCCGGGATCAATCACTACAAGCTCCTCTTCGTTCTTCTTTCTCCAAGTCAGGTCCTTCCCTAATCTATCCTTGGCGAATGATAACGAATGACTCATCCACGGTTTATCATCATCCGCTTCGTCATCCGCATTAGGGTCTGCTTCATCCCATCGCGAGCAGGACTGGCAATTAGCGATGAAATGCAAATCGCAAAGGGCCGCTTCATCGTCATCTTCTGGCGGCGCGGCTTCAGACTTAGCCTCCTGCTTTGAGTCTAATTTCTTTCCATTGGTTTTGGTGGTCTCGTTGGCGTTCGTAGCCTCGAGTCGTGCTTTAAAGGCATTGAGCATCTTCAACGCACTGGCGTCCTCTTTTGAGTTGCTCTCGCCAGGCCGCGGCCGCTTCCGCCCTCTCGTGCTTGTTGCCGGTATGAGAGACTCTAATGCAGACTTTTTCTGTTTTGATTCGTTGGTTGGAGCCACATTCCGGCGCATCGATGCTTTTAGCGCATCGATTTCTGCTTGCAACGTTGAGGCTTTAGATTTAGTAGGTACTCCATCCGGTGTTGGTGAGCGAGAGGGAGATTCGGGGTCACGTAAGGGTAATTGTGTCGTTGGATCGTGGAATGATGGCTTCCTCCGTTGAGCTGGCGACTCAGATTTGACGGTTGGCTCAGGGCTTGTTTTCCGTTTCTTTGGAATCGTCGTTGTTGGCGAGGGTGACTTTGGCCTCCTCTTCTCCCCAGAGGTTTCTCCCTTCTTAGAAATACCATTTGGGTGTGGTACTGATTTAGAATCGTGACTGTCGCCCCCTTCGATCAAAGCGGGATTGAATTTGGCCTTCCTCGGCCGGACTGCGACGTCTGCACTGTCGTCTTCACCATCATCGCCACCAAAGCTGAGTAGTGTTTTTACACCCTTCTTCTTCGTAACCTTCTTTTTTGTTGGTGCTTCGGAAACACGCTGAGCAATCTTGTCCCTCTTTCGCATCTTTTGCCATGCTTCTCCTTTCGGTATCTCGATTATCTCCGCCCTTAAGATCTTTTCGGGATATAAAGGTCGTTCCGTATCTTCAACCAGTTCGCCTTCGGCAATTTTGACAACGTTGTATATCCCATCTCCCTCGACACGGCCGAACATGGTACACTTTCCATCTAACTGCGCTCTACAGTCTCCCAGTGTGATGAAGAACTGTGTACCATAGCCACCTCCAGGACCGGTACCTTTCGCCATGCCTACCAACCCCCGACGGTTGAACTTCAGTCGACTGTGTATCTCATCCCCGAACTTGATCTTCTCATCCTTCTCGCGGCCGAGCACTCTTGCCCAGTCCTCATCGTACCGCTCAAACTCTCGATCCTCGTAGATGTTCTGTCCGCCTTCGCCTGTTCCTGTTGGATCGCCAGTCTGGATCACAAAGCCCGGGGATACACGATGGAAGGCGTTGTTCGTATAATCCTCGTCCAATACATGCTGCAGGAAGTTCCGGCATGTCAACGGTGTCTGGTTGGCAAACAGGGAAATTGTTAGAGGTCCCGCGCTCGTATGGAGCAAGACCGACGCCGTCGCCGGAGGTTCTGTCGTGTAAGAAGAAGCCATGGTAAGGGTCGTCTTGTTATTCCGTCATTATGGAGACCGCGAGTTAGTGTTCGGCGAAGGCCAGGTATTCAGATCGAAGCATTTGCTTGCTCGTTGGACATTGGTAAACCTTCATGACTTTCTTAACACTACAAAATTTAGGTGCAGTTTGGGGAGCGCCCACGTGATAGCAGCCCACGTTACGGTAGACCATTTGGGAGAAGGCGTACTTTCTTTTGACGCGTCTGGACGCGTCGAGGCTCCCAAAGATACTAAGCCATTAAGTACTTGAAAGGGGACATATATTCTCGCACAAGTATCTATTCAGTGGTGATCGAATCATTGGCGATCGTACTCGAACCTCCACCCTCTATCTCACTCAGCACCCTCGTGCCAACAACGGTACTACCAGTGTTGAGATAGACCTCGGCCACCACCTGAAGGCCAGCGAATGGCGAATAGGTATATTCCTGACCTCTGACGTTCTCACCATTATATATCAATGTCCGCTCATGGCCTGTGAAACTCATGTCGTGTGAGTATGAGCCGACTACCACCTCTGAGAACACCGATCCATCATTGTGAAGAGACTGGTCGATTATGTCACCAGATTGTGTCAGAATGCGATTTGTATGAACATTGCCACTGTAGTCATTGATCGAGTACAGGATTCCCTCCTCCAAGTCGAAACCACGAGCATTGAGGTCACTGGCAGCCGACTGGCTTCCTCCACCGAGCGTGCTGTTCACTATGTCTCCTAGTCCTTGGCCGAGAGTGACCAGTATAGGATTGAGATCAATTGAATTGAGAGTATTGTTGATCATGAGAACGAGGTTTTCTAGCCTTGCTTCCAACTCGACTCTGGCAGAGACATTTTGAATCGTCAACTGAACTCGGTTGATGCTCAGGTCGACCCCAGCGTTGAATTGCAGCAGTGACAGTACCTGTGCATCGATGTTGATTTTCGCAGTAATGTTTTTCACTGTTATATCGATCTCTCCTACGGAGACGCTGGCGTTGAGGTACACATCCGGGGGGTTCAAAGGATCGTTGGGTGAGGTGTCGGTGTTGGCGGTCTCATATGACGCCGAGTCCCCATCGCCCGTCACCGCAAGTGTATAGCCGGTGTAACCGTCGCCATCGGATATCGTTTGGGCAATGATGGAGGGAATTGTTGCGAGCAAGAGCGAAATGCAACGAAAAGCGACCATCTTGAGCTCCAACGTCAACTTTACTGCTCTTGTGTAGGATGCAGTCGCGCACGACCTGAAGTGGGAGGAAATTAAACAACGAAGTTCTTAATCCATGAGTTTGTATTGTCTGGATTGCGAGCGGCTCTAAAATCCAGCGAAAGTTGACAGTGCCCTGCTTGATCTCAAATTCTCATCTGGTGGATAAAAAAGTAGGGAATTAACCATGGATAAATGGGTTCGTCCGGCATTTGAGATGCATTTTCTCGAATGCATGGTTTCATGACATGGGAAAGTGCTGGTTTTCGTGGAACTAGTGAAGATTCCTTGTCCTTGAACAATCTCGTGTAGAGCACTAGTTAAGCCCCAGGCCGTTTTCCAACACCTGAAACCCGGGGTCGAGCACCAAAACAGGTTTGTGAACAGGGGTTATCAAGGATCTGTGCAGATCATCGCCTCTCGCTTGAAAATCACCTTACCAACCCATGAACCATGATCGACCGCTGAACCTGGACTGGACAATCTCAGCGGGTGATTCTTGCATGCAGCAATTTGCAATTCCCATGCCGTGGGAAAAGGAATAGATACGAGTACTTGCACATCCCCAACTACAACCGTGTCTGACTCCCTCCATCTGTATCATTTGCACAGCACAACACTCGTTTTCAATGGCGTCCAGGCTGCTTCTGGGAGTTTTCCTCGTCCTGACATATGCACAGACGATCTTGTCACAGACAACAAGCGCACCATTAACTACCTCGGCCACCGCATCTGCGACTGGCCCTTCCAGCTCTGGCTCGACGCCGCCTGACGTATGGCTGAATGTACCGAATCTTTCAGTCGGTCGCATCGAGCTTGACGTAGATGATCTACGTGCAGATATCAATCTGAATGCTCAAGTTGCTTCCCTAGTCACTCTGAATGCAGGTGTGGCGGTGTCAATTCAGCAGGTTAACCTCACAATCTCGGACGTTGAAGCTGAGCTAGAGTTGATCGTCCGTCTGGGACATCTGGTGGACATCGTCAACCGGGTTTTCGAATCGCTGGACTTGAACCCACTCCTCATCTCAGCCATTAACAACGTCACTTCACTACTCGAACCAATTGTCGGTGTGATTGATGGACTCCTAGGTTCCATCACGCAGGGCGGCACGACGCTGAACTTCCTAGTCGATAATCTCGGGAATATAGTTCAGGAAGTTGGGGGAGCAAGTTCGATTGTCGGAAATTACTTGACGAATATGACGGAGACTGGTGCCACGAAGAACCTGGGCTCTGGACTCGTGCAGAAGACATTCTCATATACACCATTGAATGCACTGGTTGACATTGTCTTCAATACCGCGGGCCAAGTTGTCCAAGCAGCTGTTCAGAAGGCAGGCAGCGGCGGTGGTGGCTCAACATCAACAACATCAACAACATCAACCGCGGCTACATCTACTACTGCAAGTGCTGCATCTACTGGAAATTAGATCCACTGAGGGTTTTCCAACGAGCTAGCAGCGTTCAAGAATGTCACTGCCGACCAAGAATTCGGTACCAGGGGTGCAAACACCAGCATTAAGCTTTGGAAGAGACCTCCATACCGCCAAATGTTCGATACTATGAGAACACGCCGGCTGCTGTATTATCACTCAGGGGACGTTCAAGTCTGGAGGCCTCTATGTCAAGTTACACTTACTGGAGATGATGAACCAAGAGACATGAGAAAGAATCAGGCATCTCCTGACAATTCATCAGATCTCGATAGCATTGACCACCTGCAGCTTGCTCTAGACATATTTACACAGATGATGTGGAGGATGACGCACGTATTTCGTGAATAGAACCTACAATAGCTATTCCGAAATTGCTCAACCCCCTTAGTACGAGATATGGCTTCCTTTCGGTTCAGATTCAGTGACACGCCTATTCACAGATCTTTGATCTTGCTACAATGTCCCGCAGTAGGTGAAGGGGGCAGGCGGAGAGATAGAATAGGATAGCGTTGAAAAGTTCTTGATCCAGATTGATTGCTATCCCAGATTGATTGCTATCCCTAAATCGAAGCCAAATGCGCAATGAAAGCCCTTCGCATTTGCGTCACAACACTGGGAAAACCCGATGACTCGGGGGAAAAACCAGTATCAAGGGGTGAAGAAAGGAACACCGAGGTTGAGCTCATCAAATCTCAACGCTTCTTTCCAGAAATGCAGCCAAATAAGCATAAGCGGACACCATGCCCTACTCCTACTGTCCGCGCGATCTCAACACTATTTGTTCAATAATCCTCCCCACGACTGAAAATTTCCTTGTGTGTTTCGTGGAGGAGCAGAGTCTGAAGTTTTGATCAGTCCCACAATACCAACTGTATCTTTTAGACGAAATGCTTACATGCTCGAACTGGGCCGTGTATGAACCTGGAATATCCGCTAGTGGTTGATACGAATCCACGATGTCATTCGAGATGAGACTATTCATCTGCATTCTACTCAGCATTGATTTTCTGCGCAAATACCGGGGAACGAGAACTTACCCCGGCCAGATATCTCTCCACGCCAAGTCGCTCAAGATAGCGTCGACAGAACACAATCGTGCCGAAATTATCTTTGATCGTCCTGAGCAGGCGCCGGCCAGATGCCAAAGGTATTGAGACCGCCGAAGGGGCATCGTAATTCAGACCGTAGCCATAGACACCATCCTAAGTTATATGTCAGCAATCGCAGTCGTTGTTGCTCTATCATGAAGGAAAGCTGACTTCGTCTCGTAAGATACCACGACCTGTCGTACCAAAAGTCTCAATAGCAAAGACTTCGCCTTCTTCCATCTTGGTTTGATCAGAGTTCTTCACGAATGGAATGGACTTGCCGCCATGGATACGATAATGCTTGATATCGTGTGCGGTGATGTTCCGAACGGGTTTGACGGGGAATGTTTTGCCACGAATCTCAACTTCGTAGCTCTCCATCGCCTCTTGGATGGCAGCGCTCACATCGCATATCCGTACGTCAATTCCTGCAGTCTATAAGTGTTCTTTAGCAACTGTAAGTTAGGATTGCTATATCGAGGGGTGGTCACCTTGATTCCAGTGTTCGTAGCATCCTTGACGGCTGCTAGAAGGTTATCGTAGGTTGGGTCGAAAGACATGGTGAATGCACTATCGACAATCCAGCCATTGATATGTACACCATAATCGACTTTCATGACATCTTGCTGCTGCAAGATAACATCTTTCTGGCCCGGATTCGGCGTGTAGTGTGCAGTCTGATGATTGAGGCAAAGGCCTGTAGGGAATCCCATGCCTGCCTTGAGGCTGTCTCCGGTCTCCAATCCCAGGTGACCGAGTAGCGCCCTAACGCTATCCTCGATGCCTTCAGCAATACTCAGTAGAGTCTGGCCAGGTTTGACGGTCTCTTGTACCCATTTTCGAGTTTGACGATGAACCTCTGCAGCCTGGCGATAATTCTGCAGAAATTCTTCGTCTTTCGTATACTGTCGAGCTTCGTAGAGTGCTTCTGCCGCGGCGGTTTTCACTTTGGTGTACGCTTGAACTTCTCCTTCAGGATAGTCACCAGATGGATATAAGTTATCCAGCAACACTCTTGGTGGGGATGATTGCTTCAACGGCACTGTCGCCGACCTCTTCTTCTTCTTGGACTTTTTTCGCTTCTTCTGCGCACCTTCGGCGTCCGCCGACAAGGTCGCATTCGCCAGTCTTAGGCTTGCTTCCTGTCCATTGAAATCGTTTTCGCCATCGCCGTCCTCGTCGTCTCCGCCGGCTCCAAGGCAACCATCTCCATCTTGAGACATATGTGTGCCTCTTGGCTTGCCACCATCTTGGACACCTCCATTCGCCTCAGATGGGCCGTCTGAAACAGCGGTCTATCAGTGGCACTAGTCTTGAGGTCTAGACAGGTCACGTACCGTGATTTCTATGATCTTCATATCCTGGAGTTCTGGAACCCATTTCGTCATTAGTGTTCTTGATGAGCTTGACACAAACATAACAGGAAGGGGGACTGTAAAGTCCAACGATGACTGGCGATCTTGAAGATGCCCCGCGCGCCCAGCGTGGGATTAACCCTATGCGGAATAAAGTCGCCTTATCTGGCTGGGACGCCTGAAAGCCCCGCGGTTAATCATGATATTCAGGCGTCCATCTCTGGGTGCTTAAATATCGGCTACTGAAATGCTTACCCAAGCATTTAACTAACTGCGCTGCAAACCGGCGGGCGCAACCTATGTCCCATTTCCTGGTTCTCTGGAGGGAAATATCGGACAGCACAACTCCTCAAGTAGGATTTGATAGTGGGTTAATATAAACAAAATTGTTGGAGCTTGGTGCTGTGAGTCAAGATCATGCATGCTCATCGCATGAGTGATCTCCTCACAAACAATGCTTTTCCAAGATTAAACAGCACGGGACTGTCTAGGTCGTGTCCGAACTCCTCTCATGAGTAAGTATAGCCCTCTAGACCCTGGTCAAATTCTGCCTCAGTCCTGGTACTTGCGCCTCAATAGCTATGCCATTACCATCAATCACGAAATGGACGACATCCCCTGGAAGGCCGGCATAACGAAAGGCATTGAAGTTGAACCAGCCATCACAAGATGTTTCAAAAATCCCCGGTACATCTCTGTCTGGAATTCCTTGAAATCCCACCTGCCAGCGCTCGTCTTCTCCTACAGGATAGATTCTCATATCCACATCGACCATCCCGATGGAACCACCAAACAAGGCCAGCCAGGCTTCGCTCACAGAGGTTCCCTCGCTAGTCCATTCCGCGATCTTCAAGCCTGGACCATCATCCAATGCCAGGACGAGCGAGGAGTTGCCGCCATCGACTCCGGGATTATATGAACCAACATACGTCTCACTAGCCTGCACACGTGCTAGGTCGTCGAACACAGGGATGACATGCTGCACCGCCATATCAAGCAGTGTCCGTGACAGAGGATCATCCCCAGGACCGGCATAATTGACTGTTATGCCGAGCTGATATTCCGGAATGATACCTACGTACGCCCCATAATTGGGAAAACCCCCAAGCATGGTATAGATTTCTAATGGTCTTGTGCCAGATGCTCGTTTGAGGTTGTTGGGTCTCAGAATACCCCATGGCATGCCAGTCGCACCTGTCGGAGATGCCGTGAAGGCTGCGGGTTTCAACCAAGCCGAAGTTTGAGCCCGAGTGAGGAGTTCATGGTTCATGATGCCCCGAAGAAAGCGAGAGAGATCATTAGGAGTGGTGAACAAGCCACCAGTCCTAGGTTCCGCGTCAGTAACCATTCAATGGTCTTGAAAATGAAGACGCTCTTGAAGGGAACTTTGGTCCTTACGCTTTCCAGTTGTTGAAGTCTTGGGTTGCCCACACGTCCCCTTCATCAGGAATGATGATTTTGCTGGGGTCTTCTGGGATTTGAAGCCCCGAGACTGCGCTCATCCCAAGTGGTTGGACAATACTTTCCGCTATTACATCTTGGAGTGAATTGCCGGTGGCTGCCTCCACGGCGTACCCCAGGAGTACAAAGGCGTAATTTGAATACGTCGGTGTGTTCCCTGGCAGCCAGACCAAATCTTCCCTTGTGATGCCAGAAATGAATTCTACTATGGTCAGGCAATGTTGAAACAGGTAAGAAATCCATAGTCAAAAACTTACCGGCACGAGAGCATTTCGCAGTGCCTATGCTGTCGCACGTTGGATAATCTTGAGGGAGGGTCACATTGGGAAAGCCGAGTGATGACAAAACCTCCGGTGGTGCTCTTGGAGCTATCTCAGAATTGTATCCTGGTAAGCATATATCAGTATTTTGGCCCTGAAGGTGTCCGTAGTGACAGGTAAGAGGCTTTGATGTAGGCACTTTAATCGTCACTCACCATCTCTTATAACACCCGAGAGGTGACTAGCGAGCATTCTCAGCGTTATATCCTCGAACTTTTTGAGGCCGGCAAGCTCAGGAACGTGTTGCCAGACAAAATCGTCGATGTCGAGCCCATCTTGGAGGAGGAGTGATAGTGTGGTGAAGAGCTTCGTTACGGAGGCGATGCGATATATGGTATCCCCGTCAACGACAGAGACGCCCGCCTCGCTCTTCTTTGGAGCCGTGTGATGATATTGAAAAATGTCATCTTCCAGGGTTGTGATGGTCAAGGAGAAGGAATTGATAGTAGCGTTGAAAGGAGCGTCCGGATCGTTGACGAGCTTTGTCAAGGCATCGGTGAGTGGTCCGACATCGAAGCCGTTAGCATCAAGCAGTACAGGAGGTGGCAGTACGGGACCGGTTGGAGGGCAAAACAAGCCGAGAGAAGTGACAAAGGGTAGTATCGCAAGAGCGAGCGTAGTGCAAGTGAGCTGCTTCATTGTGCTCTCTGTAGTTCTTCAAGATGTGACTTGGAAGCCAGCCCAGATTCCGATCTCCTAGTGGTCTTTTGGTAGATTTAATCCCTTGAGACACCCTGTCGCTTTTGTAGAGCGATCCATGATGATAGCTTAAGAGCTCCCATGCCTTCGCTCAGATCGCATTGTCTTCCTAGCCTAGCTAAGCTGATAACCTGATTTCAGCGATGAAATGAATGCCTGCTGCTCAGCCACGAGTTCAACATAACTACGGACGTAATGAGCCCATTATCACAACGCTTGCGATGTAGGCATACTACGAGTAACCTTGATGATGTGTAGTAATACGTAATGCAGGACCCGAATAATATACTCCTTCCGAGATGCAAAATGATACAAGTGTTCTACGCCATGGTTCTAAGGATAGGCGTAACTTCGTCAATACTTCACCGAGACCTTAGTTAGACACTGGCACTAGCAACTACACATTTCATTGGCTTGTAGCATGTACGTTACCTAAGCCTTGTCCTGCATGTTCGCAAAACTTCGCCAAATAAGGCCAACTTTCCGGTTAGGGCCAAGTGCAACGCTGTTAGGGCCGAGGCTCTGCAAGAAAGGGGCCATGAATAGAGGGTTCCAGAGCATTTCCGTCGTACCTGGCCCGTGCACATCCTTCAAGGCAGAATTTACTGTACTTTTGAATAAACTGTGTGGACAAGTAAGGAAGGAGGAAGTGAGTGTCTAACGAGAGACTAATTTGGTCGACATCATGCTCGCCTCTTCAGGCTTTCCACCCCTTGTACAAAACAAGTACTAACCTGGCAATGGGACCAATTTCCTCGGGCACCAAACTCTCCCAAACGCTTTCTTCACATCACTCGGCGAGCTTTTCGACCCTTGGAGCACCATGACAGGCCTTGAAGTTTGTAAGCATTGGTGCATGTCGAAGCATCGCCTTTACCTCCGCCGACTGAAGACCTTCCAAGTGGTCGCGCTTTGCCGTCTTACACTTCATATGAGTGGTATGCCAGATGGCATGGTCAATGCACTACCTCGCATTGGACTATGTCTCATTGAGATTTAGATCTCCTGTTTCAATTATCTGGGCCCAATCACGGTTTAAAAGATCAAATAGGTTGCAAATCAAATCACTCGGTTGATAAATTTGTGACAAGGCAATCTCGACAACCCGATCTCACTTGCCTACTGCCGCACCTTCTTTCTATTGTAGCAGAGGCTTATCACTGATGTCTACTATTCCACTGCAGCATCAAACTTGTGGGTCAGTTACGAGAGTACGACTCCATAGAGTGACAGTACCCGGTGCAGCATGATCCCAGAATATGAGGTATGGATATTCTGCTCAATTCTGAGCAGGATTTGGCAGTAGACAATCCCTTGATCTGAGCTAGGGGTTCATGGCTTAAGGCTATGAATATCAGGATACAGTATTCATGTCAGGCGAGTTGAAGAGCATTGAAAACACATAGACAAGCTACTAGTATGGGAATTGTACCACTTTAATTGCGGATATGCTTTCGTTAAGGTCAGTCGTCATCAATTCTGACCCAACAACCCCTTTTCAGAGAGCCTTCTGTTTCTCAGACATCTTAAATGACTTCTTGATTGGCAGAACTGAGTTTGAAATTGGTCTTCAAATACCAAAAATACTCCTCAGTATTCGTCATGACTTGTGCTATATCAACTGTGCCGGCCTTCTAATTTCCACGCAGCTCCTAGCCACTGCCACTGTAATAGTTTCACGGTCTCCCAAAAATGAAACAATAGCCATCACATCCCTCTCTCCCACTCCTTCTCGATCATTCAAGCGAGTTGTCACGCTACTAAACGAAGCGTGCTCTACACAAGTGATGCTGGTAGTGGAGATCTGTCGTTTTTAAGCCTTAGTGGTTGTCGCATATACCTTCTCTCTAGACTCCTTTCACTGGTCTTACCACTTGCTGGGATTTGTTCTTGATACATATGGACGAGTCATAGATCATCACATACATAGTATGAGAAATGGCTGCAGCTCGGTTGACATAATCTGCTACCCTTTGCTGTCCGAGATCTTGAGATGGTCAAATAGGCCGCTATTGGTCTATAGAGTAAGACAGTCTGGTCAGTGAGCACTCACAGTCGATTTTCACTTTTGTCCACCGGCCGTCATCACATCTGTCCCACCCTCCTAGCGCAACTAGGGCTTGACGATTACCATAATTAGTTCTTCGGGCAGTAGTCTTTCAAGGCAAGTGCAATGTTCAAGACTCCAAACGAGATGGAATACCGCTATTTGACTGGTAGATGATAAGTGATACACCAGATGCAGGCACTATCAATTAAAAAGGGCAGGAATGGGTTAAACATTTGGACTTCACCCATCACAACCTAGCGTAGATAATAGAAAGCGAGCATAGCAGCCTTGTGGCCACATCGCCTGTCCTGCACGTTGTTGACCTTGAGTTGTAGACACTTCAGTGCTGTAGAACCGATTGGAGGTGTCCTCAAGCATCGAAATTCGGGACGAATTCTAATTACCACTCGATCAACCAGACTTCCATGGCCTGAGACAAGTAAGTGAAGTAAAGCCCCGCAAAGGCTCAATAATGTATGCTTACTGTCCGATGAGACATTTCAGGGCTGATGATATGGCTCAGTTGAGTGATTTGCCATCATCGTCATGAACAAAAGAACCTGGATCTGCACACCAAGTTGAGAATTTGGGGTCAACTATCGTCGCAGGAGTGCTCATGAGACACATGGTGCCCACTGAATACTCTGCAGATATTTCCCTGTAGCATATCCAACTCAATCGAAGAGAAAACGGCAAGCCTGAAGCTCAGCCCCATGTGAACCACCGTCTACAGCAGATCAATAGACTTGCCTTGCATCCGAAATGCCAGGTTACATATCGTTTAGTCACGATAGTGCTTGTATGCTAGGTATGGAATAGCCGACATCCGGTGTATGACTGAGTCACTCGTTGAATCAAAGGGCAGCCCAAGCTTATCGAACGCAGGGCATCTGCAAATCACAAAACGGTGGATACTTGATTGAGGCTTATCGAACTTGGTGATCCCTGCTCAGAGCTTCGGGTACCAAGTAGCTGCAGCCTTACTTCGTATCTCTGCAACACAACGTCTCTGTCCTCTCCTCCATATGACTAATCGGTTGTGAGATAACTTCTCCAGTCTCCATTCAAGCTCGCATGTTGATAGGGCTGGGAACTTACCTCACTAGGGGTGATGCAGGGTTGACAACCCTGGAGTAAGGCCCAAGAGTAGTATTGGCCAACTATGTATGTAGCACGAAGTAATCTGAGAAGTCCGAGGACTTTTCATACTACCATAACTAGTTAGCAAAGCGTTCAATGGCTATCACTTGCCGTCTACTTGGCTGATGGCTACAAACGGCCGTAATTGACCTGCGGTTAGAAGCCGTACCACACAAGTCTGGTCTAAGAGGGTGCCTGCGAGATGCCAAGAATAAGCGGGCGGTGCTTCCTCGTAATAATCAAATAAAGGCCGTATCCGTGGTTTTAGGTTGAGGAAGATCTTTCGATTAGTGTTCCCTTTCATTTCAACTCATGTGCCCACAGACGTTTTTCTCAACCATGGTCACGATATTGCGACGTAGCATTGAGCTACAATGACAAGTTGACTGTCTGCCTAGCTAACTAGGTAATCGCCGGATTGTAAGGCAGACTGCACTGTTGGCGGACCAGGACTGGACCAGTTCCGGGCATGAAAAACTGGGACCATCGGGCAGTAGCACGCCTAAGCCTACGCCCCAAAGTCATGACGAAAGGTCGCACTGCGCTTAAATACTTGGCGCATTTAACTAGGGGTTCAGCCCTATTCCAATAAACAACCTCAATGCATGTTTCACGACATAACCCTCCCCACAAGTAACGGATAATAGGCGGCCGAAGGGGGCCCGGACGAGATACTTATACTTCATCTTGGTACAATGGAGATCAATCCAGAATAGCATCTAAACATCGGAAGACACGGGCTCTCGATAGAATATACAACTTGCAAGCATTCACCACCCCGAGCTACCAAATCAACTCCAATTCATCATGGTCGGAGGTCCGAGATCAAAAGGGTGTCTAACATGCAGACGTAGAAAGATTAGGGTAGGCCAATATTTGTCTTGCTCATAGCCGAAGATATATGCTGAATGCACCTGGTTGTAGTGCGATTTACAGCAACCAACATGCCTGCAATGCGCCAGATCGAAGCGAAGATGTGGAGGGTATGATCGATATCCAGTCTTTGTAAGAAAAACCGCACAAAATCTATCTTGTTTGAATATAATGCCAACAGACCTAGGTTGTATATACAAAGAACGGTATGGAAAAGCGTGAAGCTCTCAGAGACCCGGAAGCAGTTCCTTTCCAGGACACTTGGAGCCTGGAGATCCGCCCGACCTCTGCAGAAACGACTCCTAGTTCGACGCCGGAAGCAATGCATGAGGATACGACGATGAATGTATTCCACAGCGTTTCCACAGAGAAAGCGCGCTATATTGGCTGGGCCTATGAAAGCTATATCAATTCAGAGGCCGCAAAGAATCGTTATGTCCATATGCCAGTTGCCAAATGGCTGCGCAGCACTCTTGCGCTCGCGAAAGCGGACCCGGCGTTAGATGCTGCCATGCTAGCCATTACGTGCAAGATGTATTCTGCTTTCTACACGGACCAATCACTCTTTCTCAGAAGCAAATATCTATATACAAGCTCTCTAGGTTTACTTCAACGAAATTTGTCATCGGAAAAGGCAGCGCTCACAGACGAAACATTTGCGGCAACCTGTCTCATAGCATTGTACGAGGTGAGAACCCTGAGGTCAAGTGCCGTTACTCTTACTGATAGATCTAGCTCACAAGCTTGGACAAGAATGGCGCTGATGCATGGCAGAGCCATGTGGCTGGTATCTCAGCGGTGTTGAAAGCAAGAGGTGCCAGAATGCATCGTACCTCGCTTCCACGGGATACACTTGAACATTGTCGATACAATCTGGTAACTATTACCAGTCACTGATAGCTCGAAGGTTACTAACATAAACTGTCAGATGCTGCAGTGTTTGTCCAATCGTAATGCTGCTGGCTTTGCTGAGAAAGAGTGGCTTGAAGATCCATGGATAGGCACCAGCAAAAGTCTCGAACAACAGATCATGGACTGTGGCTTCATGCTAGCTCGAGTGCTCCAAACACTTGACGAAGACACCTTTTGGTGGGCGGACATCACAAGTATTCGAGAATTGATTAAAGCTTGCGAGAATGGTACAACCAAGATTAAAACCATCAAGAAAGAACACCTCATGGGTCCGAAACTTGATCCTGATTCAAGGCTCCCACCAACGGCATCAAATACACGCTCAACCAGTGATAACAATCAACAAGAGGCTAACAGGCTTGTGCTAAGATTAACAGCATCTGCTATTGAACTCGGGCTTTGCGAGGCCAGTAGTTGCATCATGCAGAAAGTGCTCGAATCAAGCTATTATGCCATCCATCACAGCGGAGGCAATTCTTGGAAACTCATTGACTCGCAATCTTGTGACGAGACCGAAGTTGCAGTCCCAGAGGATGGCATTAAGCTTGCGAAGGAGATCGTAAACGAAGCCGGTGTCGTTTTTGATCAAGAGGAGCTGCCTCCTGAGTCAGTTCGCATGGTTTATCCTCTGAAGGTAGCTGTTCGAATGCTAAGGCACGCATCATACTGTCCCCAGTATGAGCAGTGCAGCACATATTTGAACTATCTCCAAGGCAGGAAAGGTAGCAACTTCACAAAAACGCGCCCAAAAGAATATTTTGTCTACGGCAGCAGTCGGCAGAAGAATGTCCTAGCGACAAAAGCATTATGAATCTAACATTTGTCACACGTTTCATATCCTCATTTGATATTAGGGATTGGTATGATAGTGCTCAGAAGGATGGTGCCCACTTCTTTCTTTTGCAATCTCGATCAACGAAGAGCCCAGTAATCGCTCATGGCATACGCAAGCAAACATTCACTCGATTCTCTGCTGACCCAGCACAAAGCCGAACGAAACCACTCCTTCTGTGTTGGCTCCAGTTTCTGAAGACTGGAAGCAAGTGACATGGGCCAAACAACAAGGCTGGCTAGGTAAGGTTGGAAGGGTTCATTTGAGATTTCCACGCTTCGATTTAATCTTTGATCAGAGTTGATCTGGATACGCTTAAGGCAGAAAGGAATTATCGCCGCGAGGGAATCAGCTGACGACGTCAATTCAACGAGGCCTTCGAGAGTTTCCGGTCGATGCTCGAAACTGTGCTGTGGTGCAAGAAGATCGAGTATTCGCAGATGGGTGTGAGAGGTCAACATGCGCAGGGCATAGTACTCGGTCCACACAGCACTGTACCCGAGTTTTGCGCAGCTGATGACGATAGTCGCATAAAACTCATCCTGTGGGAAGTTGGAAGTCTCTGGGAGTTTGTGCTTGAGATACTGCCACTTTCCCGGAAGCCTCGTGGACCAATCCAGCAGATTATGGCCAAGCTTACGCGAATCGCTGACTAGGTCGTTGAGGCCTTGGGAAACTGGTTCGCCGTCTGCCCCAGCTTGTTTGACTTTCAAGTATCTCTGATGAACATCGATAAATCGAATGATTAAGGAATCAAAATCTAGGGCGACGTCACTTTCGCCAAAAATATTTCCATCCGCCAGCCAGCCGGGGAGTGGTTGCTCGCGTATCAATGACGACTTGATCAACTTCCTCCTACTTTGCTTGATAACCCATGTGGGAGCATACTGTGGTCGATGATCATACCAGAACTTCAGAACTGCCGCGGCGCCTTCAAAATGATACCAAACCTTGATCTGCTTGAAATCTTTTATAATTGTACCACTATCGTGATTTTGGACAAAGGACTCATAACGCGCCATGAAGTGTGCCCCAAGTAAGTATGCATCAATGTCATCTGCGTCTGGGTTGGTGTTGTGAATGTGGAGAATGCATCCCTGCATGTGCTGAAGCAGTTCAAGATAAAACGTGCAAGCCTCGGTTTCAGCACTTCGACAATTTTGGAATCGAGCATATACTGAGAGTGCTAGAGCCGAGAAGGCTAAGTCTACGATTAGCGAGCTCTTATTGTCTGCCCTCCACTTATGCAGGCATTCAGCCCATGTCGTCACAATTTCGGGCATATCCTGGAAGACTTGGAAGTGATTTTGGAGGTAGTATGCATGTGCACGAGTTTTGAGATCGAATTTGGGATGCAGGGGAACCAAGGTAGATCGCGGTCCTCTTGGTCTTCTCTTCCGCCCGGCAGCATACTGATTTTCACTGTGGATGGTAAAGAGTTCCTGTTTAGCCGCGTCTGCTTCTACACAAACCCTGTGGGATTTGGCGCATTTTTGGCATATTGGAACCGCTCCATCGCACTGTTTACCGTCAGGGTGAATTTCGGCTGAATGTCCTAAGCCTTGAGTCGGAGCTCACCTTAATGCGCCTTGTTCTGCAAGTGTGGCATTTCTGGATGCTCGATTGCATCTCACAATCTCCTGCGACACCCAGAGCGATGGGAAGAGTAGTATTCGGGTTGAAATTGTTTGTCTAGCCACATAGAATTGAAGTAGGTGGAATGGTAAGACTTGGACCACGGTTAGTGAGGCCTCCGATCCCCGCCAAGCATTAGTTGATCGGTCTCGATTGGGCAAGGCTCTAAGTCTAGGAGAGCTAACCCGCTTATGGCGAAACCTCGCGATATACATGTTGCCGGGCGGTATGCAATAGTGTTAATATGGCATAAGAACAAGAATCCGACGATCAGGAGAATCCTGCGCCAGAGATGTTTTGTCAGCTCGGACCAATTTCCAAAATACAGGAGAGCCATATTCTGGATCTCTTCGCTCTCCTTTTCCAAATCACTTTCTCTCACACGACCCAGCACTTGTCACATCCTCTCACAAGACCGGTTCACTATCTTGACCTCGAAATGCCTAAGACGTTCCTCATTCTAGGTGCTGGTATGACCGGCCTTCCTCTAGCCCATTATGTCCTCAAGCACTACTCCGCCAAACATGACCTGAAAGTCATCCTTGTCTCCCGATCTGAGGAGTTCTACTGGAATATCGGAGCACCCCGTGCTGCGATACCGGGACAGTTCACCGATGAAAAGGTCTTCTTCTCGATACCGAAGGCATTTGAGAAGTACAACAACCAGAACTTCGAGTTTGTTCTCGGCACGGTCAAACAGTGGGACCCAGACGCTAGTACTGTTACTTTGACCTCAAGTGAGGGACTATCACGTACACTAGCCTATCACACTTTACTGCTGGCCACTGGCAGTGACTATGCTAGCAAAATGCCTTGGAAGTTGGTCGGTACCTCTCACGAAACACATAGAGCGCTTGATAAGTTGCGAAAAGAAGTCGATGAAGCAAGCTCAATTGTCATTGCTGGAGGGGGACCAACTGGCGTTGAATTTGCCGGTGAACTAGGCCATGAGTTTGCAAAAGCAGGGAAGAAGTCAGTGATCTTGGTCATCACTGAATCGCACCCATTGGAGTCGAAGAATCTTGAAGCGACCCGATTAGCGGCTAGAAGAGAACTCGAAAAGCTGAGGATCAAAATCATATCCAATGCCAGAATAACAGAGCGTACCACCAAAAATGGGGTCACTTTTCTGACACTAACTAAAGTCGACGGTAGCACAGAGATACTTGAAACAGATTTGTTTGTCCCGACTTGGGGTGTGACTTCCAACACATCGTTTGCACCATCTTCTCTTCGGGAGCAAAATGGACGGCTTAAGGTCACCCAGTCGCTCCGTGCGCCGGGCTATGACAATGTCTTCCTCGCAGGCGACGCGGCTGATGCAGATTGCTATGCAGCCACAATTAGAGAGCCGCAGATACGCTATCTTGCCACCGCGATAGGTCAATACCTGGAGGGAGGAGTAGTTTCGAAGTATTGTCTGGAAATCAAGGTTGGCCTGGCCGCTTCGATTGGTCCTGGTCGTGGAGTTGGTCAAATGGGCAGTTTCAATATGTGGAGCTTTCTCGTTTGGTTTTACAAATCTCGCCATATGTGCACAAACGTTGCTCCCGAATACGTGGCTGGAGATCGTCTCATTTTGGGGTCATTTTGAACGAGATCTTGTAGTTTGCGCTCAAGGAACGGAAGTATGAGCTAGTCTTACTATTGTGAGGAGAGTAGCTTGCTATAAGGGAATGTCAATTGAGAAGAGAAAATTATTGCTTTTTGGAGACAAGAAGTCTGGTCAAGGGTCACGAACGTTGTCAGCTTCGCCAACATGGTGTATTTTTCCGTGGCTATGGTAAAATCTGGCAACCAACTGGCTGCAGACGACAATTCCCCCAACGAAGGAAATGGACTAATCGCAATTTTCTTAAGTCTTGCAGCAGCATTTGATTTCTTTATGCTGGCGGGAAGTCCTAGGCTTCTACATTACATGCTGAACCAAGCTCATCCAATGCTCTTATCAGCTATTTATCCCTTTGCGCGACCTTGCGTCCAGGTCGAACCAAAATCATTATATTGTGCAGCATTGGATATTGTTCCCGCCAGGACAGAGCCCTGCATGAGTCGAGCCTTTGCAGGTCGATGTTGGCTGGCACATACCCTCCTGCATCCCTACAAAACAGGTGCTGTAGGTGCAGCACTGGATGTTCGCCGCCCCGGGACACAACCCTGAAGTGGATTTACCACCAAGCGATGAGCATGAGCTAGTACTGATACACTCCCCAGAAATGCCACTATCTTTGAGGACACAAGTATTGCTGGTTGGAGGAGGTGCTGCCTTGGGAAGACAACATTGGATGTTAGTAGGGCCAGCGCAAAAGCCTGGGACGGATTGCGCCTTAGCATTCGAACATGCACTAGTAGACATACATGTCCCCGATATTCCATCATCGGTTTTACAACTATCACCGCTTCCATCTGATTGATAGCAGCACTGAATATCGATTCCTCCGGGACAGTGACCTGCCTCGGACACACCGCCCTGTTTCGAGCACGAGCTGGTGGATATGCACGTACCAAAAATGCCATTGTTTGCGGTACACTTGGTCGCAGGAGCGGATGTTGCAGTCGAGGCTTTTGAAGATGACTTCGGTGCAGCGGGACTAGACTTGCTGCTGGATGCTGGTGGTGGCGGTGCGTCATTACCATCTGGATTTGTGCCAAAGCAGATACCTCCAAGTGGGAAGGAAGTTGTTGCGATGGTGACTTCAATGGGAGTCTTCTCACCGTCGGTGGTGCCTGCCTCGAATTTGAATTCCGCTCCGATGGAAGGCTCGATCTCAACTCCAATTGTTTTCGCAGGATCATCACAGACTCCGCCTTTCGAATTGGCTGTGGCTTCCAGCTTGAGGTCGATGAATGGCAACTTAAGCTCAAGTCCAGCCTCAACACCCTGGCCCAATGCTTCGGCCTTGAGCCGCACGGCAGGCATGAAGAACATCTGTAACGTTGCAGACACCTGTGCCTCAATTTCTGGTGGCAAGAAGTCGATGTCTGGCAACCAACCTGAGAACTCGTTGTCCAAAGGATCAAAGAGATTGGCTCGGAGTATTGCAGAGTCAGAAATCTTGGATGTAACGCCTCCAGTGACGGTAATCGACCCTTCAACCCCCGTGACTTCGACACCGGCATCAATATCCAAGAAGGGCCCAACGTTGAGAATATCAGGGGGGATTGTTATGCTGTTTAGTGGGAACGACAAAACAGTCTCTTTGAACACCTCCTTCTTAGACTTGAAATTACTTCCGAGCTTGAGTTTGAGATTGGCAACAGCCGATACACCTGTAGGGCTCATTTTGAGCTCAACACCATCAGGCAGCCCAACGGCATTTTGTGTTACACGAAGCTCGAAGTCAATCTTCCCGGTTGTTCTGCAATTCTCACACTCCAACTCACCAATGATTGGGCCTTGTTCAACCTTTGCAACAAAAGGAAGCTCGTTCGCCAGGGGAAAAGAAACTTCTTTTGTGATGTCCCGCTCCCGCAGTCTTCGGCTCTGTGGTGTTTGTGGTGTGGCAACATTACCAACCTGCAGCTGGAAGGACGGGGCCAAGTCTCTCCATGACCCAGTTGTAGCATTCAAATGAGCAATGTTGAGGTCTTCATCATAGACAATATCGGAAACCGAATACGGCACTCTGTATGGATTGTTGCTGCAGTCTCCGGCTCCAACGACCATCAGAAACGTATGATTGTCAGCTCCGTTGACCCAGTCCCAAACCCTTTGCGCATATGCAAAGGTCTGGTCATCTTCGAACTGCAATTCCAAACCTGTCTGGGTCGCGTTGCAGGAGAGAAGCATTCCGTCGAACTTTTCCATGGAAAGAACATTTCTGTTGTTTTCTGGAGCGTATATGGTGAAGTTTGCCAACGGCGCACTGCTGTCTAGATTGGAGGAGATGTCAACATTGGTCCGAGTAAGTTAGTATCAGGATAACGTACTGTCAGCACCCCATAGAAACGTCTCGGTGCTTCTCAGATCCAACAACGAAGTATCTCGTGGCCTAAGACGAGACTTAGGGCCGAGGTCACCCCTAGGGCGAATCGCAACCAGCTCGAGTGCATTCACCAGATGAGCTAATATGAGGGTTGAAAGAAGGATGCCAAAAGAATGACGCAGCGAAGCCATTGAGAACTGGGTGCACAGCACCGTTGAAAAGAACGACTAGGCTTGGAGCTGGAATGGCTGCCCTCGACCATCTGACCATGAATCGGTGCAGATCCATTGGCTTTATCCTGCTTCTCTCTCTGCCAGATGTTCGCAAGGCCCCCTTCTCGCAATACGAGGTTCGTGAGACCAAACATTTTGCCAAGTAGCAAAATAATCTAAAATATGCAAAGCACGATGTAAATCGGCTATCATTGACATTTAGGAGTCTAGGATAGGCATGCCAATATAGCCAGCAAGGCTGTCTCGGACTCGTTTCGGATTGGCATTCAACCATGTTCGAGGCCAGCGTCGCTCCACGTTGATTGGGCTAGGCTTCTCTGTAATGCCTAGAACAGGCAACGGCGCCCCCAACTTCTGTGCAAGCCACGTTCTTGGCCGTTTGGATCTCCTCATGATTCGGTGAACGACGCATGAATTATGATTGCAAAGGATATTGGCCATGAAACACTTGATGTGAACGTATTCGTATCTTCCAATGTCGACGGGTACTGTACCACAATGGATCAATGGCGAATCGTTCACACAGTTTAGCTAATACTACGAACAGATAGTTTCCATCATAAGGAAGGGCGCAAACGGTATCTGTTGCATTGATGGTGAAAACGAATACTTGACAGTTGGGCTTAGTTGAGTCACGGCACTACCTCGAATATGGGTTGACGGTAGGTTTCACCATTGTTGCATCTTGAGCTCAGATGATATATCGCCTCCACCAAGACTTGAGCTCCGGTTCAACCTCCATCGTCCCCTTTTCGCGTTCAATGAGTTCAATCTCCGACAAATCAATCTCGTGTAAAGCAAGAGGTCTCGAACGGAAGAAAATCCAAGCGACTGCCCAGAGAACTGTTCATCAAGTTAGCAATCGGAGGAAACGCCGGGCTTTGATTTCGAAGTAGTGGTTGAGTCGAGGGGAAGAGGCGTTAAATACTCACACATGAAGATTGCAATATCGATATAGTAAGTGATGAAAGCCGAAGTATTCCAATTACCTGGGAAGAAGACACTGTAACCTGCAGATGGAGATTAGTGGTTGTGACGAAATGATGCTCTGGTTGGTGGCCGTTTACCTGAGAACAAAATCACCAGAGTCACTGCGACCAGGGTTGTCCATGCCATATATGGTTGGAGAGGGCTTTTGTACGGTAGGCCTAGAGTTATGTGTCAGTCTATAGCAGGTGAGGCGCTTGCGAGAGTCAACATACGGTCTCTACTTATACCTTGGTATTTCATGGCATAGTAAAACCTCAGGAATGAAACTTGGATAACCAGCCATCCTATAAGACCTGAAATTGTCGTGATGTTCACCATCCACCCAAAGACCACAGACGAATTGCTTCCGAGACTGAGGTATACCAACGGCATGAGGATCAAAGAGGCTGCAACTGCGATCCACGGCGTCCCGAAGCGATTCACCTTTAGGAAAATTTTCGGGGCTTGACGTTCTTCTGCTAGCCCGTAAAGTGTGCGTGATGCGAGGAAGACGCATGCTGAGCCACAGCTGAAAGCAGATGTGCAGACCACGGCATTAATCACGGAGGGCAGTCCCTTGATTCCCACACGCTGGAATGCGATGACGAAGGGACTTTGCTGAGCAGTTCCAGTTCTGATGCCCAGATTTGGATCGTTGTATGGGACCAGCAAGCCGACGACGAACAAGCTCAGGATGTAAAAAATCGCGACTCGCCAGAAGGTCATCTTGATGGCATTCGGAATTATCTGCCGAGGGTTTCTGGTCTCCGCTCCAGCAAGTGCGACGACTTGTACGTTTGCATAGCTGTAAGATGCAGACAAAAGGGTACTCCAGAAGGCAAGAAATCGACCAGTGTTCTTGTCACTGTCAACAAGATAAGTGTTTAAAACTCCAGGGTTCTTCCAGTATCTGAATCCAATACGGTCATGATCTGGATTTCCTCCAAGGTCGACCACGATGCCGGCAATAATGAGACCTACAATCAGGAGGATCTTAAGAGCCGCGAAGAATACTTCAGACTATTGTCGCCAGACGTTAGCTTATGACTCGGTTTGGGATACCAAGAAGATCACTTACCTCGCCATACCAGCGAACCGCCGAAAAATTGACGACTGCAATAATTAAAATGAAAACGCTGTACCAGACGGCCGCATTGATGGTGTTGTCCCAAAAATTGATGATTGTGGCTGCTGCCACGAGTTCCGCTGGAGCAGTGATGGCCATGGTGTACCAAAAGTTCCAACCAGTTGCGGTTCCAAGTGCTGGCTGCACAAAAGTGGTAGCGTGTCTTACAAAGCCTCCAGTTACAGGCATGAAAGCTGAAAGCTCACCCGTGCAAAGGGCAACTCCAATGGTGATCAATCCCATGAAGATATATCCCAGGAGTGCACCGACAGGGCCAGCAAGAGCAATGGCTTGACCAGATGCCAGGAAGAGACCTGTTCCCTTCCGTGAGTCAGTACAATCATGTAGGGAGGCGGGTTTGGCCGTTCGAGTTCACTTACAATCATCCCAGCAATCGCAATCATGTTGATATGTCGTCGCCGAAGGTCTCGTTTGATGGTGCCAGTCGCAGCCACTCTGCCGACTTCCACCCCATTTCCTTCCGATAGGGTTCTGCCAGCTTTACCCATTTCCACAGATTTTGCGTTCGTGAATGAAAGCTTGGAGTCCATGCTGTCACTATGGGTAACTTCAACTCTTCGACGAGGTTCCAATTTTCAACTTGATGGGGTTCGAACTTCAATTTTGGGCTGGACCTCGGGTTTATGTAACGTAAGGATACCACCAGATACGGCACTCTTATCAGTGTCTAGAACCTTGCAAGATGAGAATCCATATCTAGACTGGCGGACTAACTACCAAGAGAGCGCGTGTCTGTGATTCATCATTGTCTGATAGAAAGGCGATAGGGACGAGACAATAGATTATCGGCGTTTTATGTGGTGTTGGGGAAAGGTAATCGAATTCACCGGTCGGTAAGTGGCCGACGGGCGGAGAACCAACAGCCTAGGTAGTCGTGACTAATGTTTTCTTGGAGATTCCGCACGCCAGATACGTGGTCATGTACAGGCTACATTAATTAGATAGCAGAATCTTGAAGGCCTTTAGCCCCTGTGTGCCTCGCTAGTCAACGACGGCTGAACATTAGATGACCAGTGCTCAACCTCTCAATATCAATTGAACGTCGGATAGCCACGACCAACTTCACCTCATACGTATGGCGGACGCCGTGGATAACTTTGAGTTATATGATTTGCACGTTGAGGTCATCTGCCCCCCTGGGGAAAGGATATACTGTGGCGCAAAAGCAGGGGACCATTTTACTTTACGGGGAGAAATGCTTCATCTTCCAGAAGGCCAAGGTTTCAGTATCTACAGTCTTGGTAAGAGATCCCAAATTGGCGGTCCGATGTTCCCGCGCGGCTGATGTGTGAACCTGGATAGCTTCAGTACTGCCATTGCTCGCAGCAAAACAGCGTCCGACTCACAGGAATGATTGGATGACGACGGACAGCCTGATTGCATGTCCGGATCCTGGTTGCAAATCTCAGCTGAAAATCACACGCTTACAACCACGACAATTTAGCCATGCTGAGACTACGGCTGTGCCTCTTTGACGAGTGGTGGGCATCGGGATCACCACAGGCAATGGTGAACTGTGTTTCGGGAAGAACTTCTGTTCTCGAGTTAAGGATAGTTTGATCATGACAAGCACACCTAGCATTTCTGTGGCAGTAATGTAGTACATTTGCTCACGTCCAGAAGCGGCCGTTTTATTTCTCCAGTACTGTAGAGTCAGGCTATCGTCTGTCGACTCAAGTTGTTCGATATTCTCCTCCACAGTCACCTATGACTTCGAACATCTCGCTTCTCCTACTCCGTCTCAACACAGTGTTGATCTTTTCCTGGTCTTCATCGTCCAATCGCCATCCATAACTGGACAGGTTCTCGTTTCCATGCTCACTAACACCCATTCTAGCACCAACAATAACAGCACCCACATAGTCGAAATCTAAGACCCATCGTGTGGCAACATTGGACACTGCCATATCGTGTTTGGTCGCAATCACCTTAAGAGTCTGCAATAACTCCTGAAATAATGCCCATCCGCCCCATGCAAGTATCATCTCGAAATACTTCCTTTGACTGGGTGTTATGTCACCTGAGAACAGTTCAGGTTCGGGCTTGCCCAGCCATTTTTCGGCGAGAAAGCCACCACACTAGACAGCATGTGAATAATAGCCACTTGGCGGTCGCAAGAGCAAAGACACGTACCAGTGTTCCATACGTCAATAGCTTTATTCCATGCTCTCGACATACCTCTCCCATTCTCATAGCTGGGCGGCTATCGATCAAGGAGAACTGAGCCACCAGTCAGTGGAGTCGCTACTCATGGGTTGAAGGACTTGCCTGAACTTGATTCGTGACGACCTTGATTCCAGCTTCCAGGATCTCCTCGAGTCGCTTCGTATCGAAATTGCAAAGACCAAGCATCTTGACTCTATCATCGGCCTCAAGCAGCCTCAACGCCTGGATATATTGCTGGTCTTCATACTGTGATCTGGTCAGTGTAAATGCCTCAGTTGTAACCATAGTCAAACTTACAAATTGCCAATGGAATTGGAGCAGATCAACATGATCAGAACCGAGCCTTTTGCATCTTTCTGAGACGTTGTCTTGGACGACCTTTTCCGTGATCGTGCAAGGCTGAAACACACAGTACTTCGTAGATCCAAAAATCGTGTCTGGCCGAGAGTATATTGCTCGAAATTTGCCCTGTGACCTCCGGGTCAGTTTGATAGCGGACAGAGGAGATCCTGTTAAGTCACAACTTACGAAGAGTATTTCTGCATCACCGTAATGATCTGCCATATCGTACGCAGTGAACCCTTGACCAACGAACCTCCAAAATTGAGAGAAGATCTTGGATTTGGGTGCCACTCCCCAAGAAGGGCTAGAAAGCTGCCACAAGCCGGAAAAAAGCCTTGGTAGTGCCTTTTCCCCGAGCTGAAAGGTCTCAATGGTTCTACTGCCATTTGAATATGTCAGGTGTTCATTGTCTTTCTGTGAATATGCTTCGTCTCTGCTCTCCATTTCTTTACCAAGAACACCCGCGATGACACCTAGACTACGTTCAAACAAGAACTCTTGCTTTTCGGCGTCCCAACGGTCCCGACAAAGGACCAGTGAGCGGAATAGGTCATCAAGTTCCTCAAATTCACCCCGAGTCAACTCCCTTTGTCCTGATGGCTGGTTGAGACTCTTCTGGACTGCGGTCAAGGCTTGAACAATATCACCATCCACGGACGTGATGTGATTCACCAAGTCATATCCATTGGAGGAGTCCTCAGCTGGGCAGACTGTCTTCACCTGGTCAACAATCTGCTTGAGGTGCCTCAAACTGTCGATCGCGAGACCACTACCGATCATGGCTCGAATGCGGCACTGAGCGGCCACAAAATGAGGCGTGACATGCCAGCCTTTTGCACCATCTGGTTGAAAAAGAGTTCCGAGAGAGACAGGTGATGTTTTGCAAAGATACTGCCTTGCATGATCCTCAAATATCGATGTAAATCCAGAATCTGTCGTCAAAATCGAACGTATTACCGACCGTAAAGCATCTGGTGGTAAATTCGCAATCACAGTATCGGTCATCAAATTTACATGGGCTTTAGTGAGGGTCCCATTGGTGCTCTGTTGGATAGCCATTTCGTCGTTTCCAAATGCAAGCGCGCTGTGAGATGATTGAATCTGGTCAACTCGCCCCTCGTACTTTCGAAAGCTGAAAATCAAAAGGGTTGTCTGCTCATCGCAAGGAATGCCAGGACTCACATTCGTGGCAAGTTCGAGAGAAGCTCAGTGACTCCAGTGGTCAAGCTCCGAGGCATGCATGAATTCAACGCGGTTGAATTTCATCGGTAAGTGCACGTTCCGCTGTATGAGAAATTTGGACAGCTCCCGCTGCTCAATCGTCACCACGGATTCCAATCTAAGAGACCGACCGGCGTTTAAGCAAATGGGGGTCAGATTGGACCGGCGAATTGGGGGGTTCAACGCTGATAAGAACTCTAGGCACACGCCACCCTTTGCGAGGAGGTCACCCCAGTGGTCTAACTTGTGACTATCCTTCATTCTGGGCGGGAGCCGAGGTGCTCTAACCGGCACACTCTCACCATGTCTCTTCGTAGATGCCGGACAGCGCAGATCCCTGGTCCTTTGCACGAGGTCAGCAGCGAAATCTGGGGTAAGCAACCAACAAGCCTAACTAGTGATCGCCACGCTGTTCGCTTATGCCTCATCACTGATTGCACCCTTGAGCTGCATGGGACAAGAGAACAGCCTTTGTGATCAGTAACTGCTATGAATATTGGGTTCTTTGGCTAGAAGAGTCTAGTTAAGGCTACTCTCCTGACTAATTCTGAAGTGCCTTGTCCACCTAAGTGAATGCGTTCCGGAACCAACCTAGAAGAAAGTTCGGGGGTCCTTAGGGTTTCGTGGGCTTTCCAAGTCTCTTTGGACACGATCCTCTCTCTCGAATGCCGTCATGCGAAGCTGGGCTAAGCAATTAACTAGTCCCACTTAAGCCCAATAGGGATTTGGCTAAATATCTCCTACGACGTACCTTGAACTTCATGAGCTAATCCCAAGCTTTCACAACATACCTCAAGGCCTGGAGCACCATTGATAGTGTTTCATCTACCGGTGGAGCTATTGTGCATTCTCTGCTGTGGTCGTGGTCTTTGAGCACAGAACGCTGGAGGCTTTTCCGGCGACTTCGAAAATCGGTCTTGTTGAGACCGTTTACTGATTCTCAATCCAACTCTGGGCTTCTTGATATATTATTTTCGGCAGGCACTCCCTATAGTGACAAAAGCTTAACACGTTCCACAGCCGAGACTGCTCCCTTCGTCGTCTGGCAGGGTGGATCTTGTGCTCCTCCAAATTCAAAATGCGAAGATCAACTACAAGTCATGTGTAATATTCCACGATGAGCGACGCACGGAAAGCAGTCCGCATCTCGACGATGAGGTATTTCATACCTATAGTGATCAAACATTACGTGAATTGACATTATTAGTGGGGCGGGTTCCAATGCCTGCCTTTCATGCAGAAAGGTCAAAATGAAATGTCGCATTGAACCGGATGAGGAGAAATGCCAAAGATGCACTCGCAAATCTTTTGAATGTGTCTTTCGGCAACATCGACGAGGGCGCCGACCCACACTTAAAGTGCAACCTGAGTCTCCCATGACTTGCCGTGCAGATGGAACAGATTCAAGCTCGAGGCCGGGCACGCTGGCTCCAAATCAACTTGGGTTTTGGGGCAGTTCTGAAACCTTCCAACCACCTGACTTGCTCAACACGCAAGCCATGAAAGGCCAGTTTTCACTACAAAACATCCTCAGTACTGCTCCAGGTGTGGTCGCTCCTAGTCGCCCTTCGTCCACGGCACGTTCTAGGGATCCAATTTCAGTTGGACTAGTCAACTATCATATTGCGCTGTCCTTGTTTAACGGGTAGGTCATTCCAGTCATGAGCTTAAAAGATTTCACTACGGAGACAAGGCATTCCAAAAGCCTTGAGTTTTCGGCCAATGGAGTCTTTCTGTCGCCCGATCAGAGCATGTACCAGGGCATCTGGCGGAAGAGTTACATCTTTATCACCGCCTTGACTTTGTCAATCGATTGGCCACAATTACTAACGCCATACTGCTAGGTTCATGGAAAATCTAAATCCATATATCTGTCAGCTTGATCCTACATTACATACCTTTGCATATGTTCAGGAGAAATCGTCTTTCCTTCTGACCACGGTACTCACTGTTGCCGCAAAGATCTTGAACCCTTCAGCATATCCTGGACTGAAAGACCATGCAGAAACGCTGTTCTGCGAAGGGTTCCGAAGGGGGGATAAATCACCCGAGGTAATTCAAGCTATTCTCATCCTCACATACTGGAAAGAGCTCGATGATACGCGAGCATGGTCAAATGTTGGCTATGCAATCAGGTTGAGTATGGACCTTGGTTGGCACAATCTCTCGACCGAGGACGATCAACAGTTCAGCACTACGCTAAATAGTACAGACCAAAGGAAGAGACGAAATGTGGAAAGGACCTGGCTTGTATTGTTCGTTTACGATCGTAGGTAAGTCGTCGATATAAGCAATATTGGACTCGAAGCGCCGAAACGCCGGTATTGTATCCTTCAGTCCTTCTTGCAGTCAGCTCACGGACTATTCAGCATAAGCCTACAAACAGGCAAGCCTCGAATGATCGATCGAAGTGTTTTCCTCGAGTCAGTGGACATCTGGTACCGCTCTCCAGGGGCCTTGGCAAGCGATGTTCTCCTATGTGCATTCGTCTCGCTCAGACTGTTGACATCGGAAGTTTTCGAGCTGCTCGAGAGCCAACGAACCACAAGTCCACGATCTCAGATGCATCAACGAGACTCGCTACTGAAGATCATCGAGAAGCAAGTCGAAGCATGGCAAGAACACTGGTTACAGATCGCCGAAGAAGGTGCGTTCGGCGACGATGAATCTCTAGACTTTTCTGACACCCACCCACACAGTTGGTTGCGAAGCCTGCAACAAGCTTCTGATAAAGTTCTACGGCATCCATCTAAGATTGCTTCTTTCGTCATTTTCCCTCAAGCCTCCGTTGACGTTACCATCAACCGCGGCCGCGATGAGGACGGCGGCAATCTGGACTAGTCATGCTAGCGCGATAGAAATGCTGAGTCTTGTGTCGGAGCCCGACATTTCCCCTTTACTATATTTCGCTCAAGACTCAGTTCATGTCATGATTGCTTACGCCGCTGTCTTTCTGGTGAAGGTGAGTACACACGCCCACAGGAACAGCTCCTACCTCTCTCCTACCTCACTGGGTAGACATCACTAATCAAACCGTAATCTATCACAGCTATTACTCTGTGTGCCGAGAGAAATGCGAAGCGAGCTTGAGGGTATCACGATCGACACGATCCACGCAACAGCCCAATCCTTCGCTCAACACTCCGCACCGGTTAAATCGAGCTGCTGGCTGCAGGCTAAATTTCTAAGCAATGTGCTTCGTGAGTTCAAGGAGGCTAGTCGCACGCGACAGCCACACCCAGCTAGTATCGCAGGCACCTCACGCTACCAACAAGAACCCCGAATGGCAATGGGACACCATTCGAGTCATGACGCGAGAGACGCAACTCTACATATAGATGGAAATTCAAATCCCTCACTCCAGCCCCGGGAAATTGCCAGCGGTGATATCTCAGCGCAGCACCAGCATCCACATGCGCCACGACCACCACCAGCAGTACATCCCGAATACCCACAACATCCATTCAACACCGGCGCAATCACGACATCCACGGCCTCCACGACCACGACGCCGATCCTCAACACTGCACCAACATCAGCACCATACCCTCCTCCCGTCCACCACGCACACCAGGAATCACACCTCCACAGTGAACAACACCACCAGCAGCACCAGCAGGACTTCACATTCTCCGACGACGCAATGTGGGAAGTCATGTTCGCGAACGCAGGCTTCAACATCACGGATGGGACGTTCCTGCTCGACCATACCGCGTACGACGACTACCGCGCGCGCGATGGGGTTGGCGAGGCTACTTAGGTAGGTATTTACCTAGTTCGACAACATTGATAGATTTGAGATGTCACGGCCATTGCCCCTGCCCAGTATATCTACTTCGATTTCAGCGTTAATGTGAAGTTTTGAATTTTGCTTGATTCTGATCTGAATCTGATCACACCTCGTTGGTATACACGTACAAGCATGGTCGTCGTTATCATCGTTCCTTAGAAAACCTTCCTCCGGCTCTATTTAGGCCATTAGATCTAGGGGAGGGCGCCGGACCAGTGACGATATCCTAGCTGTATCTTTTGAATCCAAGGTCGTCCACGACCCAGAGAACACGCCCACGTCCGGCTAGCTACCAAAGACACGTCCTCTCCAATTTCAATGCTGTACGTAGGACGTGTTCCTACGCATCAATCAAGAGCGCCGCCGCTTCTTTGCATCATTCTGATCCTCGACACTGCTCAACTTCCGTCCTTTGGAGCGAGGAATATCTGCACTGTTGGGAGTCGTGACCTCGCTGCTTGGCACGCTCTCGACGCGACCGCCACCTTCGAAATCACTGATATTGTCGTATTTTGGGTCGGCCGTGCCGTCAAACCCGTAGTCGTAGTTTATTCCTCCACCTTGTTGCTGTTTAGCGGGCTGGCTGAGGTTGCCGAAGAGCTCGTCGTCGTCTTTGTAGTCGCCGAAGTCGAGACCGCTGGTGCCTCCTGCCCCTTGGCCACTTGTAGTGTTGCCAAGTCCGGTGTTGCCAAAATCGTAGTTTCCGTTGGCGTCGGTGGGAAAGTCGGCGAAGTATTCGTTGTGATTGAGGAAGTCGTCGATGTCTAATGGTGGGGGTGGGAGGGATTGTCCGTCGCCTATACCAGGGATGGATCCGGTGGGACTGAGTGGCTGCAAGAGATTTGTAAGGTTCTGTACGCTCTTATCTTGCTCGGCTTGGAGTTTTGCGAGGTGATCGAGGTCCGCGTTTGTACTGGCGAGACGTCTGTGAAAATTGGCGGGTCCAGGGGGAGGTGTGGAATTGATTAATGCGTTATCGGAACCGGACGGTTGTTGTGTAGAATTGTTGATCATACGGAGGACGTCTGCACGCTGAGAATTATTCAGTGGGCCTGTTCCACCAGAGGCTTCGAGACTGTTGAGGACATTGTTGAAATCTTGCTGAGGCGTGGATGGTGAAGCAGAGTTGTTGCGTGCATTAGCACTCTGGATCATGGTCATCATATTTTGCCGAGGAGCATTTGTGTTGAATTGTTGCATAGGTTGTTGTGCATTGGTATTTGGGCTATTGACTCCCGAGTCAAAGACCTCTTCCACATTGGGAGACATGTGGGCTTGTTGGGTATTTCGAATGTTGGGATTTGAGAGACGTGCACGTTGAGAGTATGGACTATTAGTAGCGTCACGAGGTGACAGAGTGTTTGCTCGGCCTTGTTGCCCATCAGTGAGCAGGAGGGGTTGTTTCTTAAACGACTTTGCAACGCCTGCGTCCGGACTGACAATATTCTCGAAGTTGAAGTCACCAACATCGACGACATTACCTTGGCTCGTATCAACAGGCATGGCATTACCAAACATGTTTGCAATCCCTTGTATGCCGTCATGGCCTTGAAGACTACGGTTGTAGACGGTTGCGAGGAAGGTGAGAATGGCGTTGATGGAGTTCTCGTGTCGATTATGCTGGTCTTGGAAGGTTGCGGCTTGCCCATAAAGCTGTTCATGTTCACGTTTTAAACCTTGCATCATTCGAGAGATTTGACTTTGTTGATGTCGAATCGCAGCCAATTCTCGCTGAACACTTTGGAACTGTTCTGTTGTCAAAGCCGTCTCAGTTTGGCCAAGAGTGAGTTGACCGGGTCGATTCCGCACACGAGCCTCAGGGTTATTGACGACAACATCATCGGCATAATCATCAGCATCGTCCTCGTTGGGATCATTATCTGCTTTGCCCTTTCTCTTATTGCCAGTTCCCGTGACATTTTTTGGTTTTTGAATCAGCCACAGCAGATCTTGATGACCCCTCCGGAAGTACGGGTTGGTGTATTCACTGGGACTCTTGTGCTTTTTCTCACTTGCCCTCATTGAATTGTCGGAGAGGCCCACTTTCTTGTGAAAGCCATACATGTTCAACTGTCTGACAAATGAGGCATAGTTGTTGTGCTTGAACAACTCGGGAATCAATTTCTTTGCAAACTCATCTTCATCAAGGACAATGAATGAGTTGCCATCGTCTGACCAACGGATGAGTTCAGTGTTTCTGCCATCTTCTAGAAAGCTAGAGAGAGTCAGCGCTTTCCCACAATCACGGTTCACGACACTGACCTGTTGAGTTTCTGGACAAAAGGGGGGATTTGTTTCCTCTTTCCTTGAGCCTCCCGCTTTGCGATTTGTGCCTTTGCCTCCAAGTCCGCGATATCGTCCGACCATTCGGGGTCCGGTTTGTTTGGTTGTCCGACACTGGTGTCCACCCATGAAGCCGGATCTTCATCAACACGGCCGCGAGTGGTCAGTTGTGTAGTAGGTCTCCTAGTGAGCTGGTTTGAGGTCTGTGGGTTGACTTGAGGGTAGGCGCTTGCGTTCATGGCATAGCTATTATCATTGTACTGTGAGGGGTTGTTCTGGCCGGTGGAACCCCACTGGAGAAACTGATCATTCGAAAGTTGCGGTCCGATGTTCCCATCACCAAAAGCTGTTGCGGCATTGTGCATCTGTTGTGTAAAGGTTGCAGGAGATGTACCCGGAGCAGGGCGCTTTCTTGAGAGGCCCTGTGAGGCCATTTTGGTATGGTGAGTCTTATCGCCAAAGTTGTTCTCTCATACAATGAGGAGAAAGTGATGGGTGTCCGTGTGAGGAAGAAAAGAACAATGCAGAAGATTGAACAGGACTCTTGAGTGTGTTTATGATGTCGCTAGTGTCTCGGCGATAGACTAAGGTACATGTTCTGTCTTGTTTGTGCAGACGCGACAGGAAGTGCAATACAAGGCCAGAGCCTGAGGTGAAGTGCAACCGCGGGCAGCCTTGATGCCGATGAATTGGTACTGCGCGGCACCAAGGAACAAGACGGTACAGCGTCTAACGTCGCAAGAACAGGTTCAGCGGCGGACTATAGTGAAGAACAAGAACGGCTGGTCGTTTATAGATCGAGGAATGGTGGACGGGTGATGGTGTTCAATGTTGATGTTGGTGTTGGTGAATGGTCTCTCGACTGAATTGCAGCAGCAGCCCAGGCTATGACATCGCATCCGTTCAAGTTCTGCTGCAATACCAAGACTCGACTTTCCCACTAATCAAATTTCAGGCACCGTCTTACATAATGCAGTGCATTGCGGTTCTCCCGGTTCACCGTTTACGGAATGCCCCGGATAAATCTGAGAGTGCTGCCGGAATATGGAATATGGAGTGCAGGCAGGTACGGATACTGGCCAGTGGCCACAAACAACCATCTTGCATGGCGATTGCTGCATCATTAATGTCACGGAGGAGCTACAATACCATGAGGATCTTAAAGGAACAGCAAGGGCTACGCTGAGGACGAAACTCGCTTCACTTGTCGAATACATGATTGATACCGAAACTCCTCCCCCACAGAGAGGGAGCCACGCTACTCAGTACATACGAAGGCAGATGCCTACCTGAGGACCTAGAAAGGGAGGTAGGAACAAGATATGCCCTGTCTTGTTGAGGATGCCCACGTCGAAGATGGCGAGTTCTTGTTAGCTCATAGGCATTTAATTAGGCTTGATATATATAACTACCTTGTGTCCTCTTCACGGGATGTTATTGATTGGTACCTAGCTCAAGAGAGAACATTGTCAAGCATCTGTCAATCTCTCTGCAATTCAACAGACAGATCTATCACATCAGCTGTGGCTTGCACCAGGAAGCCTGACACACGAACTGTCCATCGCCATCAGCCATGGGGCCATCCATCTCACCTTGACTGCTCTTGGGCCGCAATTGGCTTTGGGGACTCTAGGGTCTGGGGGATGCTGACCACTGACCACTGACCTTTGGCACCAGACAAGGCCTATTTTGCCCAGACCATGATGGCGTAGATGCCATTTGGCGGTTGGCTGGCCGGTAAGCGGAAGGGAGCGTTCCCTCCAGGTATGGATAAACCTGAACAACCTCCACTAACTTGACGACCTCACGACTTCGCTGCTACAATATTGATTCCTCACCTAGACTATGTATTCATAGTCTGAAGTCGTGCTCTGTGATTGTCACATACATTTGACTGCTGCTGCGGATAGACTTACCGGGCGTGTCTCTTCGCTCTCATGCATGACAAGGAACCACCGTTCGTGGCTTCTTGGGCCATGGCTATTGGGATCTACAAGTGCACGATCATTGGGTGAAGTGGCAAAGGGCCTGCAAAATAATGAGGCGAATAGTGGAACCTAGACTCAAGGATAAAAGCCCTCTGTTTGAAGGGTTAGCCTGGCTGCCGTATTTGGATCATCTACGAATCTTTGGGTGTGGTGAGTAAGGGGAGGGTCAGAACTCAGGAGGTGAGGGCAAGGCTCCGGCACGGTGGGACTGGCCCAGGCAAAGAACAAGCGCGAAAAAGTCTAGGAAGTTCTATGGAGCGATAGTGAAACCGAGATTTCGCGGGACTCGAGTGCACAAAGTGCCCAGATGAGGGTGGATTGTGTGGAAGACAATCAGCACTCTCAACAGGGGGTCAGGAGGGTAAGCTGGATAAGTTTGATTGCAGATTGCATTTTGGTTTATAAAGGAGGGTGGGCTTGGGATGATCGGGATGCAGGGTATGAAATGAATTCTCCGACCGCGTAAAGTTAGCTGGGAGTATCATTACCATTATTCGCTCTAGTCGTTAAGTACCTCTTCGCCATAGCTGCTTGATGTCTGAACCAAGGACTTGGATGAGGAGGAGGACGACTTCTTCTATCGCCAACGTAGCTTCGGAGGAAGTACCGAGCATACCTGAAGGCATAAAATCTTCAGCGTTTCCAGGCAGTGAATGCCCGTAACTGTCTTAACTAATTCCCCCTAACAACAATAGGTGAACAGGGATGACCACAGTGGACAAGAGGAGAGACTTGCGGGTAGCCTGTGGACTTGTCCCGGGTAGCAGTTGGCGTTGATTAGTGCCCGCAGCTGCGAAGAAACTAGGACCAAAAGACCACTAGCCCAGGCTTCGTCGGTGGCAGTAAAATCACCTTCGCGTGGTTCTCTGCGCTTTGCTCCTCTGTTAGTCTCCTTCTAGATTCTCCCTAATTTCAAACACCATCACACTGTTAATCCCTACTGGCAATCCAGCAACCAGTGTCTCTTGCCAGTGTTCAAGGTTGCGTCTTTCCTTGTCTGGCTGGTCACGCCTGGGTCCCTCCCAGTCTGGTCTCGTCTCCCGGGTCGCTCTTTGGCTGCACCTGCACCTGCACGGCACTGCGCTTCGCTCTCCTTCTCCATCCTCCCTCCATTCATCCTCCTCCCTCTTACTCGTACATATCTCCAGGAGAAAAAAAGATCCAACTTTTGTTGTTGTCCTTTCTTTTTCTTCCATTCCCCAAGACATTTGTCGCCTGCACCTTTACTCCATACCACATCCTTGATTCCTCTCGAACGGCCCTCTGCCATCGTCTGTCCTTAACATGCCTCTTTCCCTCAGCTAGGCCCTTTCGTGTCCACCTTTTTTTCTTTCTCGAGGGAAAGGCATAATTTGGGCATCCAACAACCATCCTGGTCCCCGAGTCACAAAATCGCTTGGTCCACCATCATCACCAGTCCATCTCAATCACGACTACTCAATCTTTGCAATATTCATCGATTTGCAATTGCCTACACCCAGTATCTGTACCTGTCATTCCCTGTCTTGACTAGATTCAGACCGCATCGAGTTTCACGCTTCCACGAATCCATATACCCCTGCTGTCTGTTTTTTTCGCGACCGCCACTCTGGGTCATTTCACATTCAAGAAGCCCTTCTATCAAGCCAAGCTCGCGTCAAATCGAGTACAATTCGACATCCCCCGATCGCAGCCACGGAACCTGCCATCAATTACCAGGTGACAATAAACCTGTCAAGTGGTCAAGATCTATTCTTTTCAACATGGCAACATTCTCAAACGCCTCCGAGGCTTTCTATGAAGATGTCTCTGGAACTTCTCCGAGGGCATTTCGAAACCCTCAGATGAATCGTCCCGTCGGTCGAAATGACGGTTATGGAAGCATGCATAACCCTATGTATGGGGGTGAAGGATCGCTCCCTACAATGCGATTTGATAACATGAGAGATGGTTTCAATGGCCAGATGCAGAATCCTGCTGCAGGCAACATACACTTTCCGTATGATGCTGGTGCCGCGCAGACCTGGAGTTCGAGTGGTGGTTCATTGCAATCCTTTGGAAACGGATTGAATGGTATGGCTCAAAATCCAAATTTTGGCCCGTCGCGTAGCGTTAAGCCATCTCGTGGCCGAGCTGGAATCTCGAATGTGAGTCGCCGGTTATTCCATCGCACTTGCGAGCATGACTAATTGCCCCTTTCTTTCAGCTCTGGTTTGATCAACCCTCCCAGTTTCAACAACAAGCGCCTCAACACCCTTCCCTCCTCCCTCAGAGATCAGGCCCTCAAGGTCGCAACGAACATCAACATCAGGATGACGATGACGAACTGATACCGACTGCCATTGTCATCAAGAACATCCCATTTGCTGTCAAGAAAGAGCAACTTGTCCAGTTGATGGTCGATATGAATTTGCCCCTGCCTTATGCCTTCAACTATCATTTTGATAATGGTGTCTTCCGGGGTTTAGCGTTTGCGAACTTTACTTCTCCACAAGAAACCGAACAGGTGATTCAGGCACTTAATCACATGGATCTCAGTGGTCGCAAGTTGCGGGTCGAGTATAAAAAGATGCTACCTCTAGCTGAACGTGAACGTATCGAACGTGAAAAGAGGGAACGCCGCGGCCAGCTAGAAGAGCAACATCGTCCTGTGCCACAATCGCAGCTTCACAATCAGGTGTCCATGTCCTCCTTGTCAAGGAATACGCCATCTCCATTATCACATCGGAGTGCGAAACCTGGTAAGTCATGGACCAACAGCGTCTCTCCAACCGAGCTAATCAACCAAGATATCGACATGAATGACGCAAAAACTCTGGAGTTCTATACCAACATGACTTTGTTCAAACAAGACCCCAGTCGAGAAGTCCTGATCTTCCCACCAACCTTGGAACCTCATCACCGCCGTGTTGTCCATACCTTGGCTCATCACATGGGCTTGATGCATACGTCGCGGGGTTCGGGTGAGGCACGTCAGGTCCATATCCATCGACCTGCTCCTGGCACCAATGTCAGCCCGCCAACAATTCCAGGGGCTTTCGGCCCTGGTGAGGGTCTTCGTCAAACTTTGGCCCGATCCTCCACCGCCGATTTCAGTGAAGGTCGGCAGTATGAGTCTCCTGCCTTCAACACTCTGCGAGGACAATCTTCCGTCGGACTCCTCGATGTCCTGGACACCAATGCTTTTGGAAGGACCGCCGATAGCAATCTGCGTAATGCCAAGTCGTTTGCAGACCTCCGATCCTGGAGTCCTTCTCCGGTTCCATCATCTGCCAGCTTTCCTGCTGCCCTGCAGACCAACGGGGCTCGTCTACAAGCATTGAACGATACTGCCGGCTCAAACACTCCGACTTTGACGACGCCCACCACAGGTCCCGCTGCCCCAGGTTCGAACCGCGATGAACCGTTTCTGATTTCTGGCTTTTCCAACCTGTCCATGGGTAATGGCAACCCCAGTCAGACCAGTCCCAGACGCCAACGAAGCTTTTTCGGAACCGAGGCTGAATGGAACAATGCCCAATCTTTCCAGGCCACTGCTCCCATCGGCAGCAAACGCACGGTGAGCATGGGACCGGAGACTGGCAACCCCAATAACAACCCAGTCCGTCAATCCCGTGGCCCTGGTGTTAATAATGCCATTGGATTTCGCCGCCAAAATGGGCGTGGCAGTGACGAATTAAGAGCAGCCGCAGCTGCGATTGCGGAATGAACCCCAAATCCCACCATATACCCCATACCCCTTTGATGACGCTCATGCAGAGCAATGACGAGTCAACGATGCACGAAACGACGCACGACGCACCCCTCTCGAGAGAAAAAGTTAGACGCATAGGGCAGTCACATGACTGCATGATTTGGACTACAGAAAAAGATTGTTGTTACGAATGACAGGGATTACGGATGGGTGCGGCATACAGCATAATTGTTTTGCACTTTTCTCACGAATGACATCCTGTGGAAGAATGATTGAACCTTCTGGATTGTACACTTTGATCTCCGTGGATGTGGGTGATGGAGAAGGGTGGTGCATAACAAGGCGTTTTCGTACCCAAGTTCTCCCATGCGGCAAGAAGAATACCTCAAACTAGTTGAAATGTGGTTTTATGTTTTTGTTTGGGACTGGATTGTGCATTGTTTGTGGAGGAGCTAGTCTCCGATTTTGAATTATCTGACAGAGAATGGGTTTCATGTATTAGGTATCCGTACACTCGTTTTAATCATTTGGCAGTGACCCTGATGGGACTGGGACTGCAGTTAATAATCCGTGGTAGTCACAGCAGACTCTCAACTTGAGCAGATAGGAAAAATCCGATGGTGATGATATCTTTCGAATGTTGTTTCGTATGGATGGCAGCCCCGGAGATTACATAAGGAAATGCCAAGTCCTTGCCGATCTTGATATCTCGCTGGGCTGCAGTCCCCTTTAACCGGACGACCACCATGAACAGAGAAGACCATATGACTCACTGTGTCGACTTGCTCGCAATGAATAACAATACAACAATGTGGCCGGCCGGCTTTGCAACGTTGTTAGATCTCGTGGTCACCGCATGGTTATCAAGAAACATGCGACCAGAATGTCACTGGCACTGGCAATCACTTGTTGACCAAGCTCCTACCACGGCGCAAGGCTAATAATCCAGTGGAGTACTTGTTCAATTACAAGGTAAAATATGTATCTATCAGCTGATCTCCCCAAGCTTGACATCTAGGTACCCGTCCGAATCAACATCGGATCCAGGCCCCAGCCGGCCGTGCCTGGCGACCTTTATGTCGTGAATTGCTCATTGTTGTTCACCTCGCAACCCCGCCAAGATCAACCACGCACGCCAGTGCCCAGAACGGCTTAGCGGCCGGGTTGTTGTTTTTCCTTGCAGTGAGTCCGTCGAAACACAACCACTGCACCCGCTGCGCTTCTTGCGCTTCTTTCCCTCCCACCTTGTCACTTCTTTGAAACCACCCACATCAACATCCCGACGCGTTGGTTCTTACATCGTTCCATCAGAACTTTATCACCGTCATCGTCCACCACACCACGATTATCCTCTACTCTTAACGGACAACTACTATCACAATGGCAGGAGGTAAAGGCAAGAGTATTGGCGGAAAAGCCACTGGCGCGAAAGACTCTTCCAACAAGACTCAGAAGTCCCACAGCGCAAAGGCTGGGTTGCAGGTGAGCTTGCCACCCACATCCGTCCTACACTTTAAGTCATGTTTCTACATCATCGCAATGCTGTCGTCGATAAGTTCATGCGCAGCTTCACGCGTTTCATCACAAATCAGCTTGGTGAAGTGTAGCCTGTTGCGCGCATACCACTTTTCGACAGAGGCAAAGCGCAAGACCCGCCGAATCGCGCACCGTCAATTGAGTCATCAACAAACTGACAACTTCCACTTTCTAGTTCCCTTGCGGTCGAGTTAAGCGATTCCTCAAGAATAATACTCAGAACAAGATGCGTGTTGGTGCCAAAGGTTGGTCTGCCATAAAACTTCATCAGCAGATATAGAGACTGACCCGTTCGCTTGTCCAGCTGCCGTCTATGTTACCGCCGTTCTCGAGTACCTGACCGCTGAAGTCCTGGAACTTGCAGGCAATGCTGCCAAAGATCTCAAGGTCAAGCGTATCACTCCCCGACATCTTCAATTGGCTATTCGAGGTGACGAGGAACTGGACACATTGATCAGAGCCACCATTGCTTTCGGAGGTGTCCTACCACACATCAACAGAGCACTATTGTTGAAGGTCGAGCAAAAGAAGAAGAGCAAGGTTGATGCTTGAGGATCGTCAAACCCCAGGCAAAAACCCTAGCATCAACATTGGCCAAACGAATCAGTTCGCTGATGCAACAAACTTCTTGAAAAACTCGGCGTCAATTGGGCATCTTGTGGCGGATTGAGTTGTGGCGTTGACGGCTCGGAAGGGGGATCGAGATGAGTGTACGATGAAGAAATCCACTACTTGTTTTATTTTTTCTTCCCTTGCTATAACAGACCAGAAAGGGAGATATGGATCACAGGAGGTTATTATCGCGTTGTACGCCGTTACCACATCTTTTCGGCATTTCTAGCTCAAGCCTGAGTTGGGTTCCAAATCATTCCACTTCAAGTTTGTATTGGACTTAGACCACTCTTACACACAAAACAAATACCCCCAGATGTTCCCCACTTGTGGTTGATCAATCTTATCCAGGTCCAATGAAGCCTTTCTCAATGGTGCTTTACAGCATATTCTCTCCCTGAAGTGACGCCTACTTCCAGGCAACAACCCCTGCTCATGGGTTCTGTGTGCCTAGTCAGCCTGATCAAGCTGCAGCATCAGGTTTTGTTCATCCGGAACTGGAAATCTTTCCGGCCTCACTTTATATGTTGCTTGCTCGCTCCTTCCTTCGCTCCTTCATCCAAGTCTTCCGCGTGATCACAAGCCGCTCCTTCCTCCATGGCAGATCGAAGTGGTGTTGGCCCTGCCATCGATATTGAACACGTTTACCTTTTTGTCTCCTTCAGTTTCGGCTCCAAAGCTTCGACACCGGTTTGAATATGCCCTTTAGACATCTGCCATGGACTGGCTCCAACGCAACGCTTCGTGTAGCACCCTGCATTGTACCTGACCATGCCCTTCCTTCCTATCGTTTCTTCTGATCACAAGTCCTCCTCCTGCATGAATGATGGACATTCACCTGTTCGGTCAAAGAAAAGCTCCTGTCTCGACAACCAATATCCATGTACATGCGCGAGCACAATGCACACACCCGTCATTTCCGGTACTGTGTTCCGCCTCTGCTCTGGGACCGTTCGACCTTGACCGCATTCCTGGCCGTTGATTCGAACGTAACAGCTCGTTATGCGCGCTTCAAAGCAAACAAACAAACACACAAAGCCAATCAACGTTTGACCCATCACAGTGTGGACCGTCACAAAAACACAAGAGGTTGGGCCTATCACCATTGGACAGTTCTCTCAATACCTCTGTTCGTTTGGATACCTTGGTCTATATTCGAAACTCGCATCTCCTGTGCCCCCATATGGCCTCACAATGCTCCTGTTACCTGGGAGAAGATGGGTTCCGCCAGCAAGCATGGGCCAGATCATCTGTCGACTCTTCGCTGGGAGCTTGACCGTCTTTTGTTCTTTCTCAGCTGAAACATCAATCGACTTAAGTCTGCCCCGTACGACTTGAACAAGGCGTCATGAGACCTCGACGATCGAGTCACAACTCTACGGGTATCGGTAAGCTTCCTCTATTCTCTCTCCTGCTCCGCCTAGGAGTCTGGAACCTATAAAAGCCAAACACTCCCAGCCCAAATCTCTCTCCATCAACCCCGGCTGTTCAGCAGAGCACATCTACAACGGACGACATAACAGACATTTAATCATAAAGGGATCTTCATCACCCAAAGCCCAAATTATCTCCAGACTCCAGATTTGCTTAGGTTGCCGATGGCCACGCAATCTTTCAACTACCTCACTGCCACTGATTACAGATTTCGTACAATTTATACTTGACACAAGCGGTTCGCTGCTCAGTCCACCAGGGGAGTACAACATTCATCATTCTCGAATTCAGATCTAAGGATACATACATTGTAGGGTGAGCCTCATCCATTAATTAGCATGCTTCTGCATCCAAGCGATACAAGCACACTCATTGGGCGTGCCGAGGAGTTTGTTTGTATTCAACCCAGAGGATACACCAATGGCCAGTGAATTTCTAGCTCTTTTCCCATGCCTCCTACCCTCCGTGCAACTTTACAATCCACCAATAACCCGGACTCTTGTATTTCAACATTTATGACTAACCACATTCCATTTAGGAAATCGTTATAGTAAAACGTGCTAGAAATGGCACCTAGACCAACAATAGTGGATGACGATGATTTTCTCTATTTCTCAGATGGAGAAGAACGTGGAAGAAGACGAGGTAGATACTCCCCAAGCTTGCATGTGAGATTCACCAGCTCAACTCGAGGCGGTTCATTAGACCTCGGTTACGTATATTCCCCAGATAGGTAAGATGGAATGAGCTCTTATGACTCTGGTACCCAACATGTTTAGTCCATAATGCTAAATATGGGAAATAGAAGCAGAAGCCGTGACCGCAGTCTCGACCGAATCACGCGTGATTCATTAATGTCAGGCGCACTACGACACGGTCTCCGCTTGTCCTGTCAACATGGACGCACAGGAGAGTGCTGGGAATGCAAATTCGCCGGCGACTTCGAAGAAGACCGAGGACGAAGCATGGTCCGCCACTCTGGCATCCGATGGGACGCACTGTCACCCTCACCTAATCGTAACCGATCATTAGAGTTCTATAAATACGACCATTGGGACCATTCCGGTGCATGCGGGAATTCCAGCTACTACCGGCGTGGCGGACGCTTGCGGTCTCGATCCCGCTCTCGCTCTCGAGGCTACGGCTTCGGCTCTTTGCGGTGGGAGAGAAGCAGATCCCGCTCGCGGTCGCGCTCAGGGTCCGTCTCTCCCTATAGCCGCTCACCTCGCATTTCAAACACAAACAACATCAACATCAATCTGAGCCAGGGAGGGGGCATCTGGCATCGCAAAGACCGCCGTAAGCGCAGGGGACATCGAGGGTATAGATCACGCTCGAGATCCGGGTCGCGCGAAAGGAGCTGGCGGGGAGACTGGCGTGGCGACAATAGGGGTGTCATTTACCAGGATTTTCGGAGGGAATACACCACATGGTAGCTCTCATGATTAGGCTTGTTGTCTTTCTTCCTTTTGTATTCAAACTCGAGAAGGCCACTTGATTGGCGTTGGGGAAGAGTCCAAGCGCTGGTTTCTTCCTTGACGAATGATACATGAAGCATGGAGCAGGTTGAAGAAAGGCGCTTCATGTAGGAAATAAGGGTGTCCCCAAAGAATTTCATGGATTTCAGATTGAATTGAGCGATCGAGAGCTGAGAAACCCACTCGAAGTTTTGACACCGATATTTTCCCCACCACGCTATACTTTCCAGCAGTGAACGATCCAGCGCTTAATCTAGATAGGTAGGTCATTAGGCAGAAACCCGAACAGGAAGGAAGCACCTCTAACGTGCGTTCAACTAGATGAACTTGAAAAGCCCTTAGATTCGACCTGCTGTTTAGCCAACCGCCGGACTCTCTAAACGACACTTGCCCCAATCCTGTGCGGTCTCGAGGCATTCTTCATCGACCAAACCGACTGATGTGCTCGAATCGCAAAACCTGTTACTTGATGATGCTTCGATGTCGATGTCTGCAACTGGCTTTGTGTAATGTCATCCTCTCGGGAGCGTAGCTCTGCTGTATCGTGTCGTGTAGTTGGTAGCTCGTGTCCTGTGGATAATTGCTCTGGCCTGCTCTGTTTTGGCTGTGCTGTGCTGTGCTGTGCTGTACTCGGATCTGATTTAATTGTTGGGGTTCTACTCGTAGCAGTCGAGCTCCTTCCCTCGGCGAGGTTCAACTGATAATATCATTCCCGCCCTCCCGCAGCCAGCCGTACACCCAAACCCAACCCAGTGAGCGACTTTTCGCAATCGGCGTTCAGTCATGTTTCTTTCGGCACTGCTTTTTGCGCCTGAGTCAACAATCAACGGGCACTCGTGCTCCGATGCCGGGCCGCCGATCGACTCGAGTCCTCAAGCTTGATAGAGTCGCATCTGAGTCCAGCAAGTAACTCAGAATCAAATTCAAATCGTCTTCCGCGGTTTCTTCGCCCGCGCGCGATCCTTGTAGTCGGTGTTATACACATGGTGGTCGTCAGCGCGTCGAGGCCGCTTGAGTCCATTCCCACCACCGCCAAGTCCACCGCGTCCACCACCGAGGCCGGCCATCCGATCGTGCTTCTGCTCCATCTCCAGGCGGACGCGGCGCATCTCTTCGTCGGAATCTTCGGCAGCGGTCGATTTCCTGGATGATTTCTTGGTCTTGACACCGGCTCCTCCGCTGTCGCGCTGTTGCTGTTTCTGCTTCTGCCGGCGTTGGCGCGCATATGTGTTTTTCTCGTTGTCTTCGTCTTCGTCGTCTGCGGAGGCTGATGGGTCACTGTCGGCGTCGGAGTCGGAGTCGGCGGAACCGTCGGAGTCGGGTTCCGTGCTGGGTGGTTCGTCGTATTGTCCGAAATCGTCGATACGGACCTTCTTGGGCTTCGGTTGTTTTGTCTTCTTGGACTTTTCCTTGCTGTCGCCGGCACCTTTGGGCTTGAATGCTCCATATGTCTGCCGGCCTGCGGGTTGATCGTGCCAGATGTCTTCCTCCGAATCCTCGTCATCGTCGTCGTCTTGGTCGGATTCGACTTCGCCTAGACCTGGAATTCCAGAGGAGCCATTGGAGTTGCCGTTGCCGTTTGCGTCGTTCATAGGCTTTGGCTTTGCCTGCTGGCGTGGAGTTATCTTTACATCCAACACCCATTCCGTGTCTGCACCTTCGGCTCGTGAGAAATTGCTGGTTCCTACTCTCCTCAAAATCTCCGGGAGTGTTGTAGGTGGTTGTTGGGCGTATTTGATCTCTGATCCGTAGGGTGTGCCGGGCGTGGAAGACACCGAGGGAGAGGATGCGGCGCTGGTGTCATTGGTCTTTCTGCGCTTAAGAGCTGGCTCGGAGGATGGTGTCGATGGTTGTGACACTGCGGCGCGTTGCATGAACTGTGTTTAGTTAGCGAGGAGAAAACATATAAGGCAATAGTGCGCAGCTAGAGACTCCCAATCACTAGTGCATTGTTGAGACATACCTTCATGTTCAGCAGTCGGGAAGACATTGATTTTGATTGCGGTGGCCGCGCATTCGGCGTGCTGAGACCCCCTGACATGTTGAACCGCGTATTTTTGAGATCGGATGTTTAGTGTCAGTCTCTGCGGTCCTGTTGAGTCAAGTCGTGACAATCTAGCATGTGCCGCTTGTCACGTTTATGCAGCTTCACCTTTGTCCTGCAGAACGCAAGTGCAAAGTCCTTTGAAAGGAACGGTCCGTGTTTACGCCAGCCCAAGCTAGGTCGCTCGAGAAAACCTCACAGTGACGTGCAGTATGTCCGAGGCCAAGGCGGGAAGCAGGCACCCGTGAAAACCAATGTCAAAACTGACAAAGGCCAAAATATCTCATGCACGATGAGTGAGAAAGAAGTCGAAGTGGGACGACGGGGTTTGACATTTGCACCACGGATATGAATCTCCGGAGTCAAGAGAAGGAATTCTGGAACATCGTTTCACCGGCGATAACTGATTATGGGCTTAGCGGGTGAAAGATCACGATACCATTTGATCTTCACCCGGAGTGAGTAATCCCTGTTTCCATATTCGACTCTTTCCATTTATGGGCATCTGCTTCCAGGCCAAGATGACTGCTGCAATATTCTGGGAGAATGTTCCATCTGTTTTGGGCCACGACTGGCGGCACGGAAACGCCTTTGGTCATTGCACTGGTCTCACGATGGGAAAAGCCTCTCCCTGATGATGTGGCATGCGATGGAATATGCAAGGCTGAGAAAGCCGAATTTTTGTTGAGGCAATTAAAGATGATCGAAATCATGAGTGATATACATAGCCTCGGTTTGCCCTGTTTGATGTCTACCATTTGTTCTCCCCTTTACGCAGGAAGCTTAAGTCACCCCTGTTCATGATCTCCTGATCGAAGAAACCAGTGCTTTCGCCTCATAAACTTCCAGCATTGTACACAGGCAGATTATTGTGAAGTTTCACAACAATGGAAACACCTCGGTCATTCATGTCGGAGAACGACAGCACCGGGACTCCTGATGCTGAGGTCCCAAAAGCGACCATGTCGTTATCGTCGCGAATGTACTTGCGCTTCACATCCGAAGTGGATCCAGGATGGGCAGATTTGATCCTATTAGGTTGTTTCTTTGTCGCAGGCATAGTCGACAGCGTAGTGTATAACAAATACACTTGCTTCGTCAGTATGCAGACAGGTATGCAGCAGCACAGCTCATCCTGCTCTTTGAATATACGCGTCACCAGTTGGTGAGAGACAACGAGCTAATAGTTGCATCGAACCTATAGGCAATACCATCTTCCTAGGTTTAGGCGTCAGCGATCTACCAACCAATTCACCCAAGCACAACTGGGTGAAGTCCCTCGTGGCCATTTCCTCATTTAGCCTTGGAGCCTTCTTCTTCGCTCGCTATCATCGTTACCTCGGTGGATTAAAGCGCTGGGTCATCATGTCTTCCTTTGCTATTCAAACAGGACTCATGCTCATCACCTCGGCGCTGATATCCTCGGGCATCGCTACGAAGGGTCCACAACACAGCAATAACCCTGCCTCGACCGACAATGGTGGCGGCTATTTCGATTGGGTGGAATTGTGTCCCATTGCACTATTGGCATTCCAGAGTGCCGGCCAGATCGTGGCAAGTCGCGTGTTGAAGTATAACTCCATGCCGACTTTGGTCTTGACCAGTCTGTATTGCGATCTGTTCAGTGATCCGAACCTCCTCACTGCAGGACTATTCGAGGATCCTGATAGGAATAGAAGGGCCGCCAGTGCGATAGCATTATTTGTGGGTGCTTTGATTGGTGGTGTTCTATCGAAATCATCTTGGGGGTATTCCGTAGCTTTATGGATCGCCACGGGTCTCAAGGCTTGTATGGTCATTGCTTGGTTGTTGTGGAAACGGAAACCACAAGACCAGAAGTAGAACTCATGTTAAGATGTATGTTCTCGGATAATATCAGGGGTTCTATGATCACTCAGACTAAGCCCAGGCTAGCACTGCCTAGGTATCCAGTGAACCAAATGCCTCTGGATGCTGCCAAGCCCTGATCGATGAGATCTTCACCTCAGTCCTATTTCTTCTCTCCTTGAATTGTTGCCACGACTTTCCTCAAGTGTTTCGCTGCTCGAAATTCTAGATACCAAATCCCTTGCCATGTCCCCGTGTTCAACTTTCCGTCTGTGATAGGGATAGTAACACTTGCACCAACCAATGCAGATTTAATATGTGCCTGTGATGTTTCTTTCCATCAGTAAACGCCCCTCAAAGGACATTGTAGCTGTTCTTGCCGTGCCATATAAAATGGCTGGAGCCAGGACCAAAGACCCCGAAAAGCAACGACTTACCGGCATATCATCGAGCCCTTCGGCGGAATGCCTATACAGGGTTCCCTTGCGATCCTCCGGCGCAATTCGATCGAGCGCATCGCTCATATCCTCGCGCACATCCGAATCCCAATTCTCGTTCAGCGACAGCGCACACGATGTATGCTGGACGAAGAGATGGAGAATGCCGACCTTGTACTCCTTGAGTTCTGGCAGCGATGACACCACTTGGTCGGTGATCAAGTACGAACCCCGCGATTTGGCGGGCAGCGTGAATGTCTTCTGGAACCACGACATTGTTGGGCTCTGAGGGGGCGATAGTACTGCTGCCGATAATGGAGAAATGGTTGACGTTACTAGTGGTGTGCAACCTGTGGGGCAGTCGATGGTTGTAGGGAGTGGGGGTAATGGTCGCGGTGATTTGAAGATTGACCAGAGAAGGACGAGAAGACGGAATGGGAGGTAGAGTAGATATTGTGGGAGGCCGGGGAATAAAGCGATGAGGAATATGGTCGTCGCTATCACGGTGAAATACTTATGTTGCGATATCGTGGTCAAAGACATACTATTTGGTTTTAATGAGATTACTTTTTCCCATCGGAGTGGTATTTCGCTCGTACTACGTCATTTGATATCATGGCTTGGCGAAGTATCATCAGGCTGAGCAAGGCCACGCCGTGACACAGATCCAAGAGGGAATAAATTGATAGACACCTAGTGGTGACGGACCTCATTCTCAAATATTGCTCCTCGTGAAATAAAATTGCGAGGATAGCCTGGTTTGATATGACTCGCGCATGGGACGAGTATAATTTCTTGTGACTGCTGTATAACCCCGTGCCTTCTGAATATCACAATATGTACAATGCAGGTTTCGGACTTCATGCTCCGAATCATCTCTGTTGGAGAGGTTGACCACCTACACTTTCTGCATCGTGCTCTCCCTTCAACTGAGGATAATGTCCTTGAATCTCACCCTTCTGGGTGGGGCTGCTTGGCATCTGAACTTGTGCTGGATTGTTTGTTGGCGCTAGAGGATATGTAGTTGATGGTAATGATTCGAGGTGCTTCTTGTGTGCCTTTTGAGCCTGTTGTTGTTAGCTATTTGTTTCCAATGCTCTAATCACATGTGGCACTCACATATGGGAGACCGCAATAGGTACACCAGCAAATCTGTGGTTTATCCACGTTGATGAAAATTCTTGGGTGCCCCAGAGGACCACCACCACCGTCGCAGGCTACACTGCGGCCTTCAACCCAACGAACTGGTTGTTGGTGAATAAGGTCGATTGCGGCATAGGGAGCAGGCTATGAGATTATCTCAGTCTTGTTCTCTTATCTCCCTATCCCATCATGGATCTGCTTACCTGAGAAGCAATGATAGTTTGTTCAAATCTTGGTCCTGTCATAGCTAGTTCTCTCGGCATCTGACTTTTCGACCAAGTGTTCGCTCTGTTGGGACTTTGCATTTGTCGTTTATGTTCTGCTTCAGGAACAAGCTCCTTATATGGCTCATCTCTGGCACCCATGGCGTCCACTGGTGTCTCATTGGTCTGGGAAACATTCTGCGTCTGTTTTGGTGCAGAGGAAACATTGGCTTGTTGCAGGTTCTCACCAGTACCTGGTGATTGTAGGAGAAGTCGGGATGAGGATGTGAAGGACCGTGTGGCTGTTCGCGTAGCATATGTCGCGATCCTCGGAATCCTCGTCCGTAAGCTGGGGACTAACGAAGCCATATTGTGCTGTTTGAGTCCTCTAAGCCGGCTTGGAGGTTCAGGGTTTCTTGTTGATTCGAACACACCTGGAATCTGCGCCCTGGAGGTCCTTCGAGCTCACTGCCGCGACTACCAATCGGAGATGGTCTAAATCTTGTCTTGGCATTTATAGGGCGGACCGTGAAACCCAGGAAGTACAATTTATGCTCCACAGGAGTCGGCCCACTGTTTCTCCAGTCCCGGGATCTCGTCACGTGGCATGATCAATCAAGGCAGCTTTGGTGGACGCGGCTGGCTCACTGCTTGGACCGCGTAGAAGGTTGTCGTCTACCAACATTTCTCAGACTCCAACTTGACCAAATCCTCCGCATTTCACTGTCGATTGCCATTCCTTGACGAACCTGAAGTCACCACCTACTCACATCTCGTCTCTAGCGAATCCTCTGCAAGAACCATGGCTTCAGGCTACGATCGTGCTCTTTCAGGTATGCTCAATCCAATCCACTCGCATTCAATGATATGTCACTAATTATTGTAGTTTTCAGGTTTGCAGATCAACCACGAGACTATTCGTGCACCTGCTAACATAAATCAGTCCCGATGGTCACGTCTTTCAGGTCGAATATGCGCTGGAAGCAGTCAAGCGGGGAACCTGCGCCGTAGGCGTCAAGGGCAAAGATATTGTGGTGCTGGGTTGTGAAAAGAGATCGGCCATGAAGCTCCAGGATACCAGAATCACACCCTCCAAGATCGGTCTACTAGATACCCACGTCTGTCTCGCTTTCGCCGGTCTAAATGCGGATGCACGGATATTGGTCGACAAGGCCAGATTAGAAGCCCAGTCTCATCGCCTAACGGTTGAAGATCCTGCCAGCATCGAATACATCACAAAGTATGTGGCTGGTGTTCAACAACGATACACACAGAGTGGTGGTGTCCGGCCTTTTGGTATCAGCACGTTGATCATTGGCTTCGACAAAGGCAGCACTGAACCCAAACTCTATCAAACAGAACCCTCGGGCATCTATTCCGCATGGTATGTGATGTGTGATTTGAGGCTACCTAGTACTAAACTTCGAAACAGGAAAGCGAATGCCATCGGTCGATCCAGCAAGACAGTACGCGAATTCCTCGAACGCAATCATAAAGATGACATGGATCGAGAGGCCACAATCTCCCTCACCGTCAAGTCATTATTGGAGGTCGTACAAACCGGTGCAAAGAACATTGAGATTGCTATCATGGCTCCTGGCAAGACGATCGAGATGCTCCCCTCGGAACAGATTGAGCAATATGTCAAGACAATTGAAGCTGAAAAGCAAGAAGAGCAGGCCAAGAAGAAGCCGGGTCGACCAGGCCAGTCTGCACTTCCCACTCGCCCTCTAGAGGGAGGTGAAGGTAGTGGTGATATCTGATGAGCCACGCACTTTTCCAAAAATGTACATTGCATGAGCGACTGGAGTCCGGTATTAAATGGGTCCGAACAAGAGACGTTGATTCCCCAGTCCTCAGCCGATGACCAGAATTCCTTCTTTGTGATGCCTTCTGGCACATCTCTACCATACGTGAAGTCGTGATGTCTTACAATGCTCCACACTGTGACATGAAATGGTCAGAAAGCCACGGCAACCATTCCATGACGACTTTGCATAAAAGTAATCCCCTTTCGAGTACAAACGCCTGAAACTAGAATGCATGTTTGAACCTCTCGAAACGAACATGCACTAGCCAATCTTTGTATCCAGTTCTTTGATGTCGAATATCGTCTGCTGGTCCTGCTGTCTCGTGCGCTCGTCCTTCAGCATCCTAGTGACAAGAAACCCCGTAAGCATATGAATCACGCACGAGGGCTCAACAATTGCATCTGAGCAAGAGAAAGGAAGTGCTCCGTACCTCGCGTCAACCCGAGTATCCTCACTCTCGATCTTCAGGGCAGCTTTCGGCGTCAATGCATCGATCACGAAATGGTTATCGCAATTCGGACAGTATTCGTCACTGTTCGTTGTCAAGGAATTTGCTTGTCAGCACGTAGGCCCTTCGTCATTTGCTCGTCTGAGAGGCGGATGTTGCGTCAATGGCCACAACGGAGTCCACGTCGACAAGACGAAGAGAACAAACATCGACTCACCTATCTTCCCACTCCTGTGTATTCTTCCTAAACGCCTTCTTGCATTTTTTGCAGATGAACGTCTACCTAGAATTAGTAAATTGACTCCCTTTGCCTGCTATCACCGGCATCAACAACGAGATACTGCATACCATATCGAAACTTTGCAGCAGCGGATGATTCTCCTGCTCAGCGTGACATTCTGCGCAATCGAACCACTTGCGGCCTGCAGTATATGTTAATATAATCACGGTTGGATTTTATCCTGATAGGGACAAGGCTCGTTGTCGGGTCAGAGACTTACAGCATGGCGAGCGGATTGACACCTGTGCGTTTAGGATGTGTTTACTGAAAAGATTGATTTTGTTTAGTCAAGTTTTCGGGCTATAATAGATATCGTGTGTGCTCAATAGGGGTTGGAGGGGAGGACATATTTACCACATATTTCGTGGAAAAAGGTCTGCGCGGCAGACTTGGTAGTCGTCTTTGAGAGTGAGATAATTCTTCGAGGAGGTTTGGATGGGCTCGTAAATTTTCAACCTATCTTTGACCTTCACAAGAGTTTAGGGACTACTTAGAATTTCAGAGATAGTGCAGCGTGCTGTATTTCTTGGAAGACGTGAGTGGCATTCATGTTGAAAGATGGCGGAAGCGCGATATTGATAAACCTGAGTCATGGTGATATTCAAATGACGATTTCCTGACTCGCTGCGATCCTTCTCCGCCCGCGTATTCACTGCCTCATACTCTTCCTTAAGCACTGAGGCTACAGTACTGCGTCTACCTAGGTAGAGAACATCATCCATGGAGAGTGATTCTCAGATCTATAGCGATGCTCAATATCCCCTATCTTCCATCTCAAGCTTCATGTAATCGCAGCTGAGTATTTTGTCACAAATCTATTTACGTGCCGTTAGCTCTCCTCCTTGCCTATCGGCAGTCCTGGGTAGCATGTTATAACATGCCATGACTTATTCCTACCCTCGTGGAGTACTACTCTGCATAGTCAATTATAGACAGCTACTCCTGAAGGCAGATCCTTGCATGTTCCTCGATTCCCGGATCTCCCTCGACTCCGCTGCAAGGCTGAGGACCCCTTTCTTGAGAAACATGACGTCGACGTTAACGATTCCCTACAATTCGGAATTATTGGCTTGCAGTGTTGGAATTATCGCATCTTTCTGTGGGGTTGTCATCTCCTTGTCGGTATGCTTGTCTTGGAAAGAGAAGGGATTTTTGGTGGAGAAGCATTGATCAGCTTGTCAAAAGGGAATAGTTAAGAGCAATGGATCATTCAAGCCGACTAGAAGAAAAGTTCTTACTATATGCTAGTGGTCATCGGGGAAGCCTTTGTAGACCTCAGCTAAAGTCCTGACTCAATGATGGGGTCCAGCTGCCCTCCTTTCCTTTCCACTCGCCAAGTAGAGATCAGCTCTCTGATCCAAAAGCGGATCATCACTGACATCAAAGCCTGCGACCCTGGGAATAGGATCGAAGATTAGCTTGCGCTGCTCCTCATCGTTATCATCTGAAACCTTCTCCAAAGTGATTGTCCCCAACTTCACCAATTTTCGCTCCTCGGGCCAACGCTCAGTCGCGTCATTGGTAATATCGCCCTCCTCAGCAATCTGCACCCACCAGCTGAAGCTTACACCGCCGTCGATGATGCGTGTCTGAATCTCGTTGTGCAGATATGCTGCATCCTTGGCCTTGGCTTCCTCATCGGTGATGTATGATTCACCGGCGTCGGGCGTGATGCGGTAACGAACTAACGTCTCCTTGCCTTCCGAGGAAATGAGTTTGAACGCGTTGACGCCGAAGTATTTCTCCGTGCCGAAACTAGTAGGGAATGGTTTTGGCGCTGTCACGAAGGCGAGAGCGGAGGGTGTTTTGCCGAGGAATGCTTCGATGGGAGATGGATTTTTGGGCGCATCTGGGGCGGAAGACGCGCCGATCGCACCCAGTAGTGCGAGGAAGCCGGCGCCGGAATTTACTGGGAAGAATGGTGTCGAGTGTGCGATAATGTCGGTATGTTGTCTCCGGCCGTCCTTCTCAGGGAGGGTAAATCGGACAGCGAAGCCCTTTGGATTGGCATTGGCATCGTTGTCAGGTATTGTGGGAATACCAGTGGAGTTGGAGAAACGCCCAATGACTGGTGTGGACGGAGCGTTTAAATGAGGAGCTGAAGATAGAGATGCTGCTTCTGGTGTTGGTTTGAATGTTCCATTCAGCAAAATGCCCCTTGCGTGTGCTAGTCAGATGTGTTAGATGGCATTTCAATCTTCCATTGAGAAGTTCCTTGACATAGTCCTACCTGGTCTGTATCCCGGAGGTGTATGGAAGGCGCCTTTCAAGGTTTCCTTCAGAGCCTCGGAAGTCTCATTGATCTTGGGATCGGTGGAAAGAGGCATTGCACTGGTTGTAATTTTATAGGATTGGTAGAGAAGTATAGATATATGTATAGCTCAATAAAAGCGTTTTCAACAGACGAAAATTGGTGTGACGAGAGAAGGTATCTTCGTCAACGGCAGATGTCCAGTTGCTCGTATACTTATACATAGTTCATCACCAGGAAGGAGCTCACCCATCGGGCACGGCACAACAAACGCCCAAACATGTGAACATTGCGAATTCGAACAGTGGCTAACAGTCAGCAGAGCTTCACTGCATTGACTACTTGCAACTAATCAGTTCTGAAGTCAGATCGCAACACCACCTGTTTGATTGGAAGTTGGAAAGCCTCAGTCGTCCGAGATGGGCTTCGGCCATGCAGGAGCTTAGTCAGTTGTGGCCCAGCTCCATCCAGTACTAATTTGTGTACAGTTGATGACAATTTCAGCTGCATGCATTGGTCGAGTCTTAGGCTTAAGGCCGAGTAGATCGAGTCAGTAGCTTCTAAACTTCGTGTGAGGGACTGGTTCTTGAAATTCCTCTTGTGGAAGGAGGGAACATGGGCTGGCGTAGGATTGAGAGAAAACAGGGATAGCTTTCTTAAACTAACGAGGTTCTCTATTTGTGTTTATTAGGGAGTAGCTGACTTTATTGGTGCTACCCTTGTCCACCACTAGCTTTCTCTCCACATTCAATTAATCATATCGTCCCTGAGAACTGGCTATCAGTAGTATTGCGTCATACTTATTGTTGAGCTCGCACTCAAGGCCAAGTATTAATCAGCCAGTGTATCTGTGATAAACACGAGGCAAATACGTCTATCAATCGCTCGATTTACGACAACACTGCTATTCTCAAGCCGCAGGTCTCGATTCAGTCGGCGTACTAGTTAGCGCTACCTCCAAGCGATGCCCAGGGCATGCCGTTAGTGGTTCGTCACGAACTACCAAGACTTCGATTTTGTTAAGCATATATTTTGTATGTCAATCAGAATCAGTCCGCAGAGCATGTTGCAGGTGCGACCACAAGGAAGGAAATCCTCTCGTGCCCATTGCTCGTCGCTACTGCTGACAGCTGGGTGCTTTCCTACCTGGATGCCTGGGATTCATTGTTCCTCGAGCATATGAGTCCGTGAGAGTGTGGTGCTCATCAACACCACCCACGTAGCCGAAAAAGAATTATTCAGTACGTCTAGGCAATGAGACAACATTCACCACTACCGGGTGGAACATTTGCCATTCGTACTGTTGATTTGCAGATCATATTTCTCTGGCCTTTCCCTTTCCCTTGCCACTCATACTATCGGAAAAATCCAGAAGCGGATCCACGGCTGAGCGTCTTTTGAAAAAGCTGTCTTCAATTACTGATGCACGCCACTTTCTTGACGACGGGACTCCTGAATCCACCGACTGAATTTCTGAGCTGCGTGGCGATCTCACAAACGACAGAAAGAGCTTCGCAAAAGCTGCAGCGGTAGCGGAGGCGTAGTTCTGCCAAATGTCGTTTTTATGGGAATCTGCATAATCGCAGATCCCGCGAATCACAAGACAATCAACTATATTCATCACACCGGCTGCCTCCATCTCCACGCAGAGAACGTCTGTATATTGCTTCATGAGTTGGTCCCTTGTCTGTGCATTTCGGATCAGACGATTGCCTGAAGCAACGATGCCGTAGTGGATCTCAGGGTGGGGGGATTCACGCCTTATCCTCAGCCAAGCTCGACGGACACATTGCCTACAGGTCTGCTGGTCCTCGACATGCACATAGGAGGAGTCAAAAAGTACGTCCTTGTGCATCCCTGGGTGCCTGTGACTGGGGTTACAGTCGCTGATCCTCTGGATAGAGTCTGCAAGCTGTGTCCGTATTGCGAGTTTATCATCTGACTTCAGGAAGCCCAAAGCTGTCCTAAGGAAGTGGGAAGGCCCTTGGACCGAGCCTGTTCTTTCAAACCCGAAAGTTGTGCTATTCGCTCCGAGATTGTAATGAATCATGCCCGAGCATCTCTTTGTGGGGTGACTGACAACAACGTCTCTTAGTCGTAAGTCTCGGGAGCGGTGCAGAACTTCGCCCCCAATGCCCAATAGCAGACAGAACTTGATACGTGTGAAGGTCAGTTTCATATTCACAACAACACTGGCGGCAGAGTTAGTTCCCTACTCCCCAGATGGGAGGCAGGCGGCAGCAACATTGTGTTGACCGATGCGTGCTAGCGCGTAATGATTACTGTCTTCGTCAGGAAGAGTGATTCCCAAGTATTTGCTGTCGAAGAGCTCACGCGCTGCAAAGAGCTCTTTATGAAGTGCGCACACAATCCCTACTGTGAAGTGCTGTGAAGTCAAATGCTCGGTTTTTGTGGCACTGGTTTTCAAGCTCGGTTTTTTGCCACTGTCTTGATATGCAGAATTATCTTGCTCGTTCATCGATACTAGCTCACCTTCCTCTTCGTCGCAAAGATTGCTCCATCGAGGTGTTGACTCTGCATTATGCCCGAAAATTACGGCACCATGATCGCTCCATTCCGCGCCAATTTGAAAAAAATGGTCAACACCCGTTAGAATGACTTGAACGAAGTCGGTATGCTCACCACCACCATCTACATCGCACTCACATTCGAAAACTTGTACCGTGTTGTAACAGAAGATGTAACTCGTGAGTCTTTTCGGTATGGAGTGGTAGTCGCCATCATGGATATCCATTATGTCCATGAGGTCGGCATTGTGAGCCGCGAGATGATTCTTATGCTCAGGCAAGCTGGCCCAAAGAGCACACGTTTTGAGGTCGAACGGCTAGATGATATCTCCAAAGCCACGGCCAAAAAGGGTGAGGCTTTGAATAGCTCTAGCGAAATCCACCCAGCTCCTACTAGCGGCTTCGAGCTCTGCGAGACGAGGGTAGACTGGGTCTCGAGCCACCATAAAATCGCAGAAATCCCACCCTTCAAGGTATATTCGAGATCGGGTTTGCCTCTCTGTGCTCACCTATAGTACTTGTTGGTCGAATAGCTGCTCCAATATCTCGTAATAGTGCTCCACCTGATGCTCGAAGCGAGAATAATCGGCGCCGTCCTTGAAGATTTTGAGGCCTCTGTTTGCTTCGTTTAGGAGAACATGAATAGCCGAATCAGTTATGAGCAGTAGATCCGCTTCTTTTATGTCCTCAAGCTTGAACAAAAATGCGGATTGGATGTCGCTTGTTTTGGTGTATTCCAAAGAAGCCCGCACAAGATGGAGAAGTACGCTAGTTCCATTAATCAAAACCCCTCTGTTTCTTTTCGACATCCCATAGTACAGCAAATTTCTGAGACAACCAGCGCATTTTGTGCACATAACCCCCTCGCGAAATGTGGAAGGGTCGATCTTTGGCACCAATACTAGGCCGAGCGCCATTCAAAATTAACTTTCCCGAATAAAGTGAGGCATCCTCGAGCGTACAACCTTTGTGGGGTCGTTGAAGACGACTCTTCTTGATGTCTTATCTTGCACTAAGAGCTCCTGTAAGCAGATCTTGCTTTAGTAGTACTTCTGTTTTCAAGTCTTAGGATCTTGCTAACCGGCATAATATCTAGCCTCTTTACACCAGCCGAGGATGTGTCGCGCGCCTTCCACGTAGGCCTGGTCAAGACTCGCTAGGTGTTCATCGGTCCGATGTAAATAGGATATTAGATTTCCACTTCTGTCGAAAGCTAAGTGCCAGAGAAGGATATTTCCGTTCTGGCCCACAGGTATCAACATTGCCGAGAACCCCTTGATGAACAGCTTCCCATTGAATTGCTTCAGCTTTCGGGTTCCGACCAGTTCCGCCATAAGGCCAAGTGGTAGTTCCCGACCCGTGCGGCGGTCGACACCTCGAGGAATTGGGCACCCGCCAACGACGACGGGGTTCTTAAATAAACTATACCAACACATGCAATTGGATGTCTCACTGGCGGCGGTGTGCGGTTGTAATTGCATCTCGAGCGTGCACATGAATGTATTTATGTCTTGTGCGAATTTTTTTTTCATAAGAACATTTCTGTCGAAACGCTTTTGCATACGGACTTCACGAATGACCGGTAGGCAAATGGCGATTCCAGTCTCGAACGGAGACGAGCGAAGGGCGGCGCTAAGCCACGTAAAAGCTTCACTAACTTCCACGATGGTACATGTTGGACCCCAAACATTCACAGTGACCATGGAGTTATGGAGGCGAACCCTGATCCGTGCACGATCTTGCAATATGCCTGGAAACGACAGTTATGAAATGTAGGTGGCAGCTGCCTCATGTGAACTTGTGTTAACTTACAGTTGTGACGGGTGTTGGGGCGAGCAACCATACGTTTGACAAGGTGCAATATCTGATCTGCCACCCACGGCCACATCTGTTGCAAATATTCTCCGCAACTCAACGCTTGAGCATCTGCACTAGACCCTGTCAATGTGATGGCCTTTCCCATGGTATCTCCAAGCGCATAGTCGTGCCAATACTGAGTTCGTACCCCTGCTCAAGCAAAAACGCGGTCGGACCCCAGTCCAACCGAAAAGCCATATGTTGGGTTCGTGTGGCTTGGTCCTTCGAGATTCTGTCAGGTTTGGGCCGGGAAGCGGAGATCATTCGGCGGATGGACACTGATGATTTTGAGTCACCACTGGCTAAGAGCATCTCTCGGCGAGCACGGAGGAGAAGCCATTGGTATATGTCGCCATTCAAGTCGACACTTTGGTACACGGCTCTCTCAGCTGCTGTTAGTACTGCATCAGAGTCTCTTAGATCATTTTCTGACAGCTTCTTATGCTTGACATCTGCCTCAGCAGATTCCTTAGACTCCAGTCCGTTATCCTCTTCGTCAACGAGACTTGGCTGGTGACTGTGCCAGAGGTCCATGATATCATCCAATGGTTGTTTTTCGGCGGACAAGAGAGACCCGTGATGGACTCCCTCCACGATTGACAGGTATTCTTTCTTACAGTGTTCGACAATATCACTGGATACTCACGAGAGTTGTCAGGTAAACGTCATTAAGCGAGCGCCAATCTCCAATCTTGGGAATGTGAAAACCCACCTGCGTTCGGTTTGTATGAAGAAGCTGACGAGGCGATTCTAGAGACCAGTTCGGTGATGAGCATATTTGAGGATGAAGGCTTCGAGCAACTCCGGGAGGACGGCAAAGAGGCTGTACACGGTCGATCGGTCAAATGATTTCAGTTCGAGCATGCGAACCAAGTCTTTCGCAGCAATCTCTGCGGTTGATTCGTTCTGCATCGTTGTCATCCAGGCTGGTGTGTAAAAAAAGACTTTGTCCTATCGCGGCACGAATCCAGAACGCTCTGAGTGTGCTCAGCTCCAAATAAGTGAAATGAATATTAAGATATTCTCACAGTAGCAGATGGTGAGTATCACACTAGTACCTCACGGTTTCGTTCAGCTCTATCTAGAGACTTATGCCATACGCATGGTTCGGAACACTGATCACCAATGTCGGCTGGGCGAGCGTTCATTTGATCAAGCTGGTGATGCAGTTCTTCTCCAGACCTTCGCCTCGGAGGCTTTTAGTAACAGGGAGAATTTGTGCTCGCCGTTTATTGACGAAAATTGGATAGGAAGTAACAAGGCTGAATGACAGAGTGAAAGTGGGGCAGGCATCCGCCAAGACGCAACCACTTTAACGCGTCCAAGTGTAACGCGTCTTAAGGTTCGCGTTTCCTCCTACGCGTTCGAAATTGAAACTGCGGGCCATTTTCCTCGCGCCCCTTCAAGTTCAACGAACCACTTTGTATTTCTACAACTTCTCACACACATTGCTGACCACAATGGATTCGAGGTCCGTTTATTCTCTCTCGGTGCTTGCGCCTCAACAGGACCCTGGCTCTGAGCCTCGCACGGAACTTCAAGCAAAACTTAAAGAGTTTGTCCTCGCCTTCCAGCTGGACGGATCCTACATCTACCGAGATCAAATCCGGGAGAATGTGCTGGTCAAGCAATACTATTGCGACATCGACCTCGCGCATCTTATCTCATACAATGAAGAGCTGGCACACAAATTGACCAGCGACCCAGCAGATGTCATCCCACTATTCGAGGCCGCACTCAAACAATGCACTCAGCGCATTGTGTTTCCACACGATCCCAGCGTCCAGCTACCACAACATCAACTCCTTCTACACTCCTCAGTCTCGCACATTTCAATCCGAGATCTAAATGCAACTAACGTCTCACATCTTGTACGAATCCCCGGCATTGTCATCGGCGCATCCACACTCTCCTCCAAAGCAACTCTCCTGAGCATACAATGTCGGAATTGCGATCACGTTCAGCAGTTGGCCATTGAGGGTGGCTTCTCCGGAATCACATTACCGCGGACGTGTGGCAGAGTCAAAGTCCCTGGTCAAGACGAAGGCGAATCATGCCCCCTGGATCCTTATTTTGTTGTTCATGAGAGTTCTCAATTCATTGATCAACAAATCCTCAAGCTACAAGAAGCCCCTGATCAGGTCCCAGTCGGAGAACTACCGCGCCATATTCTCGTATCAGCAGACAGATATCTCACAAATCGCGTTGTTCCTGGCTCGCGATGCACTGTGATGGGTGTCTTCTCAATCTATCAACCAAACAAAGGCAAGAAAGATAGCGCAGTGGCGATTCGAAACCCTTATCTACGAGCTGTTGGTATTACCGCCGACGTGGATCATACTAGCCTTGGTGCGAGCAGCTTCTCAGAAGAGGAAATCCAAGAATTCGAGGAAATGTCGCGACTGCCTGATCTGTACGAGCGATTTGCGAAGTGTATAGCGCCATCAATTTACGGAAACGCAGACATCAAGAAAGCAATCGCCTGTTTATTAATGGGCGGGTCCAAAAAACAACTCCCAGATGGCATGAAATTACGAGGTGACATCAACGTACTCCTGCTAGGTGACCCTGGTACAGCCAAGTCACAACTTCTCAAATTCGTTGAGAAAGTATCTCCCATTGCAATTTATACATCGGGGAAAGGTTCCTCTGCAGCAGGTCTGACTGCTTCTGTGCAAAGAGACACCCAGACACGTGAATTCTACCTCGAAGGTGGTGCTATGGTCTTGGCCGATGGCGGTGTGGTATGTATCGACGAATTTGACAAGATGAGAGACGAAGATCGAGTGGCCATCCATGAAGCTATGGAACAGCAAACGATCTCGATTGCAAAGGCGGGTATCACTACCATCTTAAATGCACGAACATCAGTTCTCGCAGCTGCAAATCCCATTTTCGGCCGTTACGACGATCTCAAGTCTCCTGGAGAGAACATTGATTTCCAGACCACCATTCTTTCAAGATTCGATATGATTTTCATTGTCAGGGATGACCATGATAGGAACCGCGACGAGCGAATCGCAAGGCACGTCATGAGCATCAATATGGGCAATCGAGGGGTAGAAGAGCAAGCCGAAGCAGAAATTTCAGTGGAGAAGATGAAGAGATATGTCAGGTTCTGCAAATCGTAAGTCGCTACCGCAAAGCCTCCAGTGACAAGCACTTCCAATGCTAATTTAACATTCGCAGACGATGTGCACCGCGCCTCTCATCGGCTGCATCCGAAAAGCTATCCAGCCACTTTGTCTCAATCCGCAACCGAGTCGCACAGTCCGAACGTAACAACAATGCCCGCTCCTCAATCCCCATCACAGTCCGCCAGCTCGAAGCCATCATTCGCATCACAGAATCTCTGGCCAAACTAACGCTCTCCCCTGTCGCCGAGGAACAGCACGTCGATGAAGCGATCCGCCTCTTTCTTGCCTCAACAATGGATGCCGTCTCGCAGGGCGAGTCGGCCGGCGGCATGGGCGGCAACCGTGATCTCATGGACGAGGTGTCAAAGGTCGAAGAGGAACTTCGCAGACGCTTGCCCATCGGCTGGAGCACCAGTCTTGCGACCCTGAGGAGAGAATTTGTTCAAGGCCGAGGCTACAGTGAAGCTGCACTTGCGCGGGCACTGCACGTCTTGCAGCGTCGTGAGACTGTTCGGTTACGCAATGGTGGGAGTCAGGTCTATAGATCCGGTGTTTGAGCGAGCGATAAGTCTGCGACTACGGAATTGGTACTATTTTTGTGTGGGCGTTATCGTCTGGCTATCACGAGCACGAGACTTTTTCCTTCTATCACCCAGTCTGGGTCCGGTCCTGGGGCGTGTGCGGGTAAGCTTTCAACGATGGAATGAATGCGTGACAGCGAATGTCCATGGATGAGGATGAAAGGGATGTGGCGTAAGTAGCAAGCAAAGTGTAAAGTACCATCGTAAAGCATAATGATCAATGTGAATGTGAATGTGCCTCCAAATGATAGTGCATTCTATAGTCGCCTTGGGCTTCAATGGTACCGCCCGTCCCGTACTGCCCATCCCTCTGGCAAGCCCCACCAAAGATCTGTGATATTCACTAGTGCCATCGACACCTGAATGACTAGTGGAATCTGAAGTGCTCTAGTATCCATACTACGATCGGGTGGCACGGAGCGCAAAAGTTCCACTGATCGAGTGTGCTAGCTATTGAAGGCGCGGAGGGCAGACGCAGATACGGATGCGATGTTGGTGCCTCGAGCCTACCACGCAGAAGCACAAGGCGTGGTCAATGAGGCGTAGGCTACGCGCAGAGATTGTTCAAGTACATATTCTACCTGCGATTCGGGTATCTGAGCTATTCGTTGTTTGCGATCACTGTCGGGGAGGCTCGATGTTGGTCTGCATCGTACGGACACAAGCCATCGATCCCAGATCTCAGTGTTTTTTGGCCTCGCCTCTTTTGAGCGTGGAGATGCAAAGGTCCGAAGGCGTGCATAGCTGGATGATGGGATTCATGCTGACTACTCGTACAATTTCAATTGCTTAGCAGGAAATGTGCCGCAGGTGCCAACGATCCAATCACTTCGTAGAAGTGTACGGGGTACCGGCCGCTCCGTCAAGGAAAGAAAGAAGCACTCGTCCGCATTACTGATATTAAAAAAACAATCCCAGCATTCCAAATACCTCGCAGTCCGGATTTGCAGTGCCGGAAGTAAGTTCCAAAGGGTAATCTCCCGAACCTGTGCTCAAGGCTCATTGACGATACAAGAATATCGTACTCGTGTTCTTGACCTTAGCTATCGCGTGCCTGCCAGCTTAGCGGGCGGGAAATGCAGGTGATTCATCCTTCACGTCCACGGATATGCAATGTCGTTGAGCTAGGGACAATGTTTCTGTCGAAGCTTGACGCATCGGCTCTTATAAAATGATATTGGTCTTCAGTCAACCATTTAGCCTTCGTTGAGGTAAGCATGGAGTAAGTATCTGCTTCTGTCATCGGAGATATGATAATCGTGGACCTGGCAGATGGACTGCATCGCCCTTTTCAAGGTAATCGGTTATTTACCTCCTGAAGGCCCAGATTCCTCAACTGGGTTAAAACAGCAATGGCCCGTATCAGACGGAGACAACGACTGGAGACAAGGTAGACCTCCAAACCCTTGCTATATCAATCGTTGAAACTCAGTCAGCCATCGTGTGAGAGACGATTCTTTTCCGAAGGAATGATGGGCAAGCTTGAACCAATGAGTATATTTGGAAGCGCCTGATCGGACCGTGATTGCAGCACTTGAATAATTCACTCCGGATAGGTCCGCGTCACAGAAGAAGAGAGTGAGACGGAGAGAAACAGTTTGAGCCATGCTAACCGTTGATTCAGGAGTTAGTTGTGGCTGCGAATAATGCAATGATCTATACCATCATGAGGAAAACCCCCGTCTCCAGATTATGTGTGTGGCTCGCATGGATGTGATAGTCAACTGCTGGATTTTCGCAGCTGGTGTGCGAAATGAATTGATCTTCATCGAACTTGCAATATCGCCGTCCCAGGCAGTGTCGTTCGCGAGATCACTTACACATCTCGGTTTTCTTGCTGTTCTCATCATAGATTTGAGAGTCGCGCCTATTCGACGTTGGTAGATTCTTGACGTAAGTTGTGCGCACAAGGCGTTCAGCCGACATCTTTTTTCGTTGCACCAGTCTTGGTCCGCAATCTGCATATGTAGGGTCATACCAATCAAGGCATGTCCTGTCGAGTGGTCAATGCATTTCCGGATTATTCCCCCGTGAAAGGCAAGGGAGGCGTCGTTCGTTCAATCTTTGTACGAGTCGGGGAAAACCAGGGGTCCGGCTCCTTGATTGCTATTTAGGTCCATCTTCGGACCTGTCATCCGTACCTCTCAGATCCGTGATTAGAGGCAGGCATTCATGGCTGATGTTTTCAAGGCATGTTGGGATCGATAACTAGCACGAATGCAAGGGGTCTCTTTCTTTTTCTCCTGGTGGGAAGAACCATATGGATTGTCCAAAAATTGTGCGAATCGGTGGCGGTGTATCTCCTGTCCTTCGACATCCTTCACGGGGTTACGGGTGGCAAGGGACAGGACTCAAACCGAAACGGGATTTGTGTGGATTCGGAGATTGATCGGGAATGACAGGTCATCTTTGTTACACTATTACCGGAAATGTGGTTGGGTAGAAGCCTCCAGCTTTGGTTAATGTAGATAATTTGAAGTTGCAATGCCAGGAGTCCAGGGATCCCCCCCCCTCCCCCCTGCGAGACGTCTGGATGTTCGAGTCAGTTAGTAACTCACACTCGCAATGAGCCGACAGAACATCATGGAAATCGATGCAAGATGTCCCTTCTAACCCACTTGAAGCAAAGAATACGGAGAGTCTGATAGCCTGACAAGGGTTTTCAGGGTGCATCGACGTGGCTACGATCGTGTTAATTCAAATCAGGCTGCAGTTTGCAGGATGATGTGCGCGCAAATCTTGCTCATGCAGGCCTAGGCCCTGGCGGATGGATAGTGGAAAAGTGCATGGTGGTAGGGGATGAGCACAGCAGGAATATTCCGTTCAGACCGGCTAACAAAGTAGCTAGTGACCTACCTAACGGATTAGATGATTCTTATCCGAACCCTAGTACCAGTCACCTACCCAGATACCCAACGTAGGAGAGATCTGTTCACTGGGGTCGGGTCATGTGCAGCGCACGCGGATGGCGCATGAGGCCATGCCCGCCATGCATGAGAGATCGTGGCCTTGACTTGCGCCTTCGATTCTGCACCTCTGATGCAGCCCGAGGCCACGTCCAGGGCACCCGAGCACGGTTAGTTCATGGCCATGGCCGCGCTGCGCCCGAGGAATGCTGCGTGCATGAAAATGCATGAGTGTTGATCCCGCCCTATGAGCTCTTCACATAGGCGGTCCGAGCACAGCCCAAGCACACGGATACTGATGCATCCACGATTTGAGCGTAACGAGGTGATTGTTAGAGCGATAGTGTTGCCCAAGACTTCGATCCTTACTTAGCTGAACTGTTGGGGGAGATCAACTATGGGTGCTAGGTAGACTGAAGCACGACTACGCTTTCTGGCGAAGTTGTGGTTTAGAGAAACGTCAACAGGGTTACTTGTGAATGGGTCGCACCCAAAATCCTTAGACCAACCCCAACACGAGCCCCGTCAAGCGGCACTGCGAGGTACCATTTCGCACCCGAAGATCCGTAGGGAGTATCAGAGTAGTAAGCACTGACTCGAGCACCTACTCGGTAGTGCTAAGGAGCACTGTCGATCCTTTCCGAATAGAGTTCAGAGTATTTCATCATTGATGTTCATGCTGATGCACATTTCAACACTCCAAACGTAACAACCAAAATTAAGGAATGCATGAACCAAATATCACATTGTTCTGGCCAACGCCGACACATGAATATTCAGATCATTAGGCCACCAGCCTCGTGGAAGACAAGTCTCAAGTTAGATCCAAGGTGATATGTCCATCCTGAACTACAGCGTTTGTGGTTTTCAAGCATTTGGTAAGATCGAAAATGCCACCGCATGGCTAAAGTAGGCCTGTGTGTTGGATCAATGTTTCAAGCGAAGCCATGGTAAGAAATCAAGTGATTGTCTGCAAATCAGTCGAAGGAAGCACCGATAAATAGGGTTATAATTGTTGTTGGGTATTAGGGCAGTTGGCATTAAGATCGACACGCACATCCAATATCGCCATGAACAATCATCGGCTAAGTGACCACCTATAGGTCCGATCCTGGTTGGGAAAGATGTGCAGATTCTTCCTGAAATCTGAGATCGATTACTCACTGAGACTTCTTACCCGTGGTCGTGGAGGAGTTTTCTCAATGATACTTCCCGTCCTGGACAGGTAGGGTCGGTAGGTATTGCCGTGTAGTAGTTTCAGCCTGGTACGGCTCCTGGAACACCCTAGTCTTATATTCATGGTGAAGGACTCTTCCAGAGTGAATCATCAAACCCAGAGCCAGGATGGAGTGAAACGCTCTTTCGCTTGAAGCCCGAGGTTGCATAAAGCCTAATCAAGATAAGCATGAGACGAGAAGGAAAGCGATCCGCATTGGCTCCTCCATTTCCAAGATCACCACCTGTTTGGAGGGGGCGTGGAAGTATACTTTTCACCCCTCCCAGTGCTAATACCAACGGCCATCGGGGCAACACTTGCCGCAATACTAGCAAATCAAATAAGTTGGTCATTTAGTAGTCGGTTGGTGTTAGATGTTTACTCTGCGCTCGGGACGAATGCACTCTGTGATATGTCCAAGGTTATTTGGCGAGGGAGGGGCATGGTTGATACCCTAGGCAGGTAGATATTTAGATAATCACTTGATTTGGACCTGGTCAACGATGAGGAAGGACCAGATCTATTTGGTCAATGAGTGAGGTGGAGGCTAGGCAGGAGGGACGGATAGCATACGTATGAGGTACTCGATGTTTGGCGATTTGGTCGAAGCCTCCGCACTGACTGTCTCGACTCTCCAATGCCTAAAACTGGTGGACCTTTGCGCCCAAGTCCTCCAGCGTAAACACTCCTCGGTGCTCAAACCACTTTGCCTGCGACTTGTGAACTTTTGGCCGATGGTCAACTCTGGAAATTCTTCTTGAAGTTCTGATACTTGGTAAATTTGGTCGAGGGTTCGGACCATCGTATCATCACACACGCCCTACGCAATAATCGGCATCGGAAAACTTTGGACC